TCTGAACTGATACAGTATCTTTTCCAAGAGTTTCACAAGTTTCCTGTGGTGAGATTCAGAGCATGGGACAGTTTCTGAGTTTCTGCCTTGGTTTGCACCTCGGTCTGACAGACACGTCGAAAGGAGTGCGAGCATTGGCCTGGGGGGAACTGTGCGGTTTTGTCAGTGATCTGACTGCATTGATGCAGGGTGCTGGAGAGGAATCGTTGGATATGTTTGATGGAAACATGGTGCATTTGGATGTTGCGTTGTAACACTTGCTGAACAATTGTTTACATCTGCGCTGCATCCTTTTGGTGTAAACCATGGTAAACCCATCAGAAACCATCACTGGACGGAATCTTGACAGAGCAGCTTCATTGCTAAGCAGACGGTATTTGGAGCAACAAAAAGTGAGAAATTCACCTGCTCTCCAATGCAGCCTGAGAGAAGTGTAGTTCTACTACGCTTCTCTCATCAAAGGCTGCATTGGAGGCATGGTGGTGACATGGCTGACTGCATTGCATGTGTACACAGTGATTTTGAGCTGCAGCGCTGCAAGGCAGGAGCCCCCTTATTTGCGATGTACTGAAGGGGTGCAGAATAGGGGGTCTCTTGCCTTGTGTGTTTAGCTCTTCCATGTGGTTTGAAGGAGATCAACATAGATCAACAATGCTTGTGTTGGTGGTGTCAAGCACCAAGCTTGGGTGCTGAGTGCCGGTGACCCCGGGTCAGCACCCGGAATGGCAGTTTCAGATGAACCTGGTGGTCACAAAGCTCATGCTCTCGCCAGTCGCAACTATGGAAGTAATTGCCGATTGCGGGTGAAAAGCTGTCACAATGAAGCAGACAATGTGGTGACGAGGGCAGAAACGTATGATACCGTATGGTTGCGTAGATTGGGTCCATCTAGGAGAGAACAGTATGCTGGCGCGTTACGCCAGGCCCCTAACATGTACTTGTCTTTGAAACTCCTTGGGAGGAGAGCTTAGATAGTCTTAGTCTAAGCGTTTGTTTGCAGCAGACCTGTGCACGTAGCGAATGGTGTGCGTCTCATCCATCTCAATAGCTGGGTGGTTTTTTGTGTCTCTTGGACTGCGATCTTGGGTTGCTAAGAAAATGGCCGTCATGCATGTTCTGCTTCGAGTCGATCTCCTTGTTTCTAGGAACTCCTGTGATCACTCAGAAATGGTCTTTATGAAACCCATGCTGTCAGTATCTGTGCTTTCAGTGGCTTGCTTTCTCAGCCTCACTTGGGCTTTGACAATCTTTTGGGGCTGCAGAACGACTGCCCATAATCGATATAAGAAACATACGGTGGGTCCAGTAGGACACTGTAGCATGATTTGTCAAGCTCTCCTTCCATCTGGTTTCTGCGCAGCGTTTAAACTTTTGATGAGAGCAGCGTAGTTGCACGCCCCACGTGCGACAGACATTTCAGGCATGTTGGCGATGTGGTTGAGGTACTTGTAAACTACTTGTTCGTTTGCAAGTCATTTCGAAGGTGGATTTTGCCTTGACGGTTGCAAACATTGGAGAGTATGGCAGGGGAATAGTGAATAGTTTGTTGTGATTGACGATGTCAATGACAGTGTTGCACCGTTTTTTTTCGAGACATGACATTTTCGGTATGCATGACTCTTAATTTCGTTCGGGAGGAGCTTGCGCTCGGCATGGTCTGCTCGTGCGCGCCTCGACTCTTGCAGATACGGCCTGCTTTTGCATGCTGCGCATTTGAGACGGGCCACTTTGGTCCAGGACACTTGGGAGCGAAGCCAGTCGCCGCCTCAGAAACAAATCTGGCCCCAACTATAATAAGTGGCTTTTGAAATTCTCACAGCTGCGGAGTTACTCAGGTCGTACCATTTTCTGGGTGAAGAAAGGGAAGAAGTGGTGCGGCTGGAGGGTGAAAGTGAAAGATCAGGCCAGCAGAGAACAACAAGTGATAGTGATGTAGCAACAGATGCAGACACGCTGCAAGGTTTCACGGAGTTTTCCTGAAACCAACATATTTCAGTGCTGTTGGGAGCTTGTCTTGACTCCCAGGGTTCTGACGATCACTTGGTGACAAAGGACAGCTGACGATTTTTGCCGTGAAAATATTTGAAGATGGGATTTGCCCAATGATTGCCGATCTTAACCCTGTTGCGACAGATCACTGAATCCAGAGTCCTTATGGGTTCTTGACTTCCCTCTTGTTTGCCGAAGGGCCGAACAAAGAAATCTGTCATCAGTGGAGACGCCGAGTTGGTATCTCTAAGTCGTACACTTAAGGTCAGTCGTATCAACACTTAAGCGCATGATGTCCCGCGCCGGGCCGGAACTTGTGAAAATCAAAAGTGGCTGGAGGAACAGAAACGAATTCATACAGAGATTGCCGGCTGACATGTTGTACTGTACATGTTTGATATGTTTGTGTGACTGAATGGCTGAAACCAATCGCAAGAACGTCCGGGCCACTCGACCATTATGTGCTTCGTTTTATTTCATGATTTGGCAAAATTGAATTTTGGATACGGTTCACTGTATGTTGTGGGACCTTACCTTCCTTAAGTGCTCACCATCACCTTGATTGATCTCTCTTTTTGGTCCCTGGTGACAGGACCGTGCCTTCAGCGAGGACACCAGCACCACGGAAGCGGCCTCGGAGCTCCATGCGGAGGCATATTCTGAAAACATACTCAATCAAGGTACAATATCAATTTTTAGTTTGGTATCAATTTCAGACTGATCGCTTTCCATATGTTTCTTTTGCTCAAGGGACGACTTGTTCAGTTTTGGTTGGTGTCCGTAAAATCCTTTCAAGAGACCATCACAAATGGAGGTTTCTTAAATGTGGGTATCCCCACATCATTAAAAAGATAATAGGATTTTTCGTTGTAAACCATCGACTTTGGGGCACCCCCAATTTACGAAACCCCCAAATCTCTTGGTATCCACTTGAACCATTGTTTTTGAGAATTTGCCTTTATTCGCAGGATGGTGGGGACGGCGCAGAAGAACCCACGGAGGACCTCTTACGCATGAAATGTATGGCTTGTATGGGAGGGGGTCTTTCGTCCCGCCATGATTGCGCTTCAGAGCGCCTATCATTGAATCTCCCTTTCGCAAATTTGTTCTTGTTGGTGACCGTGGCCTTTGTGCCTGAATTATCATTCCCAACCATCAAGCGCCTATTGGACCCCATGACCATCCATGATGCAGATACAATCTTTCGGATACCACATAATAAGCAGATGATATCAAACTTGTGCCTAACGAATCATGTTTAGAATTTGTTGTTCTACAGGGCTTGCCAGACTTCCAAAAGCAGATGATTTCTCTGGATGTTGGGCCGAAAGACATTGGGGCCAGAACGCAGGCAACAGGCTCTTGTGCCATGTGGAAGGAGAACGCTCAATTTTGTAGTGGTTTGTTGCCTGGTCGGGTCCACTGTTTGTGGGACTCTCGCCATCTTGTGCTATTTCGCGCCGAAAGCCGCATTTTGGGAAGAGGAATGTTTCTTCATGTTTCATCTAAACCTGCCAAGTTCGCAAGATGTTGTAGATTCGTGAGGAACTTCAGCTTGATGAGACTGCCGAGAGTGCAGAAACCACCCAGCAGGCTGGTCTTTCGTCACCTAAGCCGGACTTCATTTTGTCTATTTTCTGTGGGCAAAGTTCAGGGTTGTCCAATTTTGTGCATGACGCTGCAATGCAAGCTTGACCTTCAATCAGTGCAGTAAACTGTAGGTCCGTCAAAAGTTCGAATTTGAGACTGGTGCTGAATTGCCAGTTTTTGCAAGGCCATGGCCGTGGCACTCGAACACCATGAACTTCGGTGGAGCATCATGGTGCCAGCCCCAAATTCTGCGGCAGGCCGAGATGGAAAGCAACCCATGCGGCCGGGTGTGTCCGAGGCTTACGTTCAGAGATGCCGGGCCGAGGCGCCGTTGCTGACGTAACTTGTTGTTTTGGCCCACAGAGGTCAACATGGTCAACCATGCTTTGACATGTTTTACTTATGCTTATATATATATATAGGTATAGGTATAGGTATAGGTATATATAGGTATCTTAGGTCTTGCCACCTTCTCAATGTCCTGTTTGTGTGCTTCTGTCAATGAATTTCTTGATTTGATATTGGAGACATTGACATGCACTATATAGTACGCACTAGCCAAGCCAGCCGCTTGTTCAGAGACATATGCGAATCTGAGAGGTTCCTTTTTTCTCAGGTATCTTGGAAGTGGCACAGTTGGCAATGGTTGAAGATGTTTACTGTATGGATTTGGTTCTGGTTTGTGAAATATTGGAGCGGGCCCAGAAGACATGCAACAGGCCTTTTGGCGATTTGGAAGACAGTCTTGTTTATGTCCTTTTGAGCAAGTAATTTGGTACTTTTTGTATGTGGCAAGGCGTGACAGTCCACTGCAAGGAAACTCACTGTGGACATCGGGGGTTCCAACCTCATTTTTTTTTTCGCTCCAGAAGCACGTTGATGCAAATCCTTCTGACTATTTGTGTCGATCTATATTTTCCGGGTTTCGCTCCTAGGCATGCCTGGCATGCCTGCCCATCCTTCCTGAGTAACCCACGACAATTGATTAAACATCCCGGCAAAATGCCGAAATGAAATCAATCCTGGCTCCTTTGAAAAGGTCCACAGAAGACGACCGAGCCAAAGACCCGAAAAAGAACGACTGGGAATCGACGGTGGGCTGGGAATAGCTGTGGGAAGATGTTCTTTTTGAGCGGCGCAAACTGGTGATGTTTGACCTGCACCTTGCCACCCGAGTACTTTGGGACACCCGTGAAGCTTACAGCAATGCACTCGCAATGAGAGACATCATGCTGCAAAACACTGCGTGAACAAATCTGATTTTCAAACAAACTGATTTTCAATGATTTTCATCATCAAACCAAGCCGAAACAACCCCAATGGAAAAGCTACTGCAAGGAGACACCACTATTGAAGTTGTTTCACCTATGCACTTCCCAATACATCCAGACAAGGTGAAAGCAGCTGTGCCATAGGCCATAGCTTGCCATAGCTTGCCATAGCTTGCAGAGTCTGCCTTGCAGCCCTGAAGGGCTGCCCCTGACAAGTCCACAAGATGGGGACTGGCGCAAGCGTTGGAAACATGATGTCATCCTTCAGGAGCGCCGTGGAATTGAGTGGTTGAATGCAACACACATATAACCTGTTCAGGATTATCCTGGCAGAATATGGCAGTATCATTGTGGACCTTGCTGGTTTTGTTGATCAGCAGGGTACCGGTGGGTGAGACATCGCCATGTCTTAGTTGGTACTGTGGTAAGCCCGATAATACATTATCCCCAAATATCACCAGAAATGGGCCTTTATAAAACTTTCCAAATTGTAGGTTCATGGCAGTGGGCTTCCCACATCATGAATGTTGCCCTCCCGACTTTAAGCAGGATGGCATCGATGAGCAAAGCAGTCTCATCGTTCAGCAGATGGCCTGAAACTCAGTGGCTGCCCCGAGGGGTCTACCACTGGTCTCAACCAAACAAGTCGGTATGGAAAAACAGAGGCAATCAATGGACAAGCACATGGTTACATGGTTCGTATTTTTTTTGAACCCAAATCTTTGATTATGAACCATTTCGAATCATGCCCGTAAACAGAATCGATGGATCAGAACCTGAACTGGAACGCCATTGATTCGAGTTCTCCTGGAAGTGATCAGCCTGCAGATCCCATGCCTCAAAAAGCCAGGAACAATGCACGGGCCGAGCAGCCTGAGGATCTTCTCAAAGGACATGTCGAGGCAACGCGAAGATGGCGATGGGCCAAAAACTGGTCCAAAATAGTCCCAGAATCACAGAGGCTTGGGATTTTTTCTTAGAAGACACAACGCTATTGAATGGCCATAACTGGGGGGGGCGGGTGACAATTCCATCTCATGTTGTTGGTCATTAAGGTGCACCATTACGGTGCATCATTCCATTCTATTCCATTACCGCTCCATCATTATCCGCGTAAATATATATATATATATATTTATTATTTATAATTTCTATTTCTATGTATATATATATATATATCCCGGGCTTTGATGCTCGACTCATCATTTCGTGACAAAAAATGAAATGCATTTGGGTGTATACATTTTTTTAAAACATGCATTTTGTATACATGAATCATCATTAGCATCCCCTGAAGACAGAGTTTGTCTTCTGGGTGCCACAGATCCACCCAATTCCTACTCGGGCGCGATATGCCCATTTTCAGACACACCCAGATATGGTTGATGATGGTGAATATGGTTACTACACGTCAATGAATTGCCATTAAGTCAATGATGGTTTTGCCAATGGATTCAATGATGGTTACATATCCCATCATCGAATCTGGTTGATAATGGTCAATCATTGGGTGAATCAAAGAATATGTACTGTACAGATCTCTACAGGAACTGTTTGGATACCAACCATGCAGTCACCACATATGGGTTTGTCTGAAAGTGGAAGATACCCACAGAATGGCCGTTGTAACCGAGAATATCTTGATAGGTCATGAGATTTTTGCGTACCCAATTCTCGAGCAAACCCACATGGCTATGGATCAAAACCTAGGTACTCTGGTTTGAATGACAAAACTGTTGGTGGTTCTGGATGTTCATCTCTCATGCAGATGGGAAATGACCCATCCCCATCCCTCAGTTACAGTGCGACTCTGTAGGTTCCCTCTACAATCATCGATTTGACCGGAATCGAGAACCCTGGGTGCGCCCTGCAACTCATGCGCGTAAGCGTCTGGCCCCTTTCTTGATCGACAAGCCTGCAATCGGAATGTCGACATGTTGCTTTGTGTGCAGATGTGTGCAGGTACATTGCCGATGTGTACATGTTTGCCGATGGTTTGATTGGAAGATCACAGTATGCCATGGCCAGAGTCTCAGCTTTTGGCTGCGTCAGATGGGGATGGAGGACTTTTGTCTGGCACTCTCATTGCTGTATTTTGGCATGTGCCATTAATAACACCTGCGGTTGCCTGGATCTTAAGTCATAGCCTGTACCAGATATTTTTTGAGATGATGTTCTAGTCAGACATTGGTTAACTCATGGTTTGGGGTGGTTGTTTCAACTACTGGAAATATGCCTCTGTGCTCATCCCTTTTGCAAGGGGCTGCGATTCCAAACCGCCAGCCCAAAGCACCCGTTCTATAACCTTTGGTTGACACGAATCATTTCCCATCAACATCAATAATTTAGCATTGGTTTACCAGCATCTATATAGTTTTCCCATATAATTCCTATATCATCATGGGTTTTCCGTGTTCTTCCCATATTAAAGGGGTGACCGTTTTGGGACGTTGACGTCCCGTTGAGCGGCTGAGATCCGGCTCTCGACTCACAAGAACATCGGGGTGTCCCGCGCCATCAAGCAGTCCGGTGCCGCAGTGAGAAATTGCCAGCAGTTGATACGGCGTTGGACCTGAAAATTGGGTTCTGCACCAAAGATCACCAAAGTAGCCATAGATTTGTAGTGCTTTCATGTGCTTTCCATACATTGAAACACTGTTGATCCTGGCATTTCACATGAACATTGATGGAAGTAGCCATTTGATAGAGAATAGGAAACATGAAAAATCCCTTGGAATTGGGTGGCACCCCGTTCTCAGACAAACTGTGAGCCGTTGTCATCAATTGGGTCATGTTTTTTGCATTTTTGCTAAGGTACACACTGGGTTTGCCTGGAGTAGATACAGAAGCTCTGAAACGAGAGGTACATGGCTGGGAACTTCTTTTGAGACAATTGGATCATGAATTTCAATGCATCGATGCCATCTTTTAATATTTACCAATGCGTTATTGTCCCTGTGCATTTTTTGTTGTCGTGGCAAAGAGTGGTGCTGACGCTGGAAATTGCTCTACAAGTTCCCTGCTTTCAGATCACGTGGGCCATTTTTTTTTGGATACAAATAATATGAGCATTAAAAAAACAGCAGGGTCAATGATGGCGGGATGGGTAGATCCAAAAAATGGTGATGCAGCCCAAAACTGGTGGTTACCCTCTGGTAAACTAACATAACTATGGAAAATCACCATTTTCAATGGGAAAATCCACTATAAATGGTCATTTTCAATAGCTATGTTAAATTACCAGAGGGTATTTTTGAAAAAAGGCCATGCACCAACTAGAGATATCCAAGAACGCTCTATCTTAACCAAATAACACCTGAGTTCTGGGGTTCTTTTTTGGGGAATCTCGAAATCGTGAAAAGTTAAACACCATTAAACTCAAACCAACTTCCATGCTGTTTATTATATAATAAAATATAACATAATATAATATAATATAGTAAAACAGGATATAATACAATATAATTTAATATAATATTATACATAATATATATATATACATATATATATATACATATTATATTTGATGATCATAGTAATTCAAAACTGTATATGATATGTATCTAATGTATGTAATGCTTAATTAGGATATATATATATATATATATACACACCTACACATATGTCTATATATATATATATACATTCACAATACTTAGCCATGGTTTATCATATGTAGATCTATCCCTGTTTGACAGCACAGCGCCAAGCTTCAGCAGCCTGGCTGCAGGTGATGCTGCTGAAAGATGTGCGTGCTCACCCAAACATTGTGAGGCAGGAAGATGGGATTGAATGCTTTAGACACTGGTCATTTAACATACCAAAAATGGATGGTCATTTCATGGCATTTCTTCATTCGTTGATTTTTACCTTCTGCTTTTCATGGGGATGTTCCATGGCTATGTTAGTTCCCAACGCCGCCAGGCAACTGGTCACGAACCCCCCTTTTTTTTGTGCATTTTTTATTGTTTGGGGGGGATGTTAAGGTCCCTGTGAACTTGCTCATGTCATGTATGCTTCGTGAACCTCGGGGTTTGGGTGGGGTGGGAGGTGGGAATGTTAAAGTCCCTGTGAACTTGCTCACGTCATGTATGCTTCGTGAACTTCGGGGTTTGGGTGGGGTGGGAGGGGGGGATGTTAAAGTCCCTGTGAACTTGCTCACGTCGTGTATGCTTCGTGCCCTTCGGGGTTTGGTTTGGGTGGGAGGGGGGAATGTAAAGTCTGTGAACTTGCTCATGTCATGTATGCTTCGTGAACTTCGGGGTTTGGGTGGGGTGGGAGGGGGGGAATGTTAAAGTCCCTGTGAACTTGCTCACGTCGTGTATGCTTCGTGAACTTCGGGGTTTGGTTGGGGTGGGAGGGGGGGAATGTTAAAGTCCCTGTGAACTTGCTCACGTCATGTATGCTTCGTGAACTTCGGGGTTTGGGTGGGGTGGGAGGGGGGGAATGTTAAAGTCCCTGTGAACTTGCTCACGTCATGTATGTTTCGTGAACTTCGGGGTTTGGGTGGGGTGGGAAGGGGGGGAATGTTAAGGTCCCTGTGAACTTGCTCATGTCATGTATGCTTTGTGAACTTCGGGGTTTGGTTGGGGTGGGAGGGGGGGGATGTTAACGTCCCTGTGAACTTGCTCACGTCATGTAGGCTTCGTGAACTTTGGGGTTGCCTGGGTTATATATATATATTTACACGCAATATGACACAATGAAGAACACATTTTGATATATATATACACGTATAAACGTGTGCATACATATACATTTATTTCCACTATTGTATACATACGAATGTACATACTTTCTTGTTTATATTAATGCACATAAATATATTTCTCACTTACGTACACACACACACATATATATATGTATATCACATGTTATATATATATAATCTTTATAATATATATATATATACATACTTATGTTTAGGCAACTTAAATTAACTTGTCGGGGAATGTTCCATTGCACTTTCTCAAACAGTTGGCCAACGCTTGCAACGCTTGCTGATAATGGCGCAAGAACAAAACAAGGCGCAAAGAACAAAAGGCGCCAAAAAACACCAGTTGCCCAAGGGCGGCGCGACCTGTTAGTTTACCAGAGTGTATCGATTTATTACACACATATCCCAGCAAATATGGACTGTATTATTTATAATGCTTAATCAATGGCGAATACCATTTGGTAATCAACCAGAATGGCGATATCCATAGACTTGGCATGAATGGATCACCCTTCAACCAAAAACCGGCTTTGTTCCCGCTAAGTCACATGGAGAAGCAACCCAGATCTGGTTGATAATGCTGTTGGGTGGTTGATGAAGACGACATTTGTCTGAAAATGATGCATACCCAAGAAACACCATAGCCATTCCATCATCGGGAAAGACTTCAAGAATGGAATGGACCTGGTTTTGCATCCGTGACTGATTTAGCTGTGGTGCTACACGCAGGGGCACCAACACGGCAATGGAAAATGCTTGGATTACCAGTGCATAAGGTTTTGATCCACCTTATTGTTGGTGAAATCTCAAGGTGAATTCCCATTTTTATCCTCACAAGATACTCATCTTCTTGGTGAAATCTCCATCTTTCTGGGGATGGTGAAACCCCCATGGATGGCGTTGCAGGATGCATGAGACCTTTAAGGACAAGTTGCATTTCTATGTGGTCTTTGAGCCTGGCCCTAGGAAAATCCTTTGGTATCGAAGTTGGTCTCAAGATCCAACGCGTTTAGCCCATTTCTAATTTGGAACTGGCAATCAAGATAGAAAAAACTATGCTATTATATGACATTAATCGGCCATAGTAAGAAAACTATAGCTCAAAAATTGCATTGGACTGAATTTGGAAGATGATTCTCCTGGAACGGGTAATGATATTGTGCCCTTGGCCTGCCATGTTTGAGGCTTTGCGAGGGTCTCCGGGTCTTCGACTACATCATGGAGTCCGAAACTCACACGGAGCAGGACGCCATGTTTGTCGTAAAAAATATGTCTCATCGTGCAGGCATTGAAACATTCCTTGAAATGGTGGTTAACAGTCTAAGTTAACAGTCGTTAAAAAAACATCTGAAATGGTAGTCAAATGTGGTTAAAGAGCATCTTAATACATGTTAAAACATGGTAACACGTAGTAAGCTTGGTGATTTTTTTCGACAGCACATTCGACAATGCGCTGTCAGGAGACGGCAGCGGTGGTGCAGCAGCTGGTTCAGCCAGGGCCTTTTTTCTTACAAAGGGAATATCAATGAACTGTTTCAAAGGAAAATCCACAGGAAACCATGGTTATCCTCAAAAACTTATTGGGGGTTCTTGGTAAAAACCACCAGTTTCAACCGTAAATCTTCCCTGAACTCAACCGATCCTGCAGGGCAGTGGACTACATGCACAGTCGCCTCATTTGCCACCGTGACATCAAGCCAGAACACGTTCGATCCTCAGCGATTTCTGTCAACTCACCAGAATTTTTTCACTTAGATGAATGATCTTGAGGGAATCCTGAGGACACCAGAATTTTGGCACTTTGAATGTGGAAAATTTGTGGTTAAATCATGTGAACTCCCTGTGTTTGGCACTTAGATCCCTATGTTTTTGTTGCTAGACTTGCTACAGAGTTCCCCCATCTGTCGGTCCACGAATGAAGTCACCCGGATCTGACCGAGGTGCTCCTCAAAGATAAGGGAAGCCTCACGCACTGTTCCGTGAAGGTGGGAGCGATCGGGTGGAGGCTCCGATTTCCCAGGTAGATGACATGTGGCTGACCAATGCTGACCAAACTTGGTCAAGTTTTTATCCAGTGCCCGGAAAAGCAACGTGGCAATTTTTGGTCCTTTGGCCTAGTGACGATCCGATTTTTTGGGGTGTTTTTGTGACAAAAAAACGAAACACTGAACTCTGCAAAAAACTCTGCAGGTCATAGACTTCAAGACTGCTTCTGAGTTTTTAGCCCCCGGGCACGTCTGATACCTATGGGTTGCCTTGGGCTGGAGCTGCGTTGGCTGCACCCTCAATTTAACATAGTTATGGGAAGTGGTGCATTTATAGATGATTTTACCTATTAAACCATTAAACATGATGGAATTCCCTTAGTTAGCTATGTTAAATCATCAGAGGATGCTACTTCGTACTTGAAAGTTCCAGAGCCTCAAAGCATGGCAAAGCTAAGGTCTTCACCGAGAGGACAGGTACACCATACTACTGCTCCCCGCAGGCTCGGGAGTTGACTTTGATTTTGCAGCTGGAAGACATAGCTCAAAGATGCTCGAAATAATCTACACATTCTACACAGAATCGGATAGAATTGGATGGTTGAATACATACCATGTCCACTTAGGAGTGTCCAATTTTATCCCCTTTGAGGTCGTCATAGCGATGTGTTTCTCGTGACCAGCTTCAACGAGACATGACCAGAGCGTCAGGTGTACCAAGGCAGATATACCGAGTCTTGCGACCTGTGGCCCAAGGCTTAGTTGACACTAACCAGCTGCATTGGGCTCCAAGTGGTCTATTCATCATATTGCCTAATCAATTAGCATCAATTAGCCATTTTGGGGATCATTTTGGGGATCATTTTGACCCTCCAAGTGGTCCAAGTACCCACAAAAAAATGCTACGGTTTTCTCAATATGAGTTGCCTCGACCTGAGGTCATGTGGCGTGGTGGCTTACCTGCTGCTCCTGGGCTACCCTGAGGCAGACAAGAGGCGCATTGGGGATAGGGCAAACCTCAGTTTAGTAGGTTAAACATGCTTCAACGATTAGTTGAGTCGGAAAGTAGAGGAATATACTAATCTCCTGCCAACAAAAACCTTCAGAACTTGGATTTGTGCTGGAAAAACAACTTCATTGCAGGGTGTCGGACAGTTATAGCCAAGATGAACCGGGGGTTTCCCCTGTGAAGACCACCAAATGGGAGGCAGCTGGAATCGAAAGGCCCCACCAGGGGGAAGGATGTGTCCAGGACTGAGCGAAAAAAATTGGGTGCCCAAGGCTCAAGAGTCTTGAAATCGGATGCGACCCCAAAATGAAACCAGGATTTCTGGTGGCACTGTTGAGTACCTGGAAGGCCACAGGGCCACATATCCCAAGATGGTTCCCACCTGGCCACATCTCACCGACAGCAAATCTCAGAAAATAAGGCTAGAGCTCTTGCCATATCGGCTGGAATTCACTTCTTCCGAGCTTGCCTCAGCGGGTCGCTCACGTGGTGCGAGGGACAGTTTGGTCTGGTAGTTTTGACAGGTTTTGGTTTACCAGCCCAACAAATGGGATGACCATGTGAAGTGATGACCATATGCTTCAGAGTGTTGATGTGGCAAGGATTGGGTGGATCTCTCGCCCGGGGTGAATCAATTTCTTTCTCGACTCCTGACGGACTGCCCGGCTGACGAATTCATATAGCATAGATCCATTTTGGTGAATACTGGCCTTTTCTTGGTGGTCAAGGTAAAGAAGATTTTAGCAGAGTATCTAATGATCTGATAGATTTCATACCTTGATTCTTACCGGTGACTCCCATTTATCTTGTAAACCTATACTAACGTTGTGACTACATGGTGACCGGGCCATGTCTCAGCGGCTTGCAGGAGAAGGAGTCCGATCGTTGGCCCGCCAAAGCTGCTTCGAAGTGTGACTGGCTGCTTCGTCAGGCCCGGCGGATGCGAAATGAGCTTTGCCCTGCCACCAAAAATTGAGATCCCCTGAAAAACATGTCGGATTTCTCCAAGTTCGGAACCAAAATATGGGGTAGAATGCGAATAGGCGAATATAATTTGATCGATCAGCTGGTTGTTGAAGCCCATAGTTTGAGACTTGTCAAACTCTTTTTGGAACGATAAATACAGTTGACAAACTGTGGAAACACCTTGGCTTCTTTTTGTCTTCGGCGGATCTTCTTGTACCATGCATCCTGCGTGGACCAGCTGCAATTCTACCGAATTCCTGCAGTCTTCATGACGGGTGAACGACCTTCCCTGCAGCCAAGAGCCTCAACATGTCATAAGATGTTCAAATCCATTGGCAAAGTATCTTTGGCCACTGTGGTTTGGATCCTGAGTCAGACAGTTGCAGCATCTTGTCTTTTGAAAATCAGATACTGCTTGGAAGCCACTTCCCGAATATTTTCTCCATAGTTGCAAATATGTTCTAGACTTTTCACAGTTCCCAACATGTTTTATCGGAGTGGCTGGTTCCCACCGTATTTATTACCCCACGCTGAGCAGCCGCCTGTTTCCGCGCCATGCCGGACTTACCGGTTGCTCTGACAGATACACAGATGGGGATGCCAATGACCGCAGGTGGGATCCCCTTCATGTGCTACAAAGTCCAAAGGATCGCACGACTGGCGCAACCAGCCCCAGAGGGTGGTCAACCTTTGCTCCTCAGTCTGCCTCCTGGCCCTCCTGCTGGTGGACTAAGCCTCAATGATACACCAGAGACAGGTGCCTCCCCTGCAACGTATGGAGTTTGGCCCAGTTGCTCTCCGGCCGTGGCCCAGCTCCTCCTGGATATCTATGGCCATGCAACCAAGCAGCCTGCCTTCACAGGCAGGGGTCGTCAGGGACACAACTTCTTGTGATGGAACATATGTCATCTGCTGCTGCTGAGAGGGAGGCTGTGGAAAGAAAGCGGCTCATCCTTGGGTGAATTACGCCCTGGGGATGTGAATAGAGTCAGGACTGTTGCGGAAACAAAAAGTGCAAATGGGAAGTCGAGGCATGTTGAGGACTTCAAGATTTGCCAAGACTCTCCTAGAATTGAGCCCTTGTAACAGGCAGCTTTATTTGGTGGTCAGATCTATTGCGAGCATTTTCTGGCGCTTCCAGGGGCTTTGCAGCAGTGCTTGAATAGAGTAAGTCCCTACTGTACATATTTGAGTGAACTGAGGTGTTGATGGACAGAAACCGCATGCCGCCCATGCCATACACCTCCAAGTGGGGATGGTTTGCAAAGCTTATACTAATCGGTTCTGATAAAGAATTGGCAATTTACTTTGGGTTTATCACATGATCAAACATCATCCCCTTCCTTGTGGAGGTATTGCTGTAGGTTTGCCTGGAAGCCCCCCGCTAAAACTAAAACACCACACCTTGCCACTTGCAACCGGTCGAGGCTCCGCAACCGGTGGGAACTCGGGTGCAAGTGGCCGGTCGTCGCCTGAGCGAAGAATGCAGCTGTGGCACAGTTCCATAGTCACCATCCCCAAGTCTTAAAGATCATTGGGCACCCCCAGAACGGTTTAATGCTTAATAGTGGATATACCATCTGGTTATTTAACATAGCCATGGAAAATCCCTCATAAATGGAGGTTTATAGCTGGAAAATCATCTATTTCTATGGGCCATGGCTTCCATGGCTATGTTAGTCATAACCAGAGTGTAGTGGTTGATCATGGTTCATAATGGTGGCGGCCAATCCCATCAATGGTGGCGGCCAATCCCATCCCCCGTTCAAATGAAATGGTCCCAAATCTATCATCCCTTACGTTTCACCATGGTTTCTGAGGGTTTTTGGTGTGAACGGGGGGATGTGATTACAACAATAATCCCGTTCCTAGGGGTATACCCTATCCCAATTTCATAAACTACAAATTGGGGATGGTGACTATCGTGGATCCACTCATTCGCGATTGGGCTGTTTTTAGAGTCGCGAATGTTCATATGTAGCAGGGCCATGCTCGTCCGCAGGTGATGCGATCGGATTGGAGAAATTGCGAACGTCGGAGTTTGCAGAGGAGCTGCAAAAGAGTCAGTCCTGCCGGCCTGTCGAAGCAGCTTTGAGAACCAATGATCATGGGAAATCCAGGGAATAACCTGAATAACCTGACCCAATTTCACCATTTGAGGTTTGATGATAAACCATCCACACTTGGGGCTTACTATACCTTACTCATTTCCATGCCATTACCAGGGGGATACCACCACTGCCATCCCGTCTCCCGTCCATGTCAGGGCGCGAAAGAAGAAACAAGAAGAACATAAGGAGGAGCTTTTAGCCTCGAAAGTGCCTTGGTTGCCAATTAATCACGTAACATGCATGATCATGCATGGATATTTCACCCATTCACCCATTCCATCAGTATGGATTAATACTCTGTGATGGGATACTTGTTCCAACCGTCATCACCGTATCCAAGGATATGTGTGGGTCCTCCCCATAATCCCATAGTTTAGTTTAGAACATCAGTTGCCAATTGAAATTAATTATCATGAAATTACTATAAGTCAATCCTCCACTATTTTTGGACAAACTCAAATGATTTGGCGCCACAAGCACAAAACACGCACGTGGATTTCACCACCAAAAGCGGGGTACGATGGGTAGATCATCATTTCAAGGTGCATAAACATACCAGCAGAATGATCAAGGCAACTAGAATGCATATGCGAGTGCTTTTTAACTTGGGGGTACCCAAAATCATTGGGTATTTCCAGATTAAACATATATAACTAAGCTTGGTTGACTTTGGGTCAACCACTCTTTTTAAAACCTCCATAGAGGCACAAACCACGCTTGCTGTTTCGTTGTTGCGCCAGTGAGGTGGCTGCAATGAAGACTTTCAAAGTCTGACCAACACTGAAGCCACGGGGTACCCCGATGAGCATGTTCCTCTCCGGAATGCTGCTCTGTGTACATATGGACAGTCAACAATGCGTTGACAAGGCATTGACAAGGCTTGTGCTTGATATGGCTGTAGTTAAAGTAACTAAATATAGAGGTTTTACTGGGAAACTATGATATGGCTTTGTATCACAATTTTGGTGTTTTTCCTGCGGCAAAGGGTCTGCAAAGCAGACGTTCGCAGACATTCACATGGCAGATGCAAGTCTCAAAATGATGTGTCGGTGAACTGTGAATTTGCGAGTTCGAAGAATCTGATGAAATGGCAACATTATATAGATGACAACCATCATCAACCTATTTCAATGGCCTTTTTGTTGCACAACAAATGACAGATATGCCAAAAGCACATCGCGGCCAAGCAATTGGTTGGTCTCTCAATGGTCCGCTTGATGGTCGATCGGTCCGAGGAGCATTCTGGCTCACCGGTTAATACAGAACTTGTTTCTTCCGACCGACGAGGTCGACGGTGAAGTCGATGGTGAAGTCTGATGGGGGATTCTCTAGCATCGAAAACCGAACAGTTTTGCACTTGAATGGAACATATGGAACTCAGTCATCAAACATGTGAAGCCTCGAGCTCCATTGACCTGCGGACAGGTCATGGCGATGCGTCAACCAAGCATGCAATCTGAGGAGTGTGGGAAAGCTTTCAGCAGAGACCTAGGGACCAGAATAATAAGACATATTTGAAATCAAAGAATTCAATGCTTTTATGATCTTTCATTATTTTATGTAATGTTGGAGGAAAGAAAAGGAAAGGCATTCTATATTTTTCAATGTGACTAATCCAGTTTCAAATACGGCTTATGAAAGCAGCATTGTCCTTGAAGCTTCTTGGGAGAGGAACGAAGGATCAAGTACTTGTAGGGGAGCTGGACAATATACATATAATCTTAGCGTTCCAAGCTTTGGATTTTTGCTCAACACAGGTCCTCATTAATAGTACACTAGACCAAACAAAACTGGGTACCCTTAGTAGCTCATATAGCATATAGCATTCGAGTGCCACCGTTTCTTTGGGTTTACGCTGTGGACATGTTGATGACTAGCGAAGTTCAGGATGAACCTCCACCATCCAAGATCTTTCCCATCGAGTCGGGGGCACAGATTGGTTTGAATATGGCCATGGCAAGGCCACAAAAAACGATGCCCAGAATTTGGAAAGCTGTGGTTTATGGTAGATATACGTAGATATAACTATAGTAACTATATATAGTTAATGGACTTTATAATGGTTTATAAACCAACAAACATAACTGGGGGGCACCATCCTGTGGAAGTACTCATCCTGGAGCCTTTGTTTTGGGTGATCTTCCATGGACCACTTGAGGCTGTTTGCTTGTTGCCCATCAGCGGTCAGCGGCTAAGTTGATCTCATGATATGCTGCATGTTTTGTCGCCAAGCATTGAGCCAATGTGTAGGAATGACATTTGACAGAGCAGCTGAGCAGCGGCGGAAAGGGTTTGAGACTGATTGCTGCACTTCCTTTTGCTCCTTGAAATCTGGCTCCAGCTCGCTCGTGAAAGAGTCCTCGTTGTGATCAGCGATTCGCCAATTTCCTCTGCAAAGAGTTCGTTCGACCTCTGAATCTCTCTGGTCTTCGTCTCAGTGGTGTCATGGCGCCAACCAATGCTCTCAAACCCTCGGGAGCTTGGAAGAATCAGCCAAGTGTACCATCTGGAGATGCGAATGCCGGTAGCATTGCCCATCTGAAGGAGGGCATTGGGAAGATCGATTTTCACACCTCAAAGATGCCAGTAAGGGTGGCCTGTTGCTTAAAACCCTCCTGGTTGAGCTGTGATATGTTTGGCAACATCTTAGAAAGGGTCATCCTCCTGGTTGCAGAACTTGCCCGGTAGGTGTCAATTTGCCCAATTCATTGGTTGAATAGCACAGCTCAGGAAATTGCCATACTTGATGGTAGTAACCATGCTGTCCGTTAGATTTTCCCATGCTCCCACTACAAAATTAACGAACCAGGGGACCACCAGGGGCGCAAAAACAGTGGATCTCTGAGTTTAAAAAAGTACAGGTACAGAAAACGCACCGCCCCATCCCTATCTCTTTATAGTCAATATTGTGTGGATTCATTGTTTTCAATTTTATTTGGTTGGTAGAGGTGCAAGAAATTGCCAAACACCATGGAAAAACAAAACAAGAACTGTCAAGACCCAATTCTCTGCAGCATCTCACCTGAACCATCTGCCTATGGAACAAAAAAAACAACCAAAAAAAATGACAGGACCCAATTCTCTGTATCTTCTCCCACCCCTTTGGGGTTTGCATTTTTTTTTGTGGTGGCGGGGGCTTTTAGTTTTTGGTGTAATTGGATGGGCAGGAGAGATGCTGTACAGGTGAAACCTGTTTAGTATACCGAACAATATACCAATGTCCAGTATTGCCGCAAAAGATATTGCAGTGTTTAAAAGAACTGCATAGTTTAATTAACAATGTTTCATGTACAGAGTGCACGTGTCTCTCATAGTGTGCCTTCCTTTAAAAGCACCAGCACTACATTTTTCAGAACAACAGTTCTCTAAAGAATAATGCAGCATTTGTTTTTGGAAAAGGCATACAATCTTTTGCAGAGTGCAATTTTGTTTCAATCAATCTTTGCAGTCCAAAGATGGAGTGTTTTTTGAAAGGATTGTAGTTTTCTTTTTGTTAAGCAGGTCTTCAGCTGCAAGATGCACATTCTTATTGCACAATGCCGTATACACTGAAAGAAGTAACATGTTTGTAAATGCACAATGCACACTGCTTCCTGAATCATGAATAATCTATATATAAGCTTAAGAGGCAGATATTTTTTCACATGCATGTCTAAGTACATTGAAAATAAACTCTTATCTTGTAAAAATTGAAATAAGTGCACGCTGGCAGTCCCCACCTCTGGTTCAATCAATGGATCTCCCCGTAGCTTCCCAGTAGCCTCCCAAGCTTCCAGGAAATGGGCTTTGCTGAGTCGGAGTGTAGAAAGGCTTTGGCGGAGTGTGTGTGGGATGTGAACAGAGCCCTTGATCTCCTCGTTTCCAGTCAGTTTAGTCGGTGAGTGTGGCAAAAAATCTCTGATTTTCGCAGAAAATCCACTAAGATCTCCAAGGTTGAGTCATTTTTTGCGACCAATTCCGACAAATCCAAGGTTTCCCGAGGGGCCTGTGCTTTGGCTCCCCTTCCGAAGAGCGAAGTTCGAGGCCGTTGCTATGTTCTGGTGATCAATCGCTTGAGCCCCGGGCCAAATCATCCAAAGATCCAAGCAAATTCCAATTCACACCTGTAAACATCCTTTTAGAATCCATCCACATCCACATCCATAAAAAGCCCTAAGAATCCATAAACATCTATAAGATTCAGATGAATTTTCCTCCTCCTTCAGGCAATGATAGCTCGGACCTCGGCAACAAGTCCAGGGATGACAATTCGACCACGGCATCTTCGGTGTCAACGCCCAGAACGAACACGAATCTGGCCGCAGAATCTGGACAGGTGGCTGAGACTACTGAGACAACGGTGGAGAGCAAGGTGGGTGGAAAAAAAACCTGCGAATTTGTCTGCTAAAGCATGACGTCTGTGGGTTTTATTGTGTATTATATATATATAGATATTGTAGATATACAATCATACACGCGCATTGATGTATGTATGTATACATATATATATATATATATGTATATGTATATGTATATGTATACGTATACGTATAAGTATATGTATATGTATATGTATATGTATACGTATACGTATACGTATATGTATATGTATATGTATATGTATATGTATATATATGTTATGCAGACATATACATATCCACCTAAGCCGCTCATGTCCACTCCGGATTTTCAACTCCAGATTTTTTTGTTCAAAGCTTGTTAAATTGAAGGGATGCTCTGTCTGTTGGTGATGAAGCCCTGAGGAAGCATCCCAAAAGCCAATTCGACGAGTGTGTAACCGTGTGAATGGGGAGGGTGCTGGCCTACTATCTGCGGAAGTGGATGACTTTGTCCGTGTGTGGCCTCACTCTCAGACTGAGTTGGGGTGGATATATGCAGAAGATCCTATAGATGCATCAAGGGCAGGTTGGTTGCCCTCAGTTGTGCTCGATCAAGTTGAAGAAGAACACCATGCGTGGTTGCTCGTGCACAAGACCATGGAGGCAACTCATCCCAATCAGTTGGATGTGAAATTTGGTCAGGTGCTCAAAGTCAATCTCAAATCACGAACGCCTGAAGGCTGGGCGTATGCGTATGCTGTTTCGGGGACTTCCAGTAAGACCAACGCGGCAGGATGGGTCCCAGTGATCAGCTTGTGTTGGGAAGACGACAATGAGCCGAAGGAGTGAGTGAATTCGACACTGGCGCGGCCAGAATCGGAGCAGTCAAGCTGGGCTCATGCAATACTAAGGCTGGCTGTGAAGACAACGTTTGTCACGTCAAGTCAGTTTTGATGTATCAGACATATCAGACTAAATCTAAACTCAAGACATACAGGATATACAGGACTATACAGGTGAACAGTCTAAAATTACCAGCATCATGGTTGCCACCGATCGGAGTTCCTTGTAACAGCCGCCGACTCGGCCAGTCGATCCCTTCCTGGCCCTTGCTTGTTCGTCTTTGAAGATCTGCTCCTATGGTCCTATCCGCCACTGTGGCGGATGCCTTGAGGTGCAAACTTGCAGGTTGTGAACTATCTTTGTATGCTGACCTATCCTGCACTGTGCTGGAACTGCATGGTGTACGCATGCAAATGGTGTGAAGAAAAAGCTGAACAAAGCTGCAAGGCAGATTGTGAACTTGAGCTAGTAAAAATGTAGAGAAACATGGCAATGGGACATCCACAAATCGTGAACGATGATCTACCGATCGAAGACTTCAGATTTCCAAGCATCTGCAGTTTTGAGCCTTGCACTGCCCGAGATTAAAGTCTTGATTCCTGGAACCTGGATGAAGATACAGGACGGGATTGGATGGGTTCAAGATGCAGCTGTGCAAGCTAAACACGGTCAGAATGATGACCCGGGGCCCTAGAACTGTCCCATGCATGTAATTTGACCATGACACATGTGGCTTTTTGTCCCTGGGGCCCTGGAATTCGAATGATTCTTTGGAGGGTATCATGGCAGGACTGCACACACTTGATTCTCGTGGCTCGGGACTCGGTTCATCTCGTTCATCTCAATGCTGAGAACTTGGAGTTGCTGAAGATGGACCTCAAAATACCGTTTTTTTTTTTTACATCATTTTCCCATGGTTTTCCCCATGTTTAGATTGTTATTTGGGGCTATACCTTTTCAGACACACCAAGTCAGAGAGATTCACCATAGGTTTTTCAGCCCACCATGACGACCAGTAACTGGGGGAATCCTCCGTGCAGTCGATGTAAGGACCATGGTTGGACCCATGGTTGATGGGTTAAAGACCATAAAGAATGTGACTTGTTATGCTTAAGTGATCTTAAGTGGGTATGGGTCAATACCTATAGATACATTTTTAGTGGGATGAACATCCATTTACCAGCTATTTTGGGGTTCACTAGGTACCAGGGTTTTGACCCATCCCCAAGTGACTAAAATAGAACCTCCATAAACCTGCAAGATTTGATATGGTCGATGTAAAAGAACCCATGGTGAAACCCTCGTGTTTCCGAAGAAACATATCCCTTGAGCGATTCCACCCACAACTTGGCGCTGAAAAATGGCCACCGTAGGTGGGCACTTTGGCCTGCATTGTGGAGGCAGCCAGCAGGGTATCCATAGATAAGACACTTGAAAACCTGACAATTCTGAGGCAAAGCATCATGTATCTGGAAGAATTTCTATGTATCACACATGTTAAATATCTTTTTTATTCTTTTTTGGGGATCACTGAAGTCTAAGATGGACCCGCCAAATCGCAAGTTCCAATGATTGGACATGATTGGACCCTTTTCCAAACGCAGTTCAGGGGGGTTTCATCTTAAGATATCTTAAGCTTCAGCTGGGCACGAAGAGTCTACCTTCCAACAAATCGGACGGTGGAATATGCCTCCCCTGACAGTCGATGATTTTCCCCATTCCATGCAGTGATTCTATCTTTATTAAAGCTTCCGATTTTTCATTGCCATTTCCGGGCGGAACTGCTTGGGTCAGCAACTCCCATGGTCAGCAGCTTGGCGCCTTTTTGTTCTGCCAGATGGTGCGGACCATTGCCAAGCTGATCAGTGCAAAATGTCCCGACCCCAGATGTTTGGGGATTCAGGGGTACTACTGTAACTTAACCTACCAAAAAGCACCAGATATCTCCGTGGTGATCCCCTAGATCCCATTACTTGCACCACGAACCAAGGTTTGGAATATGGATGCGTTAAAGAGCTGCTTTCCATCGCCGCCTCCTCACATTTCGGAACGGTTGAGGGCACCAATTGGCTGGGCCACGGCTCAAAAAATTGGGCACCAAAGGGGAGCAACATGTGTGAGGTGTAGTGTTCGACCATTCCAATTTAGACATACTTAAATCGCCTTAAATCATCTTAAGTTCAACATTTACTGGTGAAATTCTGATAAATTTTGAACCCATCCATGTTGATCAGCGGAGCTGCGGAGATGTGTCCTGGAGGCTGTTGGACCATCTAAAGATGTTGCCTCCATTTGAGGCCACTTTCAATGTATTTTCATCACGTCCCACATAGATCGGAATTTTCTTTGAGATAATCATCGATGATCTATTCATATCTGTTCTCTCAAGATAAATCGATTTCAACCTGTGGAAAACTCCGGAAAAAAACTCTGAAGAGAAGATTCGAGGTCTTCATCGCCCCCTGTGTCTTCTACATCCTGACCATCATCAACCAATACGACGATCGCTTGCAAGCGAAGCAACGCGCCGCCAAGATGGAGAAGGCGCGGCGTGTCGTGTTGGGATGGGGCTGGGGGATGAATGCAACCATTGAACATGGGGATATCATTGGGATATAAATGTATATATATAATTATATATATATACGTATATACGTATATACGTATATACGTATATACGTATATATATATATATATACGTATATACGTATATACTCATATATACATATATACATATATACATATATATATATACATATACATATATACATATATACATATATACATATATACATATGTACATATGTACATATATACATATATACATATATATATACACATATATACATATATATACATATATATACATATACATATATATGTATATGTATATGTTTATGTTTATGTATATATGTATATGTATATATGTATATCTATATGCATATATGTATATGTATTGAAGATATTATGGGGGATATCCTAGGAATATAGTGGAGATATAACGGAGATATAACCAACTTATACCAACTTGATATGATAATTATATACAATCATTGGTTTGTTCATTGGTTTGTTTGAATGAGATACCCCCCAATTCACAGCCATTTTGATGAAGAACATGATAAACCAGATCAACCATCAAAATTGCTCCAATGACTGGGATGATTCTTGCAGAAAGCGTTGTGCAAAGCATGCACCCTCAGTGGATTCTTGGATGTCAGGATTGTTGGAATGTAATTCTGTGGTAAACACAACAACAGGCATCAAAAGACGGTAGTTGGATACGTGAGTAGCTATGGCTTATGATTTTACATGATTTTACAGGACCACTGCTACACTGCTGTTTTTGTGAACAGTCCCTTCGGTAAGCTTTGCAGAAGTAGAGCACGTATTTCAATATTTACGCAGCACGTCCTCCAATCAACTTGACGCTGCAATTTACATTGGGTTCTCTCCACATGGCAGAGTGTGGGACCCCAAAATTTCCTCTAAACAAATATCTGGGTGACCCCTCCAATCTATAGCCCAATGTTTTGGATGAAGATTTTTCACCCAGCCACCATGTCGTCCACAGGAAAACTTGGCTCGGTCCTACAACGACCTCCTCTCCGACATGGACGGCCTCCTCTCAAAGTCCGCCGAGTGACGACCTCGACGACTTCGTTTGGAGACTCTTCGGGGTCAAAGTTTAGGTCTCTTGAAAGACCAAACATTTATTAAACTAACATAGCTATGGAAAATCACTATTTTTAATGGGAAAACCCACTATAAATTGCCATTTTCAATAGCTATGTAACAAATTACCAGAGGGAAACATTTATGAAACCACATTCTGTAAACATCTTTAAGCCCATTTAGGTAGAAAGACCAACATTAAAAAAAACCCAAGCTTTTTTTTCTACAAGTATTCAACCAACATTTACCAAACAACGTTGATAAAACCAGCGGTAGCGACGCTGAGGTCCTCAGCGGGCCTTGCTGAGAGGACCTTCGAGTCCAAGAGACGCGATTTCCAGCGATTCCTGGAGAGGGTCAAGTGGGGATTCCCTGTTTCAGGACGATGGCGAAAAACGAGTTTTCCTTTAGGATTTTTCTGGTGCTTTAAAGGCACCATGAAAAATAGCTGGATTTTTATGGTGATTTAAGAATCACATATCGTGGTTTAATATGGTGAAATGTGATTTATGCATTGAGATAGTGCGTTTTGGGGCAAACCAACCATTGAACGGATATATATATATATAAGCGATTTGATATGATGTGGCTTTGTCTGGAAATGTGTGGCTATGGGTTCATTGGGTATCCAGATACACATGGCCAACATCTGTGGGTTGGCGGGCTGTAAATGGCGCCCAGGTTTGCCCCCCTGCCCCACCGTATAGTATGATAGTATGAAAGATAACCAAATCGATGGGTTTGTTGATCAAATTATGAACCACCCCCAGATTCAACTATCTCACTCACCTGACTACCTCACCGGACCCTTTGATATCCTTTTATATTCTCCCAAACAAGTTCCCTTTCTCAGACAAACTTCCCACACTCGTAGATTCTGTGCTGGCAGGGAGCGATACAAGGTCTATGCAGGCACAAAGGCACCGCTCCGGCTGCATGAAGTTGTGGTCAGTTTCGTGGTCGAGAAAACAATGACTATCCCAGTCCTCAAGCATTTGTGGGCATTTATTCTTTCTCCAGCATTTGGGCCCCCAAAATTCACCACAAGTGTTCGGTTTGTTGGTATGGGAAACTCATGGGTCCTGTTTAGGTTCTTGAGGTGAGCTGCTATTCCAATCCTGGTGTGTAGCGAGCTTCAACATATCCAGGGTCCACCCAACTGAGGCCAATCGGCCAATCCCTCCTTTTGCACCAAGCCGACTGGTGTTCAGTCCATGCATTGTGGAACTCCCAAGAGTCACCTGGGGCAGTGGGGCCAGGATGGGGAGCAGCTCCTGCGACAGTTCAAACGTTTCTGTTCCAACTGGCTCCATGTCTTCCAGGCGAGGGGATGGCGGTGGAATAGTCCACACAATTTTCATTTGATTTGTTGGGGAATAGTCCCCAGTCCATCAGTTTTGCATAGTTTTGCCATACCCAGATACTTGGCAAAAAAAGGGCCTCAGGACACTTTGTTTTCTGCAGGAGTGCTCCATCGATCCAATCAACTACCCCAAGAAGGTCATTGCGCAGAAGGACTGGTGCCTTGATGGTGAGGCGGCCTGGAGTCGGTCAAAAAAGGCAATGAGAGGCAATGAGAGGCGATCCAAAATTTTATCAGATACCATCCCTGTATCCCATAGCATAGCTGTAAATTAACGCCTTTTACCATCCCTGTAGCATCCCATCCACTGATTCTCCAGGACCTGGAGGACTGCACCAGCATTTCCGAGGCTGTGGGTCATGGCTGAATCCCGGCCGGGACCATTTACAGAACACCCCCCAAAACATGGTGGTAAAATGTGGTAAAACATGATAGAACACAGCCATATTTATCCACTGGTGTTTTTTAAATCCAACGGAGGGATGTAGGTCTGCCAGAACCCCCAAAGTCCGAAAAAATCAACACTCAGTTCAAAACGTCAAAAAGGTTGGTGATTTTTCAATATGTTTCCATCCGCAACTACAGCATGATTCACTTTACCATAACGCTGACAAACTTTTATGGGATGAGTATGAAATGACATCATACTACCCATTTATCCATTTACTGTACACATATTTACACCTATTGGTTGAATCATAACCAGATAGTACATGAATCAACACGATCAATATCTCAGGTAGAGATTATGCATTGCTACACCTAGAAGTTATGACCCCCGGTGAGGTCGCAGATCTGTGCTTGGATCGGTTGAAGAAGACCGAGGCTGGGAGATGCGTTTGACGCAGATTCATGGGGATGTGGTGTTTTTGACTATGATGGTTTCATGGGGACGATAAGTTTTTAAGATGCGTTGCATCTTCTTTTTTTCGGAGATGGGAATAACATGGAATAATCATTTAAAAAAAACACATGTTGAAGCATCCGATATCTATCATCACGGTGTTATGCACTTATTTATAACTTATCTCATTGGGATAGTTTGGGATATATGGTCACTTCGTTTTTCGTGAGTGGGAATCACCATCAAGCAGCAGGGCATACGTTTTTTGTGTGCTGCGTGGAAAAGTAAACAGCTGAAGCCTCCCAACACGAATTTTTGATGATGATTGCCTGCTTTTGGCCCATCGAATTTTTAGGGGTTTCACATGTTTTATTTTATTTTTTTCCGGCAGTGTACATGGCAGTCATTGAGTCAGAAAAAAGGAACTGACATCCATGGGTTCGCATATAGGGATTTTAAATATTTTTAAATGGTCATTATAATCCACGTAGGTGATATGCTCATGCGCCAGTGCAAGCAAAAGGGACAATAGCTCATTTTTTGTACAAGAGTGCCACGGGTAGCACCCCCCTGCGTGAATCAAGTAGTTTATGAGGCACGAAAAACAACTTGGTCCTATAGCCACTATTTTGACTACCTCACATTTGGCAAACCATTTTTAATTAGTACAATTAGTAAAATATAACTTGTAATTAAGAACAACATAGTGCAAGGATAGCTGTTGCATGTGACTTTTCATGGACTGTTACATATACCACCTGAACCGCAGGGTGGGACTAAGGGCCAAGCGAGAAACAGAGCGACACTGCTGTCGCGGACTCTGAGGTGAGTCATCCCCCCGAACTTCCCTGTAGCTAGGGACGTGTTGCGACCGGTGCCAATTGCATGGTAAGCGGAGCCCTGCTTGGGGCAACTGCTTGAGCTCTTGGACCTCTACGGTATTGGCTACATCCAGCGGAAGGTGGACATTCCGGTGGAGACCTTTGGCATCCTGGCGCCTCTTCGAGCTGCAGCTTCCTACATCGTGGTGACCCTCTACAACCTCCTGGGGCTACTTGACTGCGGAGCTCTACGACGACTCTGGGCGGACAACATGCCCGACGATGGTGCAAAGGTGCCAGCATGGAACAGGGACCCTTCGTCCTTTGAGCAGTTCGTGCAGGACTGCAAGTGGTATGAAAGCAGCCTGAAACAGTCGGAGCGCAACCTAGCAGCTTCGAGAATATGGAGGAGTTTGACCGGAGCAGCCAAAAGCGTGGTGAGGCATCTGAGTCCAGCTGACTTTGACAGCCAACATGGACTTCAGAAGATGTTAGAAGTTTTGAGAGCAAGCCCGCTCCAACAGCTGCCGGTGACCGACTCCTTTGCAAGGTTGGAACGATGGTCATCGATGAGGAGAACAACAGCTGAAAGCATACCTCAACTGTTGGTGCGAGAAGAGGAAAGGTTCACTGAACTACAACAGTCACTGAGCCGTGCGAGGCAGGAGAGGACGGCCATGAAGTCAACTATGACGGGACCGAGCGCTAGCAGCCCTCCTATGTCACCGTCGAGATCTCCTGGAATGGGCGTTGGAATGTCACACGTGGATGAGAGCCAGGAGAATGCCAGCAAGGAGATGAAGTCCGACACCCCGATCGAGAAAGACTTTTTCGGAGATGAGTTGCGAGGTTATAGACTGCTGAAAGCAGCAAGACTGTCGACGCAGGAAAGACAGTCAATCCTGACGTTGACTGGAAACAGCACTCGCTTCGAGGAGATCAGAAGGGCACTTCGGACGCTCTTTGCGGATGAGGCCAATGAAGAGAGCATCAAGCGCAAGAATGTCTGGTGGGTTGATCCGGAGTTGGATCAATGGAACTATGAGAATGAGGAGCTCTATGCCGACGACTACATGGATGAATGGTGGACTGCAGATGAGAGCAGCTACTGGGCTGGTGGCTATGAGGATGACGGCAACTGGGATGCTGGTGGTGACGCCTACTTCGAACCATGGCAAAGCGATGGTTGGGATGACAGCAGCCCAACTCCGAGTGACTTCGTCAAAGAGGACACCAGCGACCTTGGAGCAATACCTGAACAAGAACGCTATGAAGAAGCCTACACCCTAGCCACTGAAGCGGCAAGAACCCTCAAAGAAGCCAGGCATGCGGTGGCCAAAGTCAGAGCCGCCCGTGGATACTATGATGTGAATGGAATGAAAGGAGCTCCAAAAGGAGCAAAAGGTAAGAACAAGGGCAAGTCAAAGGGATCCAGCTCGGTCCAGGACCATGCTTCCGTTGCGGAAGTCCACACCATACCTACAACCATTGCCCAGATCGGTTTTCGAGCCCTTCGGCAAGTCCGAGTGGATCACCTATGAATGGTGGCAAATCGAAAGGCAAGATGCACACCAAGGGCAAAGGCAGAAAAGGAAAGTCCAAGCACCAGGTGGCCTACAGCTACGACTACTTCGTGGACGTCTCCCAGTATGCGGAAATCGCCAACGAGGACTACTTGGAGGAGTCCATCTACGTGATGTCTATGCATGATGACAGAACGGTGTCAAACCAGGGTGTCCACATGGTCATCGTTGACACCGGGGCCACTGAGTCAGTTTGTGGAGCTAATGCAATGGCCCGCATCTTGGACACCATGAACGTGCCGACCTACGAAGTGTCGCTTGCCGACAGACCAACCTTCAGGTTTGGCAATGGGTTGTCGCAGAGGGCAACTTCGAGAGTGGATGTGACAACGAATGCGCTGGGCAAGCTGAGTTTCTACATCCTGGACGGCGAGGCGGAGAACACCCCTCCTCTTCTTGGTGGACGCGAGATGAAGGAGCGCAAGGCTATCGTGGCCTACTGTGGATCCTACTTTGCACATCGAGATCCTCATGGCACGTGGTTGGCAAACGACCTACATCATCTTCGAGGACGACATGTGGCCATCGACGTGAGCGAGCAACCTCGACCTCTTCAAGCCAAGATGAGAGACCTACGTGGACGTCGAGCCGGAGAAGATCATCGTGACGGAGAAGATGGTGAAGATCATGGACGAGGAGATGATGACGACCCTCCTGAAGATGGACATGGTGGTGATCGTGCGATCGGGAGATTGTCATCGAGATCGCGCAGTGCCTACAGAGCTGCTGGTGACCTTGGAGTACATGATGCTGTGCGATCCGCAGCATTGGCTGAACCTCAAGAACCCCAAGGTGAAGTCGAACCTCGACTTGAAGATGAGAATGAAGGAGAAGAAGAAGATGCACCCATGGAAGATGACCAGACGGTCGACCCTGGAAACGCTCCCCCTCAGTACCAGTCTCCTCTTCTACATGGAGTACCTCTCCAACGTGAAGACATGGTTGGAAAGATGAGTGACTTTGAAAAGTCCTTCCTTGAGGAGACAGAGATGGTGAAGCAGGCGATTGTCGTCTCAACAAGCGTGGCCGAAGTACCCACGAGCAGTTCTCCTGCAGGTTTGGTACGCTGTAGAGTACCTTGGTGCCAAGGATGCGGCTGTCGGCATATGACCATGAAGCCCACTTGGGATGGTAGTGATGATTCTGAAGAGCCTGAGTCAAAAAGTGCAGCAGCCCCCGAATCCAGACATGAGCCCAATCACGAACATGACCCCCATGGACATGATGGAAGGTACCATGGACCCTCTGGACCAAGTGGTGGCAGTGGAATGGTTCTCATGGTGTCGCCTCATGGACACGGTCATGGAGAACGAAAAGATGAGTCAAGACTGCAGGATTTGGCTCGAAGACTCTCTGACTTGAGGAGCCGGATCAATGGCTCAGTCCCGAGTAGCAGCCCCGACAACCGACCCTCGTCACCTGGGATGGCCATGCAGCGGAACCCACTGTCCTGGAAAGGAGAAGTCAAACCAGTACAGCACGTGGGTGACATGCAAGAAGTGCGGCTTGAGGCTGAGTTACAAGGTGAAGGCCTCTCGCGGTGGCCACGGAGAGACGAGAACGCTGGGAGCCCCTCCAGAACACGTGCAGCTGGCGCAACAAGAGCTGGCCCAGATCTACGATGCGGTGGACATGAACGAGAAGATCATGCTGGGCAAGATCATGGAGATCAAAGGACGCCAGCTCCTTCATACAAGGGGCCAATGCAGTGCGAAGCTGGACATCAAGGCCAACGACTGACGTGGAAAGGAGATGTTGGCCCAGGAGACAACTGCTGGTTATCCAGCAGGAACAACCCCATCGACGACAATGCCTGGAACAGCTTCGACCGGGACACCTACACCAAGAACTCCTACACCGGCACCTACGACACCGCCAAGAGCAACAAGGAGTGTGTCGCCGAGCCCTTCAATTCGATCGTTGGAACCCACAGCAGAGGCCAAAGCAAAAGCCAAGGCAGCACCAAAGATGATGGCTACACCGACAGCGGTGACAGAGCAGACCTTGGACGAGATCGTGGAGAACATGGATGGGCAGCCTTGGACGATGGCCGTGGAGGTGGTGGACGATTGAACGTCCTATGGGCTTCCTTGAGGAGCTTGCGAGAAAGGATGAAAGGCCCCTGTGGGGCGACGGGTCCTGATGCGGACTCCCATAGTTTTGAACCTTGTGGAAAATGTACTGGGAATTCAACAACCTCCACTTTGACCTCTACCTGCAACCACACCTCTACGTGCACTACGCAACCACGTGACACCACGAAACAGGATATTTTTTCCGTGAAGAATTGTGCCTCCAAGGAGATCTTGCCTCCTCTGGCACGAAAGCTGGCAAAAGCAGCAACACTGACGGCAGTGCTCTTGCAGCCCGTGAAGGATGTCTTCAACAACCTCGAGGACAAGATCGACATGGTTGAGATCGCATGTTCACCAACTTCTACGTTGACCAACATCTTTGAGGAGAACGGTCATCGGTGCTTGCGTATTAACAGGATGTCTGGCTACGACCTCGACACCAAGGCGGGCACCAACAAGCTCAAGGCAAAGCTGGAGAAGGACACGCCGAAGTTTGGATGGGTCAGCCTTCCGTGCACAAGGTTATCTTCCCTCCAGAACCTGACCGACCGTGACGAAGAAGCTTGGGCAAGGTTCTTGAAGAAACAGGGACAAGATCTACGACGTGCTGATGAAGTTGCACAATCCTTGGAGCCTCTCTTTGCCTCCGGGGACTTTGCATGGGAGTGGCCAAAATCGGCTGTCAAGGGGTGGAGATCAAGCTGCATCAGAAGGCTTGAGCGGTTGGCGCAGAAGTACAACCGCACCATCTACAAGATCAACATCGACGGCTGCGCCTACGGCATGACTTGGAATGGACTGGCCATTAAAAAGGGATGGCAAATCCTGACTACGTCAAGGACCTTGTGGTTGATGGTGGCAAAACGTTGCCCACAGAACCATACCCATGGAGAATGTCGAGGACAAGCAGCACAAGCATCTGCATACTACCCCAAGAAGCTCTGCCTAGAGATCAGACATGCGATGGAGTCTCAATGGAACTCTATGGATCATCAGACCGCCTACCTCACGGAGAAGTACCTCCTTGGCTTTGACGATGAGACCCTTCTTGAGTACCACGAGACAGACCCCTCACAGTATGTCATGGCACTTTCCAGGACGAGACTGAACCTGGAAGAAGCACCAAAGGGCAAGAAGCTCGAGGCAATCAAACAGATGATGCTACGAGTTCATCGAGCTTCGGGGCATAGCGGCTTTTCCAATCTTCAACGATTACTTGAAGCGCGTGGCTCACCAAAATGGGCTGTGGAATTGGCAGGCACATTGCAGTGCCCGGAATGCAAAGAAGCAGCCAAACCAAAGTTGGTGCCACCCGCATCGACTGGAGAAGAACCTGGACTTTTCGAGATTGTCGGTGTGGACGCTTTTGAGTACGAAGATGAGAAAGGCGGCAAGAAGCACCATGGACTTCTTTGGCGAGACCGAGCATCTGGTTTGACGATGGTTGACATGCTCGAGGTGACAGCTCTCGGAGCACGTTGGGCACCGACGACAGCCACAGTCATCCAGTCTCTGGCCAGGTGGATGTCAAGATACCCTGCACCAACTTGGATCGTAACAGATCCTGCTGCCTACTTCACCTCCATCGAGTTCGCAGACTTCCTTGGCCGGAGTGGCATTGGCTTGACCTGCGTACCAGCAGAAGCCCACTACCTGATGGGAGCTGAAGAACAAGCCATTGGGATCGCCAAGCGCACTGTGGAGAAGTTGCAAAAGGAAGAGAACGAGTTGGAGATCACCACTTTGTTTGACTTGGCAACGTTTGCAATGAACTCTCATGTTGGCAGCAGTGGTTTTTCTGCCTACCAATGGGTGCATGGCAAGGACTACTTCAACGGCGAGAACCTGCCGATTGGTCTTGACGCCAAGAAAGCTTTTGGTGGACTTCTAAAAGCCCGAGAACGTGCCAAGCTGGAGTTTGCCCGAGAGAAAGCCAAGGAGAAGTTCAGCAAGTTGGCAAATGCAGTTGGTAGACCTCCTACCAAGTTCCAAACTGGACAGCTGGTGATGGTCTGGAGACAACGAGTGAAGCCTGGGAAGATCAAAGGATCCTGGACCGGCCCTCTACGTGTGGTTTTGGTTGAAGGATCTACACTATGGCTGGCAACAGGGAGCACCTTAGTGCGTGCGAAAAATGGACAAGTGCGCCCTGTGACCAAGAAGGAGGAGCTCACTGCATCTTTGGAGGGAACGGCAATTTACAAGACCCCCATCACCACTGAAACGTTGATGAAATCGTTTCAAGGACGCCATTTCCTCGACGTGAGTGGTGACACCCCCAGCTTGGAGAAGATGAACCAGGACCTCTCCCAGACTGACGTTTTGGTACCAGCAGCCCCAATTGGACCGAAGTCCGACAGCTGGACTGTGAGAGAAGAGAACGGAGTGAAAACTCTGGTGAGACAGCACCTTCTGCCTCGACTGGCATTGTTTGTTCCTACAAGGTTGACTTCATGCCCTGTGTCTATGGATGAGCTGACCGGCAAGCGGGTGACGATCGTGAAGCCACTGAATGGTGGAGCTGAAGTTACAATTGAAGATACGATCGATGTTCAACGATCACTTCTTGACCGGTGGGTTGGTGAGACACAAATGGAAATGAAGGACCCCAGACCAACAAAGGTCCGGAGGGGCGTGCCAAAGACGGGGCAGAAGAGAAGATCCGACAAGGACGCGGAGGACCTTCGAGATGAAGTTCAACAAGGAGACGTAGTTCCTGGTGAAGATGATCAACCTCCTCTACATGACCAAGATCAACCTCCTGCAGAACCTCAAGATGCTGAAGTTGAAGGAGAAGCCATCCCAAAGACGGCTTTGAACGAGGCGTTGCTGGAGCGAGGAGCTGACATCTTGGATGGACTACCTGTTCCCATTGCTGGTGAATCCGGAGCCAACACATGTCCGGCACCTGGATGTGAACTACCTGGCGGACATTCTGGACTTCATGAAGGACCTGACGGCAAGTTCATGTACGACAACTACGAAGGAAAGAAGCTGGTGACCGAAGAACCTGGCGAAGCATCACCATCATCGAGGAGCTCTACGTCCTCGGAAGAACTACGACCTGATCTACCTCAACAAGATCCCTCGGATGAGAAAGCGGTGAACTACGTCAAGGAAGAGACCTTCTTTGCGGCCGAGATCGATGTGACCTGGGACGACTTCGTCTGGTTGGCAAAGAACAACTCCCGCAAGAAGGCCAATGTTTGGTTGTCACGCAAGATGAATGAGAAAGGCAAGGAGATCAAATGGGAAGCCTTGCCGATTTCCAAGAAGAAAGAGTTCGACCTAGCGCAGGCCAAAGAACTTTCACAGGTAGCTACATCTCAAGCCCTACGGAACTTGACCAAGCAAGAGCTCAAGGAGTTCGACCCCTCAACATGCATGAATATGAGATGGGTACTTACCCAAAAGGCTGATGGAACAGCCAAAGCAAGGCTGGTTGTCCTAGGATACCAAATGCCTGGGATTGGAACGGCCGAGACAGCGTCGCCTACTATGTCAAAGGTTGGACGCAACATGCTGTTGACAGTGGCAGCGGCCTTGGGACTACGAGTCAAGGTTGGAGATGTTTCTTCGGCATTTTTGCAGGCCGACGAGAGCTACGAGACTGAAGGTTTGAATGTTTGGGCACCTCCCGAACTAGCTGTACTGTTTGGTGCAAAGCCTCAAAACCCACCAGCTTTGCGAGTCCTACGTGCTTTCTACGGTTTGGTGACCGCTCCACGGTCATGGTTCAACTCTGTGACTGGCAAGATGATCAAAAGTGGTTGGAGAGCCCTGTTGGGCGACCGATGCATTTTCATCTTGGAGGAGACCGTAGATGGAAAGACCACAATTTGTGGAATTGCTGGCGTGCATGTGGACGACTTCCTGATCGCTGGACGCGAAGGATCTGAACGTTATGCAAAAGCTGAGGAAGAATTGCGTGAAGCTTTTCGTTTTGGAAAGTGGCAGGAAGCCTCAGAAGGCGTTGAGTTTGCTGGTTGCCGTGTGATCCAGAAGGAGAATTACGAGATCACCCTGGACCAACAAGAGTACTCTGAGAAATGGTTGGAGGAAATTCCAATTGACTCAACACGACCTCATGGAGCCTCTTTGACAAAGGGCGAGATCAGTTTGATCAGAGGAGCTCTTGGAACGGCTTCATGGCGAGCTACCCAGACGGCACCACAGTATCTTGCAGATACATCTCTGCTTCTTTCGGAAATCAGCAGAGGAACAGTTCAGACGATGTACAAGGTCAACAAGTTGATCAGGGAAATGAAAAGAAACAGTCAGCTGAAGCTGATCTACCCGAACTGGAAAGGACAGATCGAAAGCCTTCAAGACCTAGCGGTCATCACATGGACCGATGCTTCAAACCACAACAGAGCTGACAAGTCAAGCTCACTGGGAATCCTCACAGGAATTGCTCCCAGTTGTATGTTGGAAGGTGAAGAATGCCAAGTGGCAATTGTACAATGGAAGAGTGGCAAATGCCCTCGTGCAGTTCTTGGAAGCAACGGTGCAGAAGTTCAAGGCCTAACAGTTGGAGAAGACCAGAACTTTCATATTCGAGCTCTACTTTATGAAGTTTCTGGACGTCGGATTGACCGACAAGACCTCCATCAACAAGTGGCGACAGTGCCAGGCGCCTTAGTATTGGATTCCAGAGGAATCTTTGATGCTGCGACAAGGAACTTATCAGCATTGCATGGGCTACGTGATTCCCGAGCTGGATACGAACTGACGCTGGCGATGCTGAATGCGAAGAAGGCCAACACAAAGATGAGATGGGTGAACGGCATAGCACAACTGGCCGACTCCCTCACCAAATTTGCAGACCGAAAGGCCTTCCTCCAGTTCATGTCCCAAAAGCAGTTTTGGCGTTTGGTGGACGACCCTACGTTCACTGCGGGTCGCAAAATCAACAAGAAGATCCTCGAGCAGAAGATGAAGGAAACGGAAGACTTTTTCTACAACGCCGTCGCGGAAATGGCCAAGAAATGTAATTGGCCTTGGGTTGAAAACGACCCAGTATCCTACAGTCCCCTGACCTAACGAAAAGTCAGAAGGGTACTATGGATGCAAGGATAGCTGTTGCATGTGACTTTTCATGGACTGTTACATATACCACCTGAACCGCAGGGTGGGACTAAGGGCCAAGCGAGAAACAGAGCGACACTGCTGTCGCGGACTCTGAGGTGAGTCATCCCCCCGAACTTCCCTGTAGCTAGGGACGTGTTGCGACCGGCGCCAATTGCACATAGTATACATATTCATATTTATACATTCCATACACCCTTGTTGCTTTCCAAGAATAGAGGCATTGATGAATCATTGTATTTATTTTTTGTTGTACCCATGGTCTTCTTCTCAGTCAACCTCAGACGGGGGACCTGGGGCCACGTCGGGGCCACGTCGGGGCCACGTCCAGGTTAGGTTCATCAGCACGCAGCGTGATCAGGAGAGCGCGGGCAACCTTTAACAACAACTGAACATGGAATGGTTTGAAACTTATTTTCAGTAGTTTCAAAAGATCTTTTGAGTTTTGTAGGTCTCAGACATGGTCTTACAGTCTTACGCTTGTTCTTTGTATTGTTTGATGCACACACACACACACCCACAGACACTCCCAGATCTTTACCCAGTGGTGCCAGGACGCACAACTGTTGAGGAAAAACAAGAACGAATACCGCAGAATGACCCAAACAGAACGTGCCAGCAGGTTGTGGGGTGCCCAGAGCTGATTCTGGGTGATTGGCTGCTGAGGTATAGCTATCCGGGCTATCCGACTACTCCATTTGATACATATCCAGTAATTTCATTCATAATCATCCTGGAGATAGATGGAATCTGGACCCCACATTTTTTTCATATATTTATATCATTAATCATTGGATGAGTTTCCATGACTTTCCAAAAAATCTGGGTTTACCTTGATCCATGACTTGTCACCGAGGTTGGAGTTGCCAGCACCTTCAGTCTCATCCCAGAGTTTGCCACAGGGGGGTCCTCTGCTCAGCAACCGCGGTGGCTGGGGCGCCATGGCGCGATGAATTCAGTGTTATTTGGATGCTGAAAATCTGCTAAGTATCGGCATGATCACGACTGATTTCAGAGAGCGAATGATGAAACTTCCATGTACCCTCTGGTAAACGTTTACATAACTATGGAAAATCACCATTTTTAATGGGAAAATCCACTATAAATTGCCATTTTCAATAGCTACGTTAAATTACCAGAGGGTATTTGGTCAAAGATATTGACCCAACAAAGCTTTGAGGCCCTGGTCATGGCCAAACATGGGGACTTCAAACTTGCCAGCATTCCTCGACTAAAAGGGAATTTCTCCAAATGCCCTAGAATTCATTGAAATCCACAATCGCAAATTCTTTTCGGGAACACTCCATTTCATTCTGGACACCCTTTTATCCCAAATACAGACTTATATCACATAACATATCATGATTGGAAAGGGGTTGTCTCCTCAGGCTGCTCATTGTTTTTATGCGCCAAATTTCAGTGCGTAGATCCCCATTTTACAATGCTTGGATTTAAGTGTTGCTACACATTCTGTTGGTAAAGCCACTTTCTTTTGCACTTCTGTTGGTTTCCGGTTGGTATCACCAGCCTTAATTGACACCCATCTTGACTAGTTTGGCAACCCCCACAATCAACTATCCTCAATTTGTCCACTTCTACTTCTACCATAACGCCATACATACCAAAATTCATGAATGATTTGATTATTTTGATTCACATTTATCTAATTAATTGGACAAGAACACATGTGACTCAACCAGAGATGTGGAAACATATTTTTCAAGATCATCTCCAAAGATTGATGATTCAGAAGTTCTGAACAAAATCTCGAAACCAGTTTATTCATATTATATATATATGTATATATTTACAGCATCTATATGTATATATATATATATCTGGGGAAATTTATAACGACCTCACTGCGACCTCACTGGAATCATGGTTTATAAGGGAAATCATCCCCAAATGGGCCTTAATTCAGGTTAGTGAAATATTATAATTTACCCAGATATATGTATATATATATTATGTATATATATATATATATACATATTTGCCATTTGGAGGCGTTATAAGAATAAATCGGAACACACACACACACACTGGTTCAGATGTATCCGTAACAAATTGGAAAGAAATATGACCGAACGAGATCATCGTCTTTCTCCATATATTTTTTTGGGGGTATAAAACTAACCATCTCCAAAAGGCATGGGGACCATATGTGACTTCCGAAAGCTGGCTGCCGCAGGTCGCAAGCGGCGCCTTTCTTGGCTTCAGTTCGGTGGGTTCCATGTGCTCAGTGTGTTTCGGTGGGGGGCCGATTTTACAGGTAGCCCAAAACGAGACATGGTGATGCGCCCACTTTTAATGTGAGAATGCCACCAATCAAACTACATCAAAATCAGATTTCACCAGGCAGAATTGGGTATTTCACCCACCAATAGACAAGAGAACGGTGCAACCAGAACTGGAGATATAGCCAGCCAAAAGGCTAGTTTCAAGGACAAAGAATTGATTTAATGAAACAGACATGGGAATGTAGCACAACATGGTGATGTTTGCGATTTGTTTCAGATATGTTCAGACCATATCAAGGCCAAGCAGCATTTCAGACAGGGATAATATGATAATCTGCAGAGATCTATTGGATGGACAGACTTCTAATGGAGGTGTTCCGAAGGATCCTAGCAAGCCTCACTAACGTGCAGATGAACATACCTATATATGTATCTATCTAGATTGCTACAATACATATTATTCATATATACATATACAATCACATACACATATTCCCATGAGTATCGTTATTCTAACCTATAATTCTAATTATGTTGATTACTTTCCTTACCATTATCATAATCATTGCTATATGTTACATGTTAATTCCACTTTGTCTCTGTTTGAAATTTCGCACACCAACCGGTTGGTGGAACGACACCGAACAAAATCCCCTGGAACAGGGTTCGAAACTTTCCGAGGCCTCGCCAGTTCTACATCAGAAGCACACCAACCAAGGCTTGTTTTTGGGCCGCCGACTAAGGTCCCAGGCATCGGTTTGGTGTTTCAGAAACCAAATCTAGGGAGATAATAGGGGATGTAGTGGGATATAGTTCACCACGTGTCCGAACATCAAAAAACACACCGTGTTTTTTTAAGGGACAACATGTATATGTCCATGATCATGGCTTTCATCTTGCAACTGCACAGCTGAGCAACCTGTGCGTTGAATGTTACAACACCATCATAGTCATAATCATAATCATAATCATAATCATAATCATAATCATAATCATCATCATCATCATCATCACCATCATCATCATCATCATCATCATCATGATGTTCATTTTGAAGATCCCCATGAATATAAAGTTTAACGGGGGTGGGGATTTATTGATTCCTAGAAACTCTTTTGAAATATCTTGAAGATTCCTTTGAATATAATGTTTAACGGGGATGGGGATTTAATGATTCCCTAGAATATCTTTTGACACATCTTGAAGATTCCCTTGAATATAAAGTTTAACGGGGGTGGGGATTTAGTATTCCCTAGAGTATCTTTTGAAACATCTTGAAGATTCCCTTGAATATAAAGTTGAACGGGGGTGGGGATTTAATGATTCCCTAGAAACGCTGTTGAAACATCTTGAAGATTCCCTTCAACACGCCATACTTGGAAACCGTGCAAATGTTGTGTGGGCGATTTCGGGGGGGTTAACTGCGCGTGCAGTTTTTGGCTAACCACGACCATATCAGTGCCATGATCATCAACTCATAGGGTTTTTAAGCCATGATGTTTGGATTTGGCATGGGATTGCGGATAGATGACCATACTAGATATACCATGTTTATCATATCCATGTTTTGAATATGGCACATATGAAATAGCCAACCTACATGAATGGAATAGCACTCCCCCAGTGAGATTAACGGCTTATATTGTACAGGGCTTACAATGATTATGAACCACGTCCCATTCCCGGGATGCCTGGGATGCTATAGTTTGGGGAGTTGACTATGACATATATAGGTTCTACTTCCACTGTGCAAACTAGTCAAGTATACTATAGAATTGGCCCTTTTCTATGAGTTCTACTCATACACAAAATGCATGGTATGACTGTATAACCCTCATCAGAAGCAAAGCTTGTACATGCTGTATGTATGAGTCAAAAAGACCAGGCAACCAGATTTAGGCAACGTGGAGTTACCCCAGCATATTATTGTCATATTTCTCATATTTCTGGCCTTATATTCCATGAGTTTTACATTTCGAGTTTGGTGGCATCAACCATTTGACAGTTCCATTGTTCCTGTGAGTTCCCACCGCGGCTCAAGGATGCGTACCCAAAGGAGATCCGCTGCGGTTGCGGCTCCATGATCATCCTCTCCTTTGAACACGCCTGCAACTGAGACGCCAAAGGGAAATGGCTTAGGAATGGCGCATGGTTTTGGCTGAAATTTCTGTGCTGTACCTGTTCGGAAAACAGAACTGGTTGAGGGAGACAGGGAAACAGAGTGTGAATTTGTGAGTCGATTCTTCTGCTTTCCACACATGAATTCCTTCAGCAAATGACAGAAACAACTTGCGGTTTCTACAACTTGCCACATTCACCACTGAAATTCCATTGGCTGACATTTTTAGCTCTTCACTTTCGCCAAAATCTGAGCTGAGAGCCAAGGCCAAACTCTTGATTGGAGTATTTGCTGGTTTGTGTCTCATGGCGTGCCCTTCTTTGTTGTGTCCCAGCATAGTTTTGTTGCTGGGACCATATGGGACCGGGACAAGCACCTGGGAAGGTACGACATCTTCGTTTTAGCCACATCCAAAAAGCAGAGGAGGGGAATGCGCAGTGAGGAAGCAGCTCAACTGGGTCAACGCCAACATCTGCAACACATATGATTTTCCTATACCTAGGGGCAAAACACACCAAGCTATCAGCTGTATTGCCCTCTACCAGGGTTTAAACCCATGCTTACATGCATACAGCATACATGTATCATGCAATATCATGCATATTCTCTCTTTGAATAACCTGGAGGAGGTAAAATAACATGTTCAATTCCCCTGCAGCAAACTAACATAGAATCTGGAAAGTCCATGTTGTCCTAGGCAAAGGATCTACATTTTCGTGGATTTTCATGGATTGTCCATCTCCATTTTGATTTGTTGAAGGGTAGCGTCTGCTGCTTTTGAGAGGCCAGATATGTTGAGCAAATTCTGGGAGATCACGGACCTTCTGGCTGCTGAGGCCTGGAAGCAACACACAAGTTTGGAGAATGGGATCACCAACAGCGGTGTGGGTGTAATACTTTGTGTGTATATGGAGGTTTCCACAGTCATGGGGGTACCCCTTACAATGGATGGTTTTTGTAATGGACAAACCTATGAACAAGGCTGATTTAGGGGTACCCCCATTTTAGAAAACCACCATATAATCATGTTCAGAAAGTTAGGACCCTCAAGAATTCTGCATGATCTAACCTGGGAAGGTCACAATGTTGGGGGCATCATCCAGATGTTTTTGGACCAGAACATCCTGATTGTTTGCTCGGTTCTGGAGTTTGGGGCCACCAAAAGAGTCATCCCTGGAAGTGCAGCATCTTTTTTTTGCTACTCAATGGCATGACCCATACCCTCATTTTTGCGTGACGTTTGATGATATCGCACTCCGGTAATCAAAAGTGGCAATCGGAAATCACTTATTCATCAAGGTTTTAATAGGGAAACCAACTACAAATGGGAGATTTCCATTGCCATGCTTGATTCCCAGAGGGTATATTTGCGACTATTCATCCATGGCTCAAGATTAGTCGCAGTTTTCCAATCGGTGAAAACTACGCCAGGTGGGTTTGTCTAAAAATAGGGTACCCGGGTACAGTACCCAATCATTTTTCCCCTTAGAACGGCAATCAATTGGGGGCTTAAATCTCCCATTTTCAGATTTTTCAGACACTCCCAATATCATATTGTTGGTTATATATCCACAGTATTCCACAGTCTATGGCCCTGATATCTCCACAGTCGCTACGCAAAGTGTGTGCGTGGCGAGGTGTGTCTCATTGTGATGCTCTCCCGCTTCGAAGAGTTGGACATCATTCAGCAGTTGGAACGAGAAGTGAAGGACTCCGCTGGGCCTTCAGCGCGGACGGAAGATTTTGTTCCTGGGGATGGCAAAATATGGCAAATGGCCTTAAATCCTCACAACTAGTAACTAGTAAACACTGGTAAACTAGCATTAAATTAAACTGAGGTTTGGTGTTTTTGGAGACTTTGAGGCGGTGTTGGACCCCAAATGACCTGGAGAATCCAAAAATGCTGCGGGAAAACACCCCCGGTCGATTCGGCACTTCAGCTCAGCGTTAGGAGCTGACACGGCAAAACGAACAAGTGGAGAAGCAGCGGGAAAAGATGAATGAGTTCTGGAGGTTGGAGGAATAACACTTCCAGATCATGGTGAATGATAAGGTGAACCATTCTCTTTCACTGAAATGATTGGTGAGAGGCATGGGAGTAAATCCAGGCACACCGAACCTCCTCCAAAGCAGTCATCAACAATTGTTCAGCTGGGTATTCTTCAAAAATGGCAACTGAGGTACCACTATTATCCAATATTCGGATTCGCAATTTCCAGAATAAAAACATCATTAAACCGTAGTATATAGATACCCCTCTGGTTATTTAACATAGCCATGGAAAATCACCATTTTTAAGAACGGTAAACCATCTATAAATGAACATCATAAACTATTTTCCATGGCGAACTGTTAAATAACCAGAGGGTAATTTTTAGACCCCACCTCAAGGGCGTTGATCTGACCATGCTTCGCCAGTAACGCCCAGCAGCTGACGGAACTCTGGCTGTATCGCACCGTGCCGCGTTTGGATTTGTACAAGGCCAGGGACATCGTCTGGGGGAGCCTCTGGGGAGCCTCTGGGGAGCCTCTGCGGAGCCTCTGGGAAGCATTGGCAGTGGGAAACTCCAGTTTATATACCCTTTTTACATGGATGATCCTTTGCAATCAAAAGCATGGGGGATGTTCGATGTCCATGTTTGTTTAGAGGGGAATCCATGACAGGTGGAGGCTTTTGCCGTTTTCCAACAGCAACAGAGAGATGAGACATGCTCAGCCCATGTTGGTTTGATGACTGCAAGTGGAGAGCGTCTACCTTTCGCTGCATGGGTTTCCCATAGAGACAGCAAGGGAAAACGTGGGCTAAGCCGTCACAGTTGACATCAGGAAGTCCACAACCAGCTAGAAGACTCTGGCAAAGAGGACAGCCTCTGGGAAAAGCATGGTAAAGCTACAGCTGATTGATCTGTCAGAGGGTTGAACCACAGCCAGGCACTGATCAGCAGATGTATCCTCCCACCAGGATCTGCTGAACCACATGGCGGGTGCAAATCAGCAGCTGGAGGATTGGGAATCGGTTTGTGATTTGCCAGAAAAAAGCTGAGGTGCTAATTTTTGGAGCCACAACATACCAGAAGCATCCTTTAAAATGCGATCTCTACAACTATGATGACTATGATGATTTAAGTTTGGCATCATCCTTCCCTTGGGTTTGACACCAAAGCGGCGAGGATCTGGAAAGACACCTGGGCGAGCTGAAGGACGAAATGCCGCAATCTGCGCTTGGGGAGCTTCAGAGCTTGCCCCAAAGTCACCAAGTTCACAAAGTGAAGCCATTCTGATCGAACAGAAAGTTAAGTCCAAAGCATTAGATTTTCAGATGGGCCCTAGTGGGCATTCGAAGCTACGCGGATCATTGTAGCATATCGCTGCAGCCTGAATTGACTCTAGGATTGCATATGACAACAAGGCATCAACTGTAGTGGTAGCTGTAACTATAGCAGGAGATTGATGGCTTTTCCCATCTCGGCTGAAGTTGGAGGATCAGGTGTTTTTTTGGGACCCCAAAGATTCCTTTGGTTCATCTGTCTACATCAGTATCCTTCACCCAAGGGGATCTTAGGGATGCATCCCAGGCATTGTGAGTGGGTAACTCACCATTTACTCACCATAACAAAAAATACAGTTATAAGTTATAATCCAGTTATGTAAGGAATATCCCCAGTCATAGGTGTGTTTTTTCATTCTTTTTTCTGGCATATTAACATATATTAACCACTTACTCGCTGATTCTCCACTGATTCTCCACGGATTTTCTGTATCGCAGGATTGGAAGCAAGACGGTCAGATCTCGCCCGAAACGAAGAAGCAGGTGGGCAAGGCCATCAACGAAATCTCCAAGGACGCATAAATGAATCGGTGCCAAAGATGAAAATTGCTTAATTGTTCTTATAATTATCATATGATTGTCATAATTGCATATATTTTATGTTATTTCTATACTTATTCTATTTATTTACTTCTTTATTCATCTATGATTCGGTTTATTCATATGTTTACTTAATTATATTTTATACTTCATGTGCGACATTTCAGCCAGATTTTTTGGTCCAAAGATGCTCAGAAAGTCGGCTGATTTGGCCAAACCGGTGTATTAAGACCCGAACTTGCCGCTGCGGCGCTGCACGCGCTGTGCCCGGCTGCTGACCGAACGGTTCGAGTTATACTTCATGTATCTATCTAATGTTTAGTGTATCAGTAAATGAACTCATTGCTAAATATTGCTGGAGCAGGAGAACGAGCTGGACAAGATGCTCGAGAAATTGGAAGATGTCCGGCTCCTGAGCATGGCCAAATGCCTCAAACAATGGGTTGAATGTTCTTAAAATATGGAAATCTTGATGGAAAACAAGACTTCAATTTATATTTGGCAATATGGATGGGAAAGAAACCAAACATGGACATTTCAGAATTTCGATGAATTTCTGGCGATTTTAACAGCAAAAATTGTGATCACCCGTGGCAAAATTGGTACATGGCTTATTGATCATCATAAATCTTTCGTATCTAAGCGTCCAATTGTTTGGGGTCAAAAAAATTGAGTCATACCCTCTTATGTCAAGATCTTCAGCATTCTGCCCTCTGCCAGCAGTTCTTTCACGGGACTGGCACCGCAGTTCTGAGGGCTTGGTCCAGTGACTTTCATGACCTTCATCCGCGACCTCCATGGTTTATCATCCTCCCCAGAAGATCAACAACAGTATCGGAATATGGGTATCCCCGGTATCCCTGAAACACAAGAGAAACCACCATTTGGTTCAAATGCAGTCTCCAATTGTCCAACTCTTCCCATTTTTATTGTGACAAATCCCGTAGTCACCCTCACTATCGATTGGTTGTATAGTCTTTGTTAGTTGGAGGGAGGGTGTATCCCACGACACTTCCCAATTTTTGTTTATATATCATATTATACGTATCATATATTCCATTCTATCCCTATGTTTGTTGGTAAAATCTCCGAATCTTTTTCTCAATTTCACATATTTAGCCTATATTATACCATATTCTACCATATATTCTATATATCATATTATGAAAATTATATCATATATCATATATATATATATTCCATATATATTCCATATATATTCCATATATCACACATCCCAATTTTTCACTGGCTTTCACTGGCGGCCCTGTAGGCTGTCTCCTCCAAGATGAAGGCCCTGGGAAATTGAGCGCCGGCGCTCTTCAGCTAAACCAGGCGACCCGGCTTCGAAAGGATGGTATAGCAGACAGATCATTATACTACATATTATATAAATTATTCAGTGGAATAGAATACTAGATACTATACTAGATAGTAGATACTAGATACTAGATAATAGATACTAGATACTAGATACTATACTATCATATGGTGTGGCATATACTATGTAGTAGATAAAGCTTCATTTGTTGGTTTATTAGTGCCAGTTAGTTAAGTGTTTATCTATCTACTGTATCTATCTGTATCTATCTAATCCATTTTAATCTATCTAATCTATCTACGCAAGAGACTGCAAGAAAATCCGTAAATATCTGATGACAATTTGTCGCTTCACAGTGCCATAGACACCGATCGAAATCTCTGATCCAGCTGGAGCCTGGTCCGGCTGTAGCCGGGAGGGCAGTGCAAAGTCGTCACTGCGTCACCGGGGCCGCGCAACGCTTGTGGTTCGGACGAGTTCGGCGGGCGCTGCTGTTACGGCAGCATCCTCGTCCTCGAACGACAGCGGACGTGCATCACATCACAGTGGCCATGGGCGCGTCATATCGCTTTGTCGATGGCGTAATTCTACCCCCGAAATTCCATTGAAATTAGAAAAATAAAAAAAAGAGTCTTTGAGCATTTTTTTGATCCAACTAGACCACGCTGGTGGAACCTTGAAACCAAGAGGTCAAAATGGTCAAACTGTCATCCTGTCTGAAAGAAATTTGTTGTTTTGGGGTTGCCAAAACCAGGGACCAGCTCTGCAGCAAGACCTCCGTTGTCACCGTCATCGTCATCGTCATCCTCCTCCTCCTCCTCATCATCATCATCCTCATCCTCATCCTCATCCTCATCATCATCATCATCATCATCATCATCATCACCATCACCATCATCATCATCATCATCATCATCATCATCATCATCATCAACATTCGCATGCGCATTCGCGTCTGCATCCTCCCACAAGCTCAGATTTTTCTCCTGCCAGGCTGCAATCCAGGAATCAGAAATTTTTTTGGTCACTCCAGATGTGATGAGTCGTAATCTCTGCAGAAATTTGTCTCATTGCCTTGCCATGCTCGGCTGGTCACATTTGATTGTTCCAAAATGCTCGACGCTGCAGAACTCCTGTCTTGCGACCAAAACACCAAAAGAAACCATGGATTTGGGTCATCTTTAGTGTCAAAATGTGTCAAACCACTTAAAACGCCTTTCTCAGTATTTCTGGGTTTTGTTGCTTTTAGATCATCATTTTTCCTCAACCCATTTTTTGGAGTAGCCAGTAACTTGACCCACTTGACCCATCCCCATGCAACTTTTCACTCGCTGGTGGCTTGGCTCAAGGGTCAGGAGGGCAGGTTCGGGCAGCAGGTTCGATCCCTTGGCGCCATGTCCAAGCTGAACATCGACAACTTGAAGAAGGGCCACTGGGACTCAACGGTGAGGTCTTGAAATTGATGGTTGGTTAAGATTATGGATGTTAGTGCTGAATTTTTGGGTTCATATTGGTTAATGGTTCAATATGGTCTTTATATGGTCAATATGGGATTTCAACCATTAACCAATATTAACCATATTGACCAATGCTGGGTCAATATGGTCTTTATATGGTTCAATATCGTCAAACAGCACCAGCAATGGGATTTCAACGTGGTGGGCCTTTCAGAGATTTGGCGGTCCAAACCGGGGGTATGAACATCCACAACTTCCCACAACCGGTGATGTGAACTGGAGTCAATGGATTGGTTAAAGGGAAAATATACAGGAAACCCCCATATTTAATGGATAAATCTATGGTTTCCGGTTAAGATTTTCCCTTAAACCAATCCATTGATAGAGGAGGTGATGCAATTCCACAGCATATCACCACGCATGGGTTGTATGGGGGAAGGATGGGAAAGGCCCCAATGATTGAGGGTGTCGCTGCAAGCCGAAATACGAAGCTTTTGAAGATGAGGACTTCACGACGTTTTCAGGATTGACGCATCCCAGTTGTGGGTACATCTGAATCATCTGACCAATGCTCACCTGAGCTGTCAGATTTACCACTCAAAATGGGCATGTTTACCTCAGGAATCCTGCCAGCTTCTCAGGCATCGTTCAGATTCTGGATGGCAGCAAGGCACCAGGGGCTTGGTCTGTCCAGATTTCTTCAGCATCAGCGAGACCTAAAACATATAGTTTTATTTAAAGAAAACTGATGATTGGTGCCCGAAGTTCACAGTTTGTCACAGTTTTCTTGCTTGACTCAACTTGACTCAGCATATTTCTTGGCCTCCTCTCACTTTTGGAAGATCATGCGACATGCCAATGATTTAAATCACCATGTCATCTATCTCCAATTTTGCAAGAAATGGGTGGCAGAAGTTTTTTTTTGAGCCGTTCCCTGGAGGTTTAGAACAACTGTGACCGTGGGATCTGTCCAGGAGAAGCAGCGAAAGTTTCTTGAAACCGTGGAACTGCAGATCGGTCTGAAGGACTGGCAACACGTGCGAATGGAAGTACCCTCTGGTAATTTGTTACATAGCTATTGAAAATGGTCATTTATAGTGAGTTTTCCCATTAAAAATGGTGAATTTCCATAGTTACGTTAGTTTACCAGAGGGTACGTTTGATCACACCACCCAAAAAATGGGGGTGCAGTGGATATCTTGAATGAAACGATTAGTAGTAAGTAGTTTCAGTTTTATTTCATTTTCCATGACACACGTGCGATGATGATTCTAATTGAGTATGGTTTTTCAAGGGCCTTGAAGACAAACCATGTAGACCTATCCTCCAAAGAACTTCAGCAGGCTCTCCGTCCTCCCAAGGCCGAAGTCATGGCTTTCGAAGCTTGATTTCTTCAATTCAGTGGCCCAAGTTACCCCACCAATAAGGGGTGTTTCTTGGGGTAGTAACACCTTTTTTTTTTTTCAGATTCTGACTGTAACACTAGAATTGCTGTGAACCAATCATTAGAGGGGAACGGCATTTTTCGGGGTTTCGAACCAATCGCTGAATTTGGTGAAACCAAAGACATGTCCTAGCCAAACACGTATCTTGAGTGTCCCATGCAGACTTGAGAGGATTACGACACTCAGCGAGACAAGCGATTTGTTTGGAGCCAAGCTATGCCCAGTATTGACGGTGCCGCTGGTATCTTCAGTGCTGAAAATTGACAACCAGAGCTGCACAATAGGCTGGCACCATCAAGCTTCCCAACGTTCCTCGACCAAGATTGAAGGCGCACGGTCATGTCACACATGTCACGTGGAAGCAAATATAACATAATATTATTAACCCCAACAGTATTTTTCGTCAACTTAAAAACATCAATAATTGTCACTTGGCAAAAAATCTTTGAACATGCAAGACATGCATGTATTTCAAACACATTTGACCTTTCCAAAGTTGCGAAACTATTTTAAACAGGTGTGCGTGCTCGGCGATGCAGTGCACTGCGAACAGGAGCTGCTGACGTCGCGACGAAGTCACTTTAAATGATGGTTAACAAGGGTGATTCTTCCAAAATGGTTGTATTTCAGGTTGAAATTATCATGATTTACTAAGATCCATGTGGGTTTGTCTGAAAATAGGGTATATTCCCAATTATAGCCATTTAATAGGGATAATGATCATTAACCATTGGGTTTAGGGGTACACTATTTTCAGACACACCCATGTATAAAAGGCCCAACAATGGGTTTCCACCCAAACCATTGTGATGTCGTCTCCTTTCTGTAGATTTTCTCCAAGTGTTGAGTCGCTTTTTTCAGCAAGTGATCCTAAGCAGGCGCAGCGAGCCAACGTCCCCTTCAAGAGCGTGGAGGAGGGGTTCACCTTAGAAGTTCGGTTTGTCCCAAGATTGGGGAGAAAAAACATGAAAAAACATGAAAAAACACACACGAAATCCGAAATACCTCGATTTGGTGGCATTCTGAGTCATAGGCCATAGATGGCCATAGATGGCCATAGCCACCTGGAACTGTACTGATATGGCCATAAAGCGCGTAAAAGGTACTCCCCCAAAGCCCCCAGAACGACTTGACATACTTGACCCATCCCATGATGTTAGGACCTTAAGAAGCTGAACAAGAACAAGAAGATGGTGAAAAAGTTGGCTGACTCCTTCGATGCTTTCTTGGCATCGCAGGTTGGCAGATAGGTGGTGTTTGCTGATTTTTAGTGAATCGCAGTTCCGTTGTGGGGCTTCGTCTCCATTAATCATTAATCTGTTATTCACTATTAATTATTCACTAATAATTATGATTCAATGGTTATTCATTAGCCATAACAGAGTGAACCATTAATCATGAATTGTTGCCAAGTTACCATCACTATTATTCACTGTTAATCATTCACTATTAACCGCCATAAGCCATCGGGCCGCAGGTCTTGATCCCTCAGATTCCCCGTTTGTTGGGACCTGGCCTCAACAAGGTGGGTTTCTGAATGGGAGGTTGGTGAAGGTCTGGAAATGTCCGAATATTTCTGCAAGAAAATGAAGAAAACAAAAATCATTACATATTTCATATCATAAAATATTTGTATCACTATCACAATTCTAGAATTGATATTTTAGAATACCAGCTATGGTTTCATTTATTGGTATCAAAATCAGTAAGAAAATTGCCATGTCAATCCTCTCACTGATTTGACACATCACTTGAACCCACGGTTCTTAGCAGAGAGAAGGCATCCTAAAGGGGCTGCGAAGTGGGCTCCAAGTGGCGATGGGATTCTACAGACGACTTTTTTTTTCCCCACCTGCCAGGTGAGGGTTGTTAGATTTTATGTCAGTTGCCTCCTCCTCCTCCTCCTGCTCCTCCTGCTCCTCCTCCTCCTGCTCCTCCTCCTCCTCCGCCTCCTCCTGCCTCGTCCTCCTCCTCCTCGTCCTCCTTGTCATCCTTGTCGTCCTTGCTCAACTGCGACCCGCGATCCACAGTGTTCTCTGCCGGACCTCAACCACGACCACCCACGCCCAGTGTTCCCTGCCGGACCTCAACCACGACCATCCGCGCCCAGTGTTCCCTGCCGGACCTCAACCACGACCATCCGCGCCCAGTGTTCCCTGCCGGACCTCAACCACGACCATCCGCGCCCAGTGTTCCCTGCCGGACCTCAACCGCGACCATCCGCGCCCAGTGGTCCCTGCCGGACCTCATGTAGGAAGATATGCAAAGCAAAGTAGGTGCCAGAAGATGCCAGAAGATATGCCAGATAGAATGCCAGAAGATTTGCCAGATAGAATGCCAGAAAATATGCCAGAAGATATGCCAGATAGATATGCCAGAAGATATGCCAGAAGATATGCCAGAAGATATGCCAGAAGATATGTCAGAATATATGCCAGAAGATATTTCAGATAGAATGCCAGAAGATATGTCAGAATATATGCCAGAAGATATGCCAGATAGAATGCCAGAAGATATGTCAGATAGAGTGCCAGAAGATATGCCAGATAGAATGCCAGAAGATTTGCCAGATAGAATGCCAGAAGATATGCCAGAAGATATGCCAGATCATATGCCAGAAGATATGCCAGATAGAATGCCAAATAAAATGTCAGAAGATATGTCAGATAGAATGCCAGAAGATTTGCCAGTAAGAAAATGTATAAATGTCATGGTGGGGATCACACGAAGTAAAGTAATTTTCTCGATTTTTTAGTCCGAAATGTGGCTTGTTGGGAGTCAATCCACATATGTATATATATGTATATATATATATATATCCATCCAAATTTTATGCAATTTTCGAGTTATTTATAGTGATTCCCCCAATCCCAATACCCTATGGTGATTTCACATAGCCGTGGAAAGCAAACTTTTTCATAGCAAACTGCTGACATGCCCCATGTATGTATAATATATGTATATATGTATATATGTATATATGTATATACGTATATACGTATATATGTATATATGTATATATGTATATATGTATATATGTATATATGTATAATGTATATATGTATATATGTATATATGTATATATGTATAATGTATATATGTATATATGTATATATGTGTATATGTGTATATGTGTATATGTGTATATGTGTATATGTATATATGTATATATGTATATATAATGATTACAATTACCAATACAGAGTCATCCTGCAGGAGTAGATGGAACATGACCGAAGATGGACATGTCAAAAAATCCTCATGAACATGGGAACATGTTTGAAAATTCCATCTTCAGAATCTTCTTCCATATTCTATCTACTTCACAACTTATAGAGAAATCCTGGCACGTTCCAGGCCGGCAAGTTCCCTACCCTGGTGCAACACAGTGACAACCTTGAGACCAAGGCTGCCATCAGTGAAACCCAGGGGTTTCCATGAGAATGGGTATGGGAAAGATGATGATGATTCAATGGCCATTTCAGGAACCTAAATTGGAGGTACCTACCATATATAAGGCCTATGTAAGGCCTATGTAAGGATATATCCCCACAAAATATGGCCTTATATGGTACAGTACCTCCATTTTAGGATCCTGGAATTCCCATTGAATGATGGTGATAAAGCATGAGATTTTAGGGCACCCTATCTTCAGACAAACCTGAAATGATGATACACAATGTTACAGCATCAGATTTTTGAGCCGACAAAACTATATTAGACCTTTAGGCGACGGGATCTTGCGAGGTCTGACAAAAAGTGATCATGTGTATATATATATACACACTGTAGATATAACATATATATATATATATATCATGATCATCACATCTTCAATGTTGGGGATTTTTATGGAACCAAGTGCTGGGATTCTGCTAGGATTCATAAACAGTCGACTGCGGAACTGCGCGCGTCCTTATTTGGACATCTTGGCAAGTCATCTAAGCTGTGGATCTCGCAGATTGGGTGTGAATAATTTCAAGCACCTTTGGCGCCCTTTTCTGTGGCTCAATCTCCAGTATTTGCGGGTGACCCCACAACTTTTGCTGATTGAACTCCAATTTTGGCGCTTAACATTCCGGTTTTTGCTGGTTTTTGCTGGTGATCAGCCATTGCTGTCATGGCTGCGAGGTGACGGAAGTGCGAAGCCAGGTGAAGTTTCAGTTGAAGAAGGTCTCGGGTCAGTGCTGGCAGGGCTGGGGGGTGGTGGACAGGTGCAAGCTCCCAGGTGATGCTTCACATTTTGTTCAAGGTGGCTGAAAAGAAACGCGCAGACATGATAATATCAGCAGCATGATGGGAATTTTAACAGCAAACTTGAGCTTTGACCAGCAATAGATGGCGGATTGAAGCTACAATAGGTGCTTATGGGTCCGGTGAAGAATGATGGACCCTGGAACCATTTACTCTTTGGATTGGTTTAAGGGAACACTTTGCAGGAAACCACCATTTTTGATTGGAAAACCTATGGTTTGCTGCAGATTTTCCCGGGAAAAATCGGAAAAATCGTGACTCGCAGAGGATTTCTTGGTTCCCACTGGGCACAGGTGCTGTGCATGGGTGTTGCTATGGGCAACGTCGGCATGACACCCGACGAGCTCAGGCCTGGGTTTCTCCTGGGGCATGCGCATGGGGGTAGCACTGACATAGGGGAGGGGTGAGGAGGGGTTGTAAGCAAGAAATCAACATCAGCGCAAAACCTCAATTATGTGGATATATAGATGTATATATATACAGAATGGATGATATAGGTCCCAAACAAACATCTGGCATTTTGGCTCATGGTAACTCATGGTAGTGACTGGTAGTGTTTCTGTGGAAGTTTGATTCCAGCTCTTGCAGGCAGAACTGCTTGATGGCAATCAACTTCTTGGTGTCGCTCCTGAAGAAGAATTGGAACAACGTGAAGCCGGGGATCTGAGGGATTTGGAGATCGCAGACGTCGCAGACCCTGGCCCTGGCGCGTTCCACTATGGATATACCATGGATATACCATGGATTTACCCCTCTCCAAGGAGACTGCACATCAAGAGCACCATGGGGCATGCTCCTCAAAAACGCTGACACTGTGAACAAGACAGAGATTGGCACACTTGGAACTATGTTGACCTTAACAAAGCATCGCCGTGGCACAGCTGTTGTTGAAGTTGACCCCAGGAAACCCTTCACCATCTACGGCTGATGCTACAGTGGACAACTGATATACCTGCCTTCGCTGTCAAAATAAGATGTTTGCAGATTTGTTGATGAGCTGACACATTGAGCCAGTTCAATCACTGCATTGAGCTTTGCGGATTGAATCTCTTGTCGACGTACCGTAAAACCCGAAACCGAAACCACCGGAGTCATCTGTGGCTTAAGCTGGACCCATCAGTTTCAGCCATGGAAAGTGATCAAAAGTGTCAGATGGAGTCAGTGTCTCAACGCACCTGTTGAGCTATAACCAGTGGATGTTACCGAACGACGCTGAAAGTGAAAGCCAAGCCCAGAATGGTGGACGCCATGGTCTTCAGATAACTGGCCAGAATGGAGGTGACGGCCGGATGGATCAATCGCCTTATTTTGACATTATTTTCATTATCATTGTCATTAACTATCATTGTCACATATTGTGAGCATCATTATCATTATCACTAGCATTATTATCATTATCAGCCATTGCTGTTGCTGTTGCTGGCTAGACTTGTGATGGACCGCCAGGGTAAGACTATGGCGAGCGGAGCAAAGCGGAGGGAGTCACTCGGAGGAAATGGTACCCTGGTACATCCATAGCCATCAGGGAATTTCGAGCTGCCAATCATCCAATTTGGTGGTCAGGAAGATCTTGAAGATCTTGGGATTTCTGAAAATGGCCCCAAATCATTCTCCAAATACATCCGAATTGCTCATGTTGAACGGGTAATGGTTACAGGGGTACCCAATGTTGATAAGGGTCAAAATCTGATATTCTGGTGAACCCCAAAATGACTAGTATACTTGGTAACCATATATATATCACACACACACACATATATATATATTATGATATATAATTATATATAATTAATAATTATATATATACACATAATATATACATACAGTATATAGTCCCATTCCTCCCACCCACCTCGTTCGTGTCGTCTTTAACACCCAGGTGTTGGGCTGCGCGAGATGCATTTTTTGCCTGCCTCGATCAGGGAGATGGCCAGATGTCTCCGGAGGCCCAATAACGACGTCGGAAGTTTGGGTCAACTCCGGCGGATTTTTGGATGGATTTTTGATCAAAAATTGGATGTCAACAATTAAACAAAAGGGAATTATATATATCTATCTATCTATCTATCAATCTATCTATCTATCTATCTATCTATCTATCTATCTATCTATATAGCTGCTATAGCTGTCAAACTCACCTACTGGGTGGAAATCACTCATTTTAATATCAGTTTCCCACGAACCATGTTTGACTACAGGAGAAGGACATGTTCACAAAACCCGATACCCAACCATGTCCCCAAAATGTTGGTTTACAAATGCCTGATTTGTAGATGACTTCTACATGGATCATAAGATGAAATGTAATAGGTAAACAAACACGGTGCTGGAAAACCACCCCAGACATTAGCATTTGAATGGGACAATCATTGAACTAAAGGGGGGAATCGTCCATTCCATTTGTAGGCAATCCACTTGATTTTTGATAAATTGCCAGAGACTCAATGGGAATTTCAGGATCCTAAAATGGAGGTACTGTACCATATAAGGCCATATTTTGGGGGGATATCCCCTTACATAGGCCTTATATAGGCCTTATATATGGTAGGTACCTCCAATTTAGGTTCCTGAAAATCCCATTGAGACTGATGATACTGCAAAGTTTTAGCATTTTTCCCTCGTCAGCTTCTTTGCCTCCGGGGTGAGGCAGAAAAGCGGTGCGCCGAAGAATGGCGAGATTTCCAGGTGGTTCACTGCAATGTGGAGATGGTCATATCCAGGGGTGGCGATGAAAAACACTGCGGCTCAAAATTCTGAAGCCTCCAAAATGGTGCCACAAAGTCCGGTGAAGAAAAACACATCAATTTTGGTGAGTTCATTAGCCCTGCAGCATTTTTGAGTCACCATATACTCAGCGCCTGCTTGGCATTGCATCGATATTCCAGCTTGGGCCATGAGATTCCCAGCGTATGAACCATTTCCAGAATGGGGGATCGGTCTATAAATCATTCTGGGGTTCATAATCAATGGATTGGTTTAAGGGATAATTTACAGGAAAGCCCTATATTTAATGGGAAAATCTATGGTTTCCTGTAGATTTTCCCTTAAACCAATCCATTGACATAAGTAATTATGAACAATCCATATATATATATATATATATAAATATTGTTGTCAGCATGGACACAATCTGGTCAATCTCTCACATAGCAATTTAAGCAATTTCTGTTCTAAAGCATCAAACATATTAGTGGAAATCAGTTGCAACTTATTTTTATGAAATGACCATAAATGACCCACATGCACCATATATATATATATATGATATATGATATACATATATATATATATTATTGTATAAACCATTTATACATGATGTGATGTTAATAATTTGACGAAGCATTTCCCCATGATCATCCCGCGGCAGAAGCGGTGCTTGCCGTCCTGGATCAAACACTTCGTGACACAAAGGCGTCGTTGCGTCGTTTTTTTTTGGGAAGGAGTTGACATTTGGGGAAAGGTGTCCAAAACCTCTGGTTGATGGTCTGATATGGTCTGAAACATAGTTTTGGTGGTGATTGTATCATTATATTCTGTTTGGTGGTGACTGGAACATGAAGTTTATTGAAGTTTATGACTTCCCCAATAGTTGGGATGATGATCCAATCTGACGAACTCATATTTTTCAGGGGTTGAAACAACCAACCAGTATTTCATTGAGTCAGTGGCCATTTCAGGAACCGATTGATTGGAGGTACCTACCAGGAACCTTTGGAGCTACCTCCATTTTAGGATCCTGAAATTACCATTGATTGAGCAGTGTTCAAAACCTCTGGTTGATGGTCTGATATGGTCTGAAACATAGTTTTGGTGGTGATTGTATCATTATATTCTGTTTGGTGGTGACTGGAACATGAAGTTTATTGAAGTTTATGACTTCCCCAATAGTTGGGATGATGATCCAATCTGACGAACTCATATTTTTCAGGGGTTGAAACAACCAACCAGTATTTCATTGAGTCAGTGGCCATTTCAGGAACCGATTGATTGGAGGTACCTACCAGGAACCTTTGGAGCTACCTCCATTTTAGGATCCTGAAATTACCATTGATTGAGCAGTGTTCAAAACCTCTGGTTGATGGTGAGTTGGGGGATTTTTTTTTTAATTATCAAGAACGGGGAATCTCTATGAATCAACATGAATGGTGGGTGGTATGGTTACCATTCCCAGTCATGGGTGGTTTATGACATTGTTTTACCCACATGACTCAATTCGGTATTGACATCTTTTCAGCAGTGCTGAATCTCATCCTTTTGGCGTTTCTTTTGCGCCGACAAGTCGTTGGGAAAAGCTGTGCTAATGTGTGGTCGTGGTGATGGATCTCATTGAAGGGTTGATGTGGGACTTGGATTTAATTTTTATGCAACCTACTGAGAACAGTTTGATTTTTGTTGAAGCCATCCTGAAGCCATGCATTTTGCCATACTTTACCTGTGCTCGCCGGAACTTTTGGGATAAATTTATGACACCTAAAGCATTTCAAAGCTGCGCAAAGCCCGCCAGCTTTACCCATCCATCCATTATATCCAGTGGTTAGGCAGCCAAGGAGCCACGTTAGAGTTTCCCCACCAGATGTTGGGGGTTGTGGCCAATATGCTGTTAAATTGATGGTACTTCAAAATGGCAACTTTTTGGAACATCGGGTTTTGTGGGAACACAAATTTGTCCATCCCATGGGACGCAGGTCGTTGGGTCAAGCTCCCCAGTGAGTCCGTGATCGCCTAGGGAATCGCTTTAAGGCTTAGGGATGTCTCAAAATTGGGGACACGTCATGCAGGACATGTTTTTTTTTCCACAGGTGATGGATATCGGATGAGATTTCAGATGAGGCAGTCTTGGCCATTTTGGTCGACATGCACGAAGCTAGTGCAGCTAGTGGCATGTCCCAGAATGGCATGGTGTTTTGTAAATTCCGCGGGAACGGTTGTACATAGCTTGAAGCCAGCGTGAGACCGCTTTCGTCCCATTCGGAAAAGTCAAGCTGGCCTCTCCAGCTTGGTGAACTGATCAAGAATGAGACCAGAGCGACTCAAAACGAGTGATGTCATCATTTGCCAGAAGGCCAAGCTAGGGTAGAACCGGAATAGCAGTGGTGACAAATGCCAAGCCCTCGGCTAAACTTGCTCAGCTAAATTGGCTTGAAATAGACCTGACAACTTGGACAACATCCAATACATGTTGTGCTGTCAGCAGGGTCTTCGCTGCAATGGTTTTGCTCGAGTGTTTCGCTCCAGAGCCACTATGTTAGGAAGCAAACACTGAGGGCAAATTTGCGAGCATGGAAAAATTGCAATATCTACCTCCGAACCTTCTCGCTGCCCCTTCAGAGCTGCCTGTGTTTGCATAGGCATATAATTGTACTAATTATACATAGTGTATATACAAATATAGTATTATGTATCATATATAATTATATAATAATAATATAATATATATATATATACACACACACCCTTGGGCAATCTAGCATGGCAATAGCAAACCCATCCATCTTCAACATACACTGTCTGAAAAGCTGAGTCACCCAGAGGGTGCTCCAAGGAGTCCATGAAACCCATCGATCTCGCTGGCCATGGTGCGCGACTTCAGCACGGGTTTGGCTGCCAGGAGCGCCTACAGTCGGGGGCTGGGGGTTAGGAGGACTCGTGGAGGTGCCAAAACGCCAGAAACTTGGATTTTTTCCTGGGACTTGGAGTGAAACCATGAAAGTCACAGCCCATTTTCCTTGAACTTTTGGACATGTGGAGTCCAACTTTGCCACAGGACGTTGCGCATCAGTGGTGAATGGCCTCTTGGATCGGGGTGTTGATCCCACCCCCCCAAAGTATATCCAAATATTCAATATTCCCTGGAAACCATGGGATCCATGGGTTGGTACTGGATCATGATCTGTTCATTTTGGGGACCATATTTTTGGGGAAAGGATTCTAGCGGCGACCCCTCACATGGAACTTCTGAGGGTTTCCACCACTTAGACGCGCAGCGAGACATCATGGGCGGATGATCCATTCCGAGCTTTCACTGCTCGCCAAGACAGTTTCACGTCAAACGGTATTTTCAATGGATTGGTTTAAGGGAAAATCTACAGGAAACCATAGATTTTCCCATGAAATATGGGGCTTACACCAGTAACTTTTCCCTTAAACCAATCCATTGATATTTAATTTTCAGCTCTTCTTGCAATGCTTAGCAGCTTAGCAGCGCAGCTGACCAACGCCTGGATGTGTTTTGGCTGGTTAAACATGGTCAAACCGCCAGCAAAATGTAGAATGCGGGAAAGATCTGGTCACCAACTGCATTGCCAAGGCCGACTCTTCACGTCTGGAGCTTTGATGGTTGGGGATGTTGGGGAGATGATAAGTCATCGGATGGCTGGGGAAAATACAGGAAGTTGATGCTTGTGACTCCGCCTAAGCTGATGTTGCACGTCGCAGCCATAGAAAGCTCCGTGGTGAAAGAAGCTCCAACAGCTCGCAACTTCTCGCAAAAAACCTGGGATGCAACTCGTGGAAAATGGATGAAAATGGATGAAAATGGTGTATGGGGCCCCGACATGCCTATTAAATCATGTAGAACATGAGGAAAACCATAGGATTTGGGGGTATCCTATTCCCAGACAGGCTCAAATCTGCTTCCAGTTTCTTGTTGTGGCCCTTCTTGTCTGCCATGGGCAGGCTCGGATACGCAACTTTCTATCGATTCATCTTTTGGCGAAGTTATGATGTATCCAGAGGAACCCAAGACATTTTTTGGTGTAGGTTGGTTTTGATATTTCTAGAGCTCGTGTTGGCTTTTTTGGATGTTGTTGGTATTTTGAGTGTTGTGATCATCAACTTGCTTTCCTGAGTGTGTTCAAAAAAGGAACTTGAAGACATTTGAAGACCATCTATTTCTGTACCTGTAAGGGACACCAAAAGTTCTAGTCTTGCCCATTGCCGGTCATACTCATCTTGCACTATGTTCAAACTTTCTGGAAAGCTTGCTCACTATGGATCAACATATCGCCTTCGACAGGGACACGGAGAGATCCAATGTGTCAGAGGAATCAGGCCGGTGGTGCATCGGTTTCGAGGGAGATCCACTGATGAGCTTGACCCTTCTCCGAATGTTCACCGTGGTTCATTGTGTCCAATCTCTATGTACCCTCCAAATCCATAATATATCCATAATATATCCATAATATATCCATAATATATCCATAATGTATCCATAATATATCCATAGTATATCCATAATATATCAACATACGGACCCATGCTCAACTGAAGGACTTTTTTTGGGGGCCCCTCGGATTCCCAGCGACTTCAATGTCTTCAATGGACCAGGGGGTCGAGATGCAAGCGTCCTTCAAATGCTGGCCACGGCGCAGGCTGGGCATGGGTGGTTGGTTCAGTGCGGTTTTAGCTGTTGGGAGCCCCTTTCTGACTCAGCGGAACAAGGCCGGATACAATGACAGATAAACATAGATAAACAGCAGGAGCGTGCTTCAATTCACTGACAAATTTCTGCTTCAAGAGATTCAAGAGGTCAATGTAGAAAAACCTTGACATTGATGACCCAATTTTCTTATATTGATCCGGATTCGTTCATCGTGAAATTCGACTGCAAGGATGACATGACAAGAACTGTGGAGAAACTTCAAAGTCATCTCTTCGTCCTGCAAGACCAGATTTCGCTTCTGGAAACCAAGCACCTTGGTTGCTTTGGTTGCTTGCATCCCAGTTCATATCTCCACAGGGGTGACTGAGGGGCACACAACCACAGTTAGAAGCAGTACAGTTGTGACATCCCCAGCAAAAGGGCTGTGTGCTGCGAGAGCGCCGGGAGGAGTCCCAGTTCAATATTATTATTCGTTGAATCCATAGATAGAAAAATATCTACCACAATGCTATAGTTATTGGAGTTATTGGAGTTATTGGAGTTATAAACTAACTTCGCAGCTTTTTTGCTGGGACAAGTTTGGCGAGCCACTTGTAATTCCCCTTTTGGATGCTTTTGGGTGGGTGGCTTCCCAAGAGGTGATCATATATTTTTCATGGGGGGGATTTCTCAATCTCATTCCCCCATCAAACCCAAGAAGACATGCCGCCATGCTGTGGGACCATGGAGTGTGGCTGTTGAATATGATGGGATCGCTGGGTTGACCATGGTTTACCCACCACATCCACAGACTTTCACCAACCTTCCAGGCAAAAAAAGATCTTCAAAGACGTCTTTGCTCTTCACCAGGAGGTCCGGAAATTGGGCGGAAAGTCTCCCAACATGCCTCAGAGGGCGCAGTTGGACACTTAATTCAATGAAAGGGGGTCAACCCAAGTCAACTCCTAATTCTTGGCCATTACCCTCTGGTAATCTAACATGGCTATTGAAAATTGCCATTTATAATTAGTTGATTTACCTATCAATAATTGGGATTTTCCATAGCTACGTTACGTAGTTTACCAGAGGGTATTTCTTCATGTTTTATTAACATGGATATACCTTTTACAACTCTTGGATACAACCAGCTTATATTCAACCATACTAAACTAACTAGCGTCAGCCCTAGACTTGGACACCTGACCCGGCCTTTTTTGTTTCAAGTCACAGGATGTGGATTGATGACCATCCCCAACTTCACCATAGATGGTATGATTACCATTCCCAAATGGGTGGTTTATGACTCATTGTTCTTCCCAGATTAATCCATGTTTTCACCATGGCACAAATATCTTGGCGCTAAACATGGCTTCTCCGAATTTGGAGCCAGTAATCAGTAATGATTAGTTGCCAATTTTTCGGGACATTGTACCGGTACGTTAGTCGCTTCTATACGTGCTGTAGATTGCCAGTGAACTCCCCAGAACTTGATGGTGAACGATCCGGTCATCGTTTTGCTGGTGAACAATCCCTATCCAACTGCCGCAGAATTATCACATAAATTGCTGGTTAAATCACGATTTTCGTCACTCTGAAAGTTGAAAAACTTAGAATTCCGACAGAAATTTCTGGAGAAAACTCAAAACATTGACATATCCCCAATCCTTTAACGGTTGAAAAACGGTATCACCCGGCTTTCCACAGACCATGAAGATGGAAATGGTGGCTCGGCTCAGGTGGTTTTCTCGAGAAACCTGGGAGTTGTTTCACCAGGAAAGGTGGGCCTAGAGACCCAGAGCCCACCATTTTTTTCCAAAGAATCATATAGAATCATGTGCGATGGGGGTTTAAGCTTATTGAGTTTTTATTGTGATTATATTGATTATTATCGTGGTTGCATTAGAATCATTATATTCTCATCACTATTATTTGTCACTTATCTCATGGGGGTTGCATTTTTTGTCATTACTTCTCACTGTTATTTGTTCTTGCGATGTCATCTACCATCCCGTGCCTGGGAGATTAGCCAGCGAACGTCTGGCTCAGGTATAGCCGGTATGCATCCCATTGCTGGAAAATTGGGACAATGAGAATGAACTATAGGATGAGCTATAGGCTATAGATGGCTATAGATGATATAGATGGCTATAGGATTTCGGAAAAGCCTCTATTCTTGAGACAAAGCCACATGAGAAGGAATGGGCTTCGACCAGCACTTGCTGTGTGATTCGAGTAGACACTTTTCCGTTGAGACTGACGTTTGGGATTGCTGTTCAGGTGGGTTGAACCCCCAAGCCATTTTGGTACCAGATGTCAGCCATATGCCAGCCTGGTTTGAGAACCCGAATGCACTAAACCCAATACCATGAATCAACCATCAACCAGAAAAGGCTGGTAGAATCAACTATCATCAACTATCATCTCTCCAGTCGACTGGATGTGATTCGGGCAGTTTAGATAGTTTAGGGCATAACGGGTCTACCATTTTTTTTGAAAAAATTGGGTTTCAACAAGTTCATGGGTCATTAAATGTCCCCATTGAACATCACCCAAACATTAGGTATATGGTCTATAATGGCTACTATAAGGTGATGTTCAATATTCCCAAAATGGGACAGTTACCAACCCCTGAAGTTTCAGCCGCAACTCTTTCCCCCAGCCGATTCCGGAGACGCCCGAGGATCCGAATGGTGAAGCCATGCAGACGAGTCCTAGCGAAGTTCGGATTTCCAGCGTGAAGAAGCGCCTTGACGATTCCAGCGGACTGGCGATGTCTTGTAACGCACCATTAAACCACCATGAAATACCATTAAACCAGCATTAAATCCCATAAAACCACCATTAAATCCCATTAAACCAGCATTAAATCCCATTAAACCAGCATTAAATCCCATTAAACCAGCATTAAATCCCATTAAACCAGCATTAAAGCCCATTAAGTACCATCAAACCATGACAGAAATTCTGTGAACCCCAAACCTCGCTAGATCACACCTCAGCTTTCGAGGAAGACGCAAATCCGGGGTCGATCTGCGGCGATCACAAAGGAGAGCGATCTGAAAAGGATTCGAGAAAGGTGGGGAGCGGAGCTGGTTAGGTCAAAACCTGTTGTTTTTTTTTTGCTCAATGGCATCAGGCTGCAAGCGCAGTGATTTTTTTGGGATTTTGACCTGTCCAATATTTGGAGAACACCTGAATGGTAAGAGGTGTGTGTTTCTGTTTTTTTTTCGGACTCCTAAAGACTTTGTCCAAAATGAAAAGCTTCTTCAATCCACCTTCCACCAGCACCTCGCTTGGATGTGCATCCCAGTCCGTAAGTTCTTGTAAGCCGATGACACGACTACAGTATACATGGTAATGTCAACCTTGGATTAATAAACCCCTAGGCTGTTTAATTGGGAGGGTACCATATCATTTATGTATATTTATGTATCATCTAAAGTGACTATTTGGAGGGTACCCCCTAATTCATAGACCATGGTTTATTCATCCGGGGTTGACATTATAATATATTATAAAATGGTCGTTCAGATCTGCAAATCTGCTACATGAACCATAGCCATAGCATGCCATAGCACCGGTGATCCGCAGGTTGCGGGAGTACAACGAACGGACCTCGCGCATCTTGGGGGGGCGCCTCTCGGTCACCTGCGACCACGGGGTCTCGTTGATGTGCCTGGTGAATAACCCGTTCTTCGATGCCGTGGCCGCACCTTGGTATCAATTTCATAGAGAGAATTTGGATGAATTTGGTGGATTATCATGGGGTATAACAAGAGATTACTGTATAATATTGTAAAACTATATATATATATATTTACTGTATATCATATGATATCATAGGATATCATATGATATCATATGATATCATATGATATCATACTATATATTATATCATACTATATATTATATCATACTATATCATACGATATCATATTTGACTAGCTGGGTTTGGTACCTGATGGTTGGAGAATCCTGCCTGTGATCCACGACTAAAAAAATGGGGGGTTTTCCCTGTCAGAGCCGTTGGAGTCGCATGACAAAAATTGTGGCGCTTGGAGCTGAGGCATTTCTCATCCTCTTCAACTCCTTTGTAGTCGGATGGGAGACTGAATGGACCACATCCAATACGCAGATGAATCCCACCATCAAGGTGAGTCCGTTGTGTTTTTTGGTTCCATGGAACAGAAAAATACTGTGATTGAAGCATATTGAACCCCATGTTTGTAGCTTGTAGCACAGTACCACAAGTTGAATACAAGTTACATCTCCTTGTTTTGGTTGCTGAAACTCACCCAGCGACTGGAGGTAGGGTCAAGTCACACCCTGTTTTGGTGAATGGGACTCACTTAGATCATCCGCATGTCCCGGGATTTGCTGAAGATGACTCCCTTTGATTTTCCCAGTGATTGACCCACCAGTTCGGGGGAACTGGAAATACCTAGACTTTGAGTATGTTTGGAGATGTTTGGGGTTAGATTTCGGAGGGGTATTTTTTTTGTTTTTTTTTGCATTTTTTTTTTGTTGGCTTCTGGCTTTTGGCTTCTGGCTCCTTTGGTTTCTGGCTTCTGGCTTGTATTTGCTGCATTTTGGAGCCAAAATCTCTGATTTGCGTGCTATTTGCTGCAGTTTGGAGCCAATTTGCATGCCCATTTGGCTTTTGGCTTTTGGCTTCTGGCTCCTTCGGTTTCTGGCTTCTGGCTTGTATTTGCTGCATTTTGGAGCCAAAATCTCTGATTTGCGTGCTATTTGCTGCAGTTTGGAGCCAATTTGCATGCCCATTTGGCTTTTGGCTTTTGGCTTTGGCTTCGCTTGACTCTTGGCTTTTGGTTTTTGGTTTTTGTTGTTTTTTTTGGCTTTGGTTTCATGTGGCTTTTGGCTTTTTCCGCACTTCTGTTGAATGTATGTGTAGTATTGTAGTTTGCATATAACATTTCCACTGCATATAAATTGCATGTAAACTGCACAGAAACTACAGTCGTAATATGGCAGTGTGTCAAAACCTTGTACCCCTGGTGAACATCAAAATAGCTGGTAAATGGATGTTCATCCCACTAAAAATGGTATTAATAGGTATTGATCCATACCCATATGAGCTCATATGCATGCTGTTGTGAGAGGACTTGAGACCTGTTTTCAACTGTCCCAACTACTTGCTGTTCCTAAAGTTCTTAAGACCCTATTTCAAGACACTTGTTGAACTGTTGTTCTCCAACTATATTTGCTTGAATTGTGTTTCACAATGGTTGCATGGCAGTCAGAAGTTTCCCTGTGTACCTGTGAGTTTATATGCAAGCTTATCGGAGAGAAACTGCAACCTTTTTCAACATTGCAAAGATAGAACGATAGATAGAGGAATAACTGCGATAGAAATAGGTGCCGCCTGTCTTCAAAACAACAGCAACAACAACAACAGCAGCAACAGCAAACAGCAACAGTAACAAATAACACCATCAAAATCGATCCAAACAATGGGGAGAAAACAACGCCGGGGTGCAAGTCGCATAGCACGCATTGCGGGGGGAGGCGCTGCGCCCTCCCCCCACCCGCTTTTTTTTGAAAAATCCGACCCTCCCCTTGCTGGGAAGTCGACGACGACGACAACCACAACCGCAACAACCACAACCACAACCACAACCGCAACAATTATTAAGAGATAGATAGATCGATAGACAGAGGAATAACTGCGATAGAAATAGAACAACAACAGCAACAACAACAACAAGAAGAACAACAAGAACAAAGTAACAAGACCCATATACTCAACAATTATTGAAAAGAGCCCTCCTCCCACGCCCCGCACCCGTTTTTTTTAATTCTGACCCTCCCCTTAGCAAGGGGAGTCGACGACGACGACGACGACGACGACGACAACCGCAACCACAACAATCACAAACCACCACAACAACAAGAGCAACAAGAACAACAAGAACAACAAGAACAACAAGAACAACAAGAACAACAAGAACAACAAGAACAACAAGAACAACAAGAACAACAAAAACAACAAAAACAACAAGAACAACAACAACACCAACACCAACACCACCACCACCACCACCACCACCAACAACAACAACAAGAAGAAGAACAAGAACAAGAACAAGAACAACAACAACAACAACCACAACCACAACCACAACCACAACAACGACGACAACAATAACAAGAACAAGAACAACAGAACAACAAGAACAACAAGAACAACAAGAACAACAAGAACAACAAGAACACCAAGAACAACAAGAACAACAAGAACAACAACAGCAACAACAACAACAACAACAAGAACAACAACAACAAGAACAACAAGAACAACAAGAACAACAAGAACAACAAGAACAACAAGAAAAACACGAAGAACAACAAGAACAACAAAAACAAAAAAAAGCAACAAGAACAACTGTAACAACAGTAGCAAAGAACAAACAACAACAACACCAAGTCCAAAATCATGCAAAAGAGGGAAAACTAATGAGTAGGACGGAAAAATCGATGAACAACACTAGAAAAGCAACGACAAATATAGAAAAACATAGAAAAAACAATGCAAAAGCGAAGAAAAACAAGAAAAACCATCGAAAAACTGAGGGAAACGCTAGAAAAAAATTGAAAACTATGGAAAACTGATGGAACGCGTTAGAAAATCATAGAGAACTATGGAAAATGGAGGAAAAACGCTGGAAAACTAGCAAAAACAATTGGAAAATTGATGAAAATTGCTGGACAAACAATGAAAAAGCAAGGAACCCAACCCCGAACAAAAAAAAAATGCAAAAAAAATGCCAACTTAATTCCGGGGATCTGGCGAAGCCCCCAAGTTGACTTGGAGGAACCCCCCATGAGGGGAGCTGGGAATATGCATACTAAATGTGTATTACTATATAATTACATATATAATTTATAATCTTTTTTCATGGCCCTTCTTTCGCAAATCCAAGATTTCTGTGACATGGGAGGCGTTGTCCTCATTTTGCAACTGGATCTTTCTAATTGAGCTGGTTTTGCGCATCGCAGCCTTTAAAATGGACTTCTTTTGCAACCCGGAGCGAAGAGCCTGGAACTTCTTCGTCCGGGATCCCAGGGGTTAACCGGGTTTTTCAGGTGCCCTGAATGAAAAGGTGCTTTAATGGGATTTAATTGGATTTAATGGTGGTTTAATGGGATTTAATGGTGGTTTAATTGGATTTAATGGTGGTTTAATGGGATTTAATGGTGGTATCAAGCTGCAGCCATCAAGTAGCAGTTGATTTGTAAAAACCTAGGACTTCAGTCTGGTCTTCGTGGGGCTCATCGATGAGTTTTCGGAAGCAGACTCGGGCACAGTAGGCAGTGTGAAGAAGCTTGTGCTGCAACGACGTTTCCAGGCGGAGCGTGAAAATTCTGCCACCAAACATGTGGAGCCCACCAAAATTAAAGAGAAAACTATCTAAAACCAACATGGATTAGGAGCATTCCGAAAGTTTAAAGAAGTCAAGACCAATGGGCCCCTGGATCAAAAAAGCTTTTGCCCATGCCAAAGTCATGACAGATCAGTGCACATCAACGGAGAGGATTTTGTGGGTCCCGTTGATTCCCATTGCAAGGGGTGAACCCTCCTTGAAAAAAAGAATAGAAGATGTCCCAGAAACATGAGAAGATACAGTGACAGTGGATTTTTCTTTGCAATTTGAATCAATTTGATATAAACAAACATGTGCATGTGTAGGGATAGAAATACAAACACATTTGAGGATCATGCACATTCAATATGCGCATATACGTACGCATACGTACTCCGCGCCACATCAGCTTCCAAGCTCAGCAGTCTTGATACATTAACCCTTTTTGAATATCCATTGGGATATGGAGCTATCCCCCCACGTAATACATTGTGCACGTATTTGTTCATCTTTGACTGACAAACATCTAGCCGCGCCCTATATGTCATACATTTTGGACATCTAATTTTGGAGGGGCTTGGCTGAAAAGTCACCAAACATGCATACGACTAACGGCAAATAATGAAACTTAATTGCATGTATATAATGTCGTCTAATTGTACGGCTCTTGTTTAGCTGGAGAAGACGCGTGCGGCTCTGGTGCATGGTGATGGAATGTTGATGGATGATAAGAATTAGCTGGATGAGTTTGCCCTGATTTTGCCATATGATTTTTGGCCTGTGGTCTGAACTCTACCCCATCATATCCATATTCATACCCCTTAGTTCTACTCCATGAGGTTCCGCTTTCTGCATTTTGTGCGATGTTCCACCAATGTTAAAACACGTGTGTATGATTATGTATGACATATCACACCCTGCAAGATAGGTTGCGAAACCAAACACCCGTGCATCTAAAATTACCCGCCTGTATCAAATGTGCCGGTGTGCACCTGCACGTTACTCAGGATGTTGAAAATGATTCGCATCCTCCGCACCTTGGTTTGATTCACATATCCAGCATTAGCTGCTTGTGCCGTGTTTTGGGGCCGAATTTTCCATCATATCTTTAGTGAGGTGAACTCGTTTTCCTCATAAGGGGTTCACGTTGCCTTCTGGTGTCTTAGGAATCTTTCGAGTTTTTCGCTTCTTCCGTCCGTCTGAAACTCAGAGAAGGTCGTGATGGGGCTTATCCCGAGGTGGACGATTTTGTGTTAGGGGTCCTTCACACTGACTCGTCTTTTTTTTTGGGGGGGTTCAAGACATTGATATTATTTGTGATCAAGATGTTAACTGCCATTTCAGATCATTCTTCTTGATATACCAAGGAACCGTGCCCACTAATTACCAATGTAGAACATCACTATAGCTAAGTGGACTGAGACATCCAAAGTTGCAACACGTTTGAGCGTGACGAGGACCATTCTAATTTGATTCAAAGATATTTTTGAGAGGATGTTCAATCATATTTCCCCATGTCATATCATGTCATACTTTACAATATTTTTCAATATCTTCCCAGGGGAAATGGGAAATCATTGGAACTGGACTGTTTCATGCTTCAGATGCCTAGCCGTTGAACCGAGGCTGGCTCGTCTGGCTTTGATGATTATGGATTCCATACGATCACTGCTGTGGGCCATGTTTATGTCACTGGGCGGGTGGTTGTTGCGGTTGTTGGGATATGGGTTTGATTGGAAATTGGGTCGGGGGCTGGAAGCTGGTCCCATCTGTCAAACACAAGTTGTCCCATTGAAATGGCTGGGATATTTTGGGCGTCTACCCCATTTTCAGACACCCATGTGTCATGGTTTTGAGCTTGCCGAAAGCAAACTAACTTGTGCATATACCACATATATAGAAATGTCTTAATATATAGACATATGAGCAAGAATTTCTCGGCAAATTCAGCGCAACATCTGGCAAGATAGTTGGGCATTGCCAAGCCTTTGAGCCCAGATGGTCGTGTTCCAAGGCTAGCGCTGATCACCTATGTCTTTGGCATCTCTTTGACGTCGGAGGCGGGTCGCTAAACATGCAAGCGGATCAGTTGTGCCCACTGAGATTTTGATTTGGACACGCGAAGCTTTGACCACGATTGGCCGTAATAATATCGACAGCGTCCATTGTGGATATTGTGGCCGCTTTTGGTGCTAACTCCGGAAAATGCCCTGCAGGCATCAACATGGCTTATGGAGCAGGCGTTTTCTGCTGGGTGCCTGTTGTGTGAATGTTGCTGGGGAGCGGAGGATAATAAGGAAGATCCTCCTCTGGTGTACCTAAAGAGAATGAGGGGGCAGGAGCCCCTTAAAAAATGAAAAAAATCAAGCAAATCTGAAAAATAACATGGGGTCAGACCCCAGCATTATATTTTGTGGATGCATTTTATTTTTTGAGGTGCCCAACCCATCAAGTTAACTGACAGAGATAGCATGATAGCAAAGATGCACAGCTGTGCACGGTCTGACCATTTTGTGAAACCTTCCAGAGATTTGGAATCACCTGGACATTGCGGAGCATATGAAGCTGAAACAGCAGGAGTTCGTGCTGTGAAAAATAAATATGAAACACAATGACAAATAAAGATGAAATGATCGTGAGTAAGAACGATAATCCTTTATAATCCTAATGTATAACAAAAATGATAGAGATGAATTAAGTTCTGAAACTGTAATGATTATGCAGAATTATGCATATCATACTGTACAAATGTCTGTCAACGATCTAAGGAACTATAAAAATCAATATAACAAAAAAAAATGCTGGGGCCCGAGGTCCAACAGTTGCCAGGTGGAGGGGCCTGATGTCATATTCTTTTTGTACCTGTCCATGGTATTTTGCTTGGGTTTTCCTATCTTACCTTATGCCCTCTCATTTTATTGGCATTTTGTTCTTAGGCCCCTGCATTTTATATTATTTTTTTAGGGGTTCCACCCCCCTGGCACCAGACGGTGCTAAGGAAGCGCAAACATGCTAGTTCACAAGGGTGTATGCATGGCAGATTTTCTACTGAACCCTTCGGCCACAAGTAGACAGTGGGGGCGGTGTTTTTTTTTTGGTATGGATGATGTGTCCATACTTTGCTAAGGTAAATATGTGTATGACATCTAATTCCTCGTAGCACAGTTGGGTTCCTAGCTATTTCTTTTAGTTCTGATTGTTAGGTCCTTGTGGATCAGCACTCACTCACCCCTCGCGGATCTTGTCCCATGAGGGTCAAACTTGGGTACCCCAATAGCCACAGTTGGTTCCAATTCCCACAGCATGACCTAACTTCAAGGGCCCCGCCCTTCAGTGCCCCGCCGAATCGGAACCACCTGGTCAGGTAGACACCAGTCAAGCAGATTGGCCGCTCGGCAGGATGGAGGATTGGATAGGATTTGGTGTTGCTCTGGAATCGCAGGATCCATTGATACTCTTGTGCCAGCATTTGGAGATATTTGGATCCTTGGAATTCCTTGGATTCCGATATCAATGGATCAGCAACTCCAGCAGTCCTCCAGCAGTCCTCCAGCTATGATCCCCTCGGATCCCCCGAGCGGTGTATCGGACTCTCAGGCCTCGCTTGATTGAAACTCATCCAGACAACACGGTCGGAAGCTTGGGTCCTTCATGAACATGCAAGATATATGCGAAATCAAGACATCGATATATCATGATATATCAACATATATTGATATCTTAAAATATATTGATATTGGTGTAGATCAGATATCTGTAGACAATTTGCCATCCGGAGTTTTGCATTTACGGATATAGGCTATGGATCAATGCCTTGTCTACCATATTGTGGGTCGATGAGCATCCATTTTCCTGGCTATTTGGATGTTCCCCGAATGTAGCTGGGAAGGTTGAAGTAGTCATTTGCTCTGCGAAGCTCCAAACCTGCGGGCTTCCTCACGAAGATGTAGCATTGTGGGGATTGCAGGGTTTTCAACTTCTGAAAAAATCAAAACCTGAGGTTAATAATCTTTTCTATCATTTCTCATGGAAGGTGGTCATAAAAATTGGGATGTATCCCAAATTTTACGACAAACCCATCCGGTGCCCCAGGTTGAAACTTGATGAATGGTTTTTCGCCTGAGGTCCGGCTTGTTGATCAATACTATGGATCCTTGAGCGGGACTCTCTACACTTTGGCTCAGACAGTTCTGGCCGGAGTAACTTGAAACAAAGCGCGAAACGAGCACCAGGGCGGAGGATCCAGAAATCGAAACATGGTCGCCTTGTCCAAAAGCAACTTTTGTAGGAAGACCCACTTATATGGTTGATTTGCTTGTGGCCGTTTCTCAAACTTGGGAAAATCGTTGGTTGTTCACCTGATTTCTAGGGTCAAAACAACAGTCAAAATATACATATATATATATACATAATATATATATATGTATAATATACACATATGATAGTCACGAGGAGTTTCCAGACTGTTCCATCATTTCTAAACGGGTGGTCGGACCATGTCGGACCCGTTAGACCCAGTCGGATCATGGATGTTCTTTTGCCAGCGGTTGACCACATCATAGCTATGGCAGCTATGGCTATGCCTACTATGCTTTTATTTGGCAGTGCCCACAGAATGGTTAAAAAATGGCAGTGGGTTATCATAGAGGTGTTCCACCCAGTTATCATAGAGGTGTTCCACCCAATTATAGGGGAATCTATGATAGAAACATTCCCAGAATCAAGCCAGTACAATGGGACTATATGGGAATGTCTGATTTTTTTTTGGGGAACACCCTGAAGTCCAGCGGCTTGGAACAACATTTTCCATTTTGACAAAAATAACATGTCTTTTTGGGGCCCATACCTGAATTTTGAGACAGAGCCATTTCCCAGATTCCCAGATGGTTTCATGCGTTATATATATATATTATGTCTATATGAAAATCCAAATGTCTATTAACACACACACACACGTATACATATATGTAGTAAAATATATCACCAAATCATTTAACTCCATCAGTTCCCGTTGGAACTCCCATCCATTCAGTTTCCATGGCCCTTCCCATCGCCCCAGGTTAATTGGCATGAAGTCATGGAGCCCCTGCTACAAGTGGGCTGGTTCCCAGCTACCCTGCCGTCAAACCCAGTGGAACAGAAGGGGGCACTGGATCGGTTTGTTGTTTAGAAGTTCTGGTGGTATAAGTCCATTTCCTGGCAATACCTTATGGGATATACATATGCATATATATATGTATATATATATGTATATATATATACATGTATATATATATGTATATATATATACACGGCATCCATCATCTTCAGATAGAGTGCCCATTGTGTTTTGCCATATCTGGGGTTACTTAACGCGCTTGTTTCGACTTAGAGCGAGTGTAGGTGTTTCCACGCGGTTGGGTGACTTAACGCGACCTGGGGCGAATTACGTTGCTTACTTGCATGTCACATACAGTGTCAGAAAAGAAAAGCGCCAGATAGAACTTCAGAACAGATGCCAGATAGAATGTCAGAGAGGATGTCAGGATATACGCCACGGTGAGGATCACACGAACTTTACAGTGAGAAGCAGATTGACTTGTTGCGCAAACACTTCACCAAAGCTTGCGCGCACGCCAGAGCCATCTTACTAGGTCGATGTTGTAACAAGTGCCGATGACAAGATCTTGTGCCAAATCGTGGTGTGCCCATGGGCAACGCCCACATGGGCAGCGCATGACTTTAACTTACTGATGTATTTTTTCAACTTATTCCAATGGATTTTGCAACTTGAACAGCATGAGACAGCTCCTAATTGAAAAAGGAAATACTTTTCTCTTAAAAAGAAACAGCACGTCACAAATGACAAAATCCATTGGCAGGGCCACGTCAAACGAATTAGTCGTGAATTAGGGAATAGGAAAAAAATTGGACGAGAGAGACATGCACATCTGATGTTTTCACATCTTTTGGTCTCCAAACTCTGTTGTGGAAACATCACTCTGCATGCTGCTGATTTTATTCCAAACTGCGCAAAACATTGGCTTTTCACAAGTATATGCCTCCTGTCTGTCTCCCGTCCCATGTTTTCTATTCCCTAATTCGCAACTTGTTCCTAAGTGCACAAAACATTGTGTTTTCACAGGTATGTGCAACCTGTGTGCTTCCCGTCCCATTTTTTTCTATTCCCTAATTCGCAACTTATTCCAAACTGCAAAAAACATTGTGTTTTCACAGGTAAATGCTGCATGTGTCTCTCGTCCCATTTTTCCTATTCCCTAATTCACAACTTATTCCAATGGATTTTGCAACTTGAACAGCATGAGACAACTCCTAATTAAAAAAGGAAATACTTTTCTCTTAAAAAGAAACAACGCGTCACAAATGACAAAATCCATTGGCAGGGCCACGTCAAACGAATTAGTCGTGAACTAGGAGAAAATGGGACGAGAGAGACATGCACATCTGATGTTTTCACATCTTTTGGTCTCCAAACTCTGTTGTGGAAACATCACTCTGAATGCTGCTGATCTTATTCCAAACGACAGCGCGCACGCACATCACACGAAATAAACTTATTTGTTCAATGGGTTTAGCTGGATTTTTGCACGCATATCCTGTTCGAGCAATATCCATCGTTTTGGTGGTCAGTTCGCATTGCATTGGCCCTCAGACCCTGAAGAGTACCCGGCATCCATTTTTTCTAGTCAGGTGTTTGACAGTCAAAACGTAGCGGTTTCGAACTTCAACACCAAGAACCCATGGAATTTCTCAAGGTATGAAATCTCCAAGCAGACAACCAATCATGTGACTGAGGCAGCTCCTTTACATCGCGTTTACATTGCTGGCCGTGCTAAATGTGATTACAGGTGCAGGAAACATCTTTACCTGACAGCGACGGAGCGTTTGTCGCAGCGACATTTCGCAAGCAACTCTGTTTGGCGGGAGGCGTGTTCGTCGACAATGCCTTCCGTTCTGCTGACAAGCAACAAACAGACATCATTCAGAAGGCGGGCGGGGGGAACAAAACATGTTGACAGACAATGTTCAAATTGCTGAATGGCAAAAAACGAATCGAACAACCACCCATGGTTGAAGTTTTGCAGAGGGAAATTGCATGGGGAGACTACACTGAACAAACTTACATACATAGATTTTGTTGTTGCAGATTTGGGCCTGACCCGCAGGAAGTTGACAAGAAGGAAGAGAGACTTGGCGGACCAAAAGTAGATGCATGATGGATGTTTTGAGATTTTGGGACCGTGGACACCAAACAAAAACACTAAAATCGCATAAATACCCTCTGGTAAACTAACATAACTATGGAAAATCACCATTTTTAATGGGAAAACTCAGTATAAATGGTCATTTTCAATAGCTACGTTAAATTACCAGAGGGTAATCTAATGGAAAACCACAAAGTGTTCTTCAAACAAAAGGGGTTGAACGACACTTGTGCGTGCAAACTGATCCTGTATGTTTTTTATATGTGGAAAATGTCGCCTTGCATGTTTTTGCTGGCTGCTGGGAAACCGTACTTGCGTTTTAGCAGTTTTGGGTGGGGTGGGGTGGGGTAATAACGTTCATGTGCACTTGCACTATGGTGATGCTACGCTATGAAATCGTCTCTAGCATTTGGGGTGGGGTGGGATCTGCATTAACACTTGATGCTACGCTGTAAGATCTTCTCTACCGTTTGCATTAACACTTGATGCTACGCTGTAAGATCTTCTCTACTGTCTGCATTAGCACTTAATGCTACGCTGTAAGATCTTCTCTCCCGTCTGCATTAACACTTGATGCTACGCTGTAAGATCTTCTCTACTGTCTGCATTAACACTTGATGCTACGCTGTAGGATCTTCTCTACCGTCTGCATTAACACTTAATGCTACGCTGTAAGATCTTCTCTACCGCCTGCATTAACACTTGATGCTACGCTGTAAGATCTTCTCTACTGTCTGCATCAACACTTGATGCTACGCTGCAAGATCTTCTCTACCGTCTGCATTAACACTTGATGCTGCGCTGCAAAATCTTCTCTAATTACTGTTTGCATTAACACTTGATGCTACGCTGTAAGATCTTCTCTACTGTCTGCATTACAACTTGATGCTACGCTGTAAGATCTTCTCTACTGTCTGCATTAACACTTGATGCTACGCTGTAAGATCTCCTCTACCGTCTGCATTAACACTTGATGCTACGCTGTAAGACTGTAAGATCTTCTTTACTGCGTGAATTAACACTTGACACTCAATGGCAATGCCACTGGGAGCACCATACTGTTGCTAACCGCAGCGGTGTCGCCACAGAGACTCTTCGTGCGATGTGAAGATGTAAAAGAGCCGAAGACTGAAGATGATTTCTTAAAAGGTCCGATTTTCTTTGATTGTCCTGTGGGAAAATACAAATTTCTCAAAAAAACTGCATCCTGCAGAAGCCTGTTTTGGAAGATACATGTTCAAGATATGCCACGCAAAATGGGATTAAAATATCCCCATGGAGTTCAGGACATATAGACCAGAAAAAGACAATTTCTGACACTAAGAAATTGCTGCAAATACCGGCAAGTCAAGGATTCGAAAAAAAAATCAAAATGCACGCGCGGTAAAACATCCGGCGGGATGTTTTTGCCGGTGGGTTATTTGAATTTTCATCCCATCCTCCCTGTTGCAGTGGAAAACACACTTCATTGCATTGCGGTTTGCAGATGTCCTGCGGTTTGGAGTGGGAGGCTGCAGGAACTATTTTCCTGTATCTGGGATACACTTCGCTATATAGTAGATGCATGTAGATGCGAGGATGTCAAAACCACTTTCTACATGAGCAACCTGCACTGAGAATCATACAATCGATGAATACCGCTGATCAGATGAGGACCCTGTCATTGATCCGGGGATTCTTCGATGCAGTGGATATTCGACGAGAAGGTTTGATTGAACTGGAAGATCTGGTGTGGTTTCTGGACGATGCGCCATGGCCCAGACTTTTGTAGCTGGCAAATTGCAAGCAGATTCGCTTGAACACCCTCAAAAACAGGAAACAAGAGTCGACAAAAGTCATACTGCAACCCCCGAAAACGTTGGATCATCAAATAGACATGTTTCATACCAGTGCTGTTTATTCTTCAAGAGAACCGATACAAAAAAATGAGGTACCGGGTCTACATTTCTTTGTGGATAATAACCATGGAATCGCCGGATTTCCAACACAGCAGACAATCAAATTCGCTTACTTTTACTCATTGACGCCTTCCTTCTGGTGAGTCAAACACTTGTTACATCTTGTTACATCTTGTTACATCTTGTTACATAATGTTACTTGTTGGTTGAATCTCCATTTCTCCTGAGTATCAGCAGCGCATGTGTTGTTGTTTGGCACCAGTTTTTTTTCTCGCTTTGTTGTTTCAATCCTCGTAGGCTGAAGATCTAACCGTTGAATCCCAGGTCCTGGGTTGGAAAAGTACGCCCATGTGGGTACGTCTGAACATGTGGTACAGTTATGGCAGTTATGGCCATGGAAAGTATGGGAAAGTGATGATTCATCAATTTCCAGAGTTGGATTCCTGTATATTCAACCATTGATGGACTGGGGTTTTCGCAACATTTTGCAGACAATGGTGGGTGAAAATCCATAAAATCACCAAATCCCCAGCAAAAATCACCATTAAATCCATCTTGAATCACCCTTGTTTCTCCTTAAAAAAGCACATAAATCAAGTCCCATGTCCCATGTTTCCTGTCCAAACCTAGGCCACCATGGACGCCTTTTTCCGAGTTCTCGGCTTCCATTGCCATGACAAACAGCGCTTCATGCAGCTTTTTGACCCTTGAACTGTTCAACCATGGGGATCTAGGAAAAGAACGTGTAATAGGAAGTTAACCATAGGTACTATGTTATGAAAATAACCGTTACTATAGTTACTAGTTTTATTAATGGATAATTAATGGGTAAATCATTGAACCAATGTTATTAAAACGATTATGAATTGAATGTAACGCTTACCCACTAATTACCCATTGTTTAATTACATTATTACTATCATTGATTCAATGATTTAACCAACGAACAAGGTTTTCGGATGTGCACGTTAGACTTTGGCGGGTAATTTCGATATTGAATTGGACGGTAGCCTTTTCGGACGGTCCATCTTGATCATACTATATCGGATGATTTTTGGCCTGTTAGTCAGTGGTGTGGGTGTGGCTTGATTCAACTTTAAAAAACTGCCCTCATCAATTCCTGTGACACCTATTTCGATGGATTTTGGGGTTTGTGCACCGGTTTCTGTTGCTACTGAGTCAGCTTGAGTTTGGGGCCCATCTTCACACGGGCAGAGTCCAAAATTGCAGGGCGATTTTGAAGGGTTTCCACAAGGTGTGGCTCAGAATGGATCAACTTTTTGAAGGAATGAAGCTAAAAGAAATAAAAAGAACGCTTAAACCAGCTTAAACCATCCCCCAGAAAACCACAGTTTTCATCAGCTTTCCGGATTATTGGTTGATGATCCCTTGGGACTGTTGACGCTTAGGACCTGGATGGAACCGGCACCGTGAGCCCAACACTCAGCCGATGGATCACAAACCATGCAAAAAGTGACAGCTTTTCTGGGTATTACATGGTATTGCTGTATAACTAAGTGTATATAATTGCTACAGGTTTGAAGCAAATCATCGGTTTAACGAATCCAAAACCATGCAATTTCGGTGTTTTCAGCCCATACTTTACTCGGGAATTGTCCAAATTGATGAAGCCATTTGTCTTTTTGCTGCGGTTGGTGTGATTCAGATCAACATCATTCCAAGACTGATGAAAATTAATGGGTTTTTCCATGCAGCTTTTCCAGGTTGTCCCATGATTTTCCATCATTTTCCCTTGGTTAAATCATGTTTTTTTTCCATCAGTCGAGTCTCAGAATTTTTCACTTAAAGTCGATGTGTTTCCCCATGAGTTCTGCCAGCTGAATCGCTAGTTCCTTGAAAATCTCCAGGCTTTGAAGAGTTCTTTGAGGGCTGCATGAAGTATAGGCCTTGGCCTGGGACTGCTCACATGTCGAGGATGTGGTGAAATCCACCATCAGACACCGGCACCTGCCAGGGGCGTGGCACAAGGGGTTGATATGCACCTGGTGATACGCAGCTGGGCTCCGATGGTCGATTCGCAGAGTTGCCATGGAGTGATTCAACACCCGGTATTAGCTATTTTTTTAATACTGTATCCAGCAGATACCAATAATATCCCCTAATATACATATATAATTATATATATATGTATATACGCGCAACGCCTGGGCTTAATTCTCCCACCCCCGTTAAACTTCTACATTCATTGCAGATCTTCGAGAAGGGTTTAATTCTCCCACCCCCGTTAAATTTCTACATTCATTGAAGATCGTCAACACGGGTTTGATGATGATGATGATGATGATGATGCTGATGATGTGTTGCCTGTCGTGGTTGCGGTTCCGGGCAAAGCCCAGGCATTTGCTGTATATACGTATATATATATTATGTAAATATATATATATACCCGAGGGGCCCCAGGTTCTCCGATGGAGAAGCGGTGGGGTTGGGTGGGGTGGGGTGGGGCATGGTAGCGTCATGTTACGTTGCTGCTACGTTCATGGGGAGGGGTGGGGTGGGGTGGGGCATGGTAGCGTCATGTTACGTTGCTGCTACGTTCATGGGGGGGTGGGGTGGGGTGGGGCATGGTAGCGTCATGTTACGTTGCTGCTACGTTCATGGGAGGGGTGGGGTGGGGTGGGGCATGGTAGCGTCATGTTACGTTGCTGCTACGTTCATGGGAGGGGTGGGGTGGGGTGGGGCATGGTAGCGTCATGTTACGTTGCTGCTACGTTCATGGGAGGGGTGGGGTGGGGTGGGGCATGGTAGCGTCATGTTACGTTGCTGCTACGTTCATGGGAGGGGTGGGGTGGGGTGGGGCATGGTAGCGTCATGTTACGTTGCTGCTACGTTCATGGGGGGGTGGGGTGGGGCATGGTAGCGTCATGTTACGTTGCTGCTACGTTCATGGGAGGGGTGGGGTGGGGTGGGGCATGGTAGCGTCATGTTACGTTGCTGCTACGTTCATGGGAGGGGTGGGGTGGGGTGGGGCATGGTAGCGTCATGTTACGTTGCTGCTACGTTCATGGGAGGGGTGGGGTGGGGTGGGGCATGGTAGCGTCATGTTACGTTGCTGCTACGTTCATGGGAGGGGTGGGGTGGGGTGGGGCATGGTAGCGTCATGTTCATGTGACGTTGCTGCTACGTTGATGCGGCCTCTCGGGTATATTTGTAAATATATATATATAGATGCAAGCTCCTGACAAAACATTAAGTGTTCACACTATAGTATATACAATGAAAACACAGAAAAAACGCCTGACTGTCAGCACTTGCAATTTTCTACGCATTGCCAATTCATTGCAAATACCAGTACAAAATGACCATGACGCAAAATGCCTGAGAAAACACAGTACATTTGCTCAATTTTACATGACCACGATATGACTATACAATGAAAATTCACCATTTTACACCAAAAAATGCGATTTCTGACTTCTGAGAACATAATGTATGGCACAAGATGACTCTGCTTTAAAACGGACGAAACAAATTTGATCCGTTTAACATGATGTTGAAAAGGACGTTGCCACTATTGAAAATTGGCAAATTACCTAGGCGCCAGCGGTTTTTTTACATCTTCAAGCTCAAACACAGCTGAGGGTATCGGAGAACCTGAGGCCCCTCGCGTATATATATATATATACACACATTTTTTGTATTATATATATATTATGTGTTATTATATATATATACAATCCTCGATTCATTCCATTTAATCCTGGTTTGTTGAGAATGGGATTCTCACAGTGGATGATGACAATCCCACATACAAATTTCATATAATTATATTATATATATGATTATGTATACACGGAGTACTATAATCCCCCAACGAATCACCAACCAACAGAAGTTTTGAACACGGCTAACTCGATTCAAAGTTTGTTTCCCTTGGGGATGTTCGTTGCCTTATAGCGAAACTCAGGTGAGATGTCTCGTTGCGTGGCTGCAGATCAATCACGAGGGTTCATGAGGGTTCAGCTAGCCCCAACAAGTTGATGGGAGTGCTAAACGTATGGACCCATCCATCTAAAGTTTGGGATAGGATACATGTGGAGGTTTCCTGAAATCGGGGTACCCCTAGTTGTCATCCATTTATGGATGGATTTCCCATGAAATAAACCATCCAGCTGCTGGGAGTACTAGCATTTATGGAAACCCCCATGGTGTCTATCAAAGCCACAATAAAGGTCGACCAAAACGGATGATCCGCACGGGCTAAGGCTTGCAGAAAACGGTGAACAACGTTGAAAAACACATGCGATGCTTGCTACTTGGTTGAAGAAAATTGGTAAAACCGAAATTTGAGTGGCAGAATGTGGTAGATGAAGTCAAAAACGGATGTCGGATTTTTCTCCGATTTCCTTAAAATGTCAACACATGATCAAAAACAAACTGGTTTGACAACATCGAGGGCACCATCAATACTAATCTATTTTGGGTACCCGTGCCTATTTAACCAACCTGGAGTTAACAATCCGTTGCTGAAATGGAATTATTTCAAACCACTTCAAAGCGATTTCATAATCATGATTAATCCATCTATTGCGTGCCTCCATATTATGATTTTGTGAAACTCTTTTTCTTTGCTTTCAACTGCACCCATTGGTTTTTGCTCGTATAAACGCAGCCGCAGTGATCGACGCTACCAATTATACTTGGACTTATGAGAACTTATACAAGTTTTACATAGTTGTGCTACAATACTATTCTTAATTGGAGTTATCAACCAAGTCAATGGGGTGAAATAACCCAGGTAGAACTCAGGTCCCATGAATTTCCTCCCCAGGAATGGTCGCAACATGGAATCCGCTTTGACGGATTGCTCGCCCGATGCTGACGCCGACATGTCGGACCACGACGAGACCCGGAAACGTTTCACGCTCTAGGCGTCGTGTGGCGGCGTCGGACCACGACTTCCACAGAGATTCCACCATGAAGAGATCCACCGACATCGGCATGTTTTGATGGCAAAGAATGGTCACATAGTTCGGCTTGACTGGTCACAATGGTCACAATGGTCACAATGGTCACAATGGTCACATTTGAGAACAGCTTCTTGTCATCCAGTTGGTCACAAGCTAAGTGTTACTACGCATACCCCAGGTTTTTAGAACGCGACTCACCGAAGGGTTCCTTTCATTTCAGATGTTGCAGATGTTTGATATGCCACCGGTATCCACTGGCACTTCTGATAAAATTCATTGGAGAATCTCTGCATCCTGCCACGGCATCTTTAAATATTCAAGATCCAACTTGCTGTGACAAGCACATTCGGAGTGGCTCTCTGTGTGGTCCCAGCTCTGCCTATGGTGCGCCTGCTCCCTGAAAGGGAGCGGGGCAGTGCAGCCCAGGGGTTGTCCAAGACTGGGGTAACTGGTTGGCAATGGGAGTTTGAGCAAGAAGACTTGGGAGTTTTCCAGTTAAAATCATCTCTGAAGGAATTTCCAGCAGTTCACCTGCAAATCCACCAGTAATGGCCCGATGCTTGGGCCACCACCCCCAGTTTTGGGACCCGCCAACGTGGCTGACTCTTTCAAGCTTTAGCTTCTCGTGGTCATTGACAGCGGGGGGTTCATGCAAAATTGGGATTTTGTTGGAGTCAATCATCAAAAATGCTGATTTGATGGAGAAATTCCGGAGTTTACAGGAGTTTACCAAGACACATTGGGATTTAATAAGTTAGTAGTAGTTGGTGTGGGTGATATAAGACTGAATGGGTACTAATCGGGCAATCAACCAGTTAACGATCAATATGGGGGATTCACCCAGAGCTCAAGGTTCCAACCAATGTTTATGTTTAGCCACCAAAAGGTGATGCATCACCCATCGAAATTGAGACATCTAAGGATCTTTGTCAATGGAAAGATATATGACACATTACATCCGCTTCGCTGCGCTTCAACCGTGATACAACGATGACCAGGGGTCAGGCACCCTAAAGAAACACAAACTCACAGGGACCGATTGACCGATGCTGAAATGGCACGGCGTTGAAGTTGGAAATTGTATTCATGAAGGCTTTTCCCAGAAAGCTTGAAAAGCTTCTGCTCCTTCGCTATTCTTTAATCTTGTCCTTCGTAGCAAAGCAGTGCACCGCACAAAAAAAAGACATCGCCCGTTGAGCTGGATGAATCCTGTGGCTTCCAGAGCCGCAATCTTTTGACCCAGGTGCAATTGGTTGATTCCTGGTGCCATTTGTAGATGTTTGTAGCTGGTCACAGCTGGTCATGCTTATATCTTATATCACTTTATGCCCCTGTCATAGTTCCCTGCAAAATCAAGAATATGAAAGAATCCCGCATCCATGTTTTCTCTTGTTATTCCCAAATTTGTTGGTCATAGCTCCATTCTAATGGGGCAGCCCGCCGCATGTCACCGGGATCACCTTTTTTCATCGGTGGAAATACCACGTTTTTGATATTTTGGGTCCTTCAACCCTCAATTTTGCCTGATCAAATCCCCCATACGCTGATTCACAGGTTCATTATATACCCAATTATTAGTGTCCCTTAAATCCTCCAAGTATTGACCATTCTTAGCTCCTCTTGAAACTATTAACCCAAGCCTAAATCCACAATATTTTGTTGATTCAATCGCCATGTTTGTCAATTCACTATTAAACCCTATGAAACTTTTTTTTTCTGGTAAATTCATCATGGTTTGATCGTATCGACTACTACAAATCGGTTAAATCCCAATAAATCCCAAGGTTTCTGAGCAAACTCAAACTCCATGTATTTCTTGGTGATTTTTTTCTGGCGTAACATCCGACCTTTTTTTCCCAGCCGGGCTGCCTTAAAAAACCCGAGGGCAAAGTTGTGGCTCCGGGCTGAGTCAGAGGTTTTTTGCCCGCGGAGAGTTCGGAGGGTTTTCAGCTGGTTGGATGAGTTTGGGAATTTATACCTACCCTCTGGTTATGACTAACAGTTCGCCATGGTGATGGCCCATAGAAATAGATGGTTTACCGAACTTAAAAATGGGTGGATGTTCCATGCCTATGTTAAATAGCCAGATGGTAACACAATTAACGATGTATTCAGCAATACATATGTTTAGCAATTAACACAAAATTATACATATGGTTGGAATACTATTGAATATTGTATTGCTGAATATCACAATCCATGAAACTAGCATATGTAACCGAAAAAATGGGTGAATATCACAATCCATGAGCTGGATTCTTGTCCGATGTTTGAGTTTGACTAATTGTTTGACTTCAGATTCGATCTCAAATTGCTATGTTTATCGAAAAAGAGCGCATTTTGATTGGCTTTGTGAAGATCTTTCACCTTTTTTGGGCGGATTGAAATGAGCTTCCGAAAGAAATTATTTCAAAGTTGTTAGCTTTTTGGAAGCGGTTTCGACAAGCTGCCAAGCAACTCTTCCAATCTTTCCACGGAAGCCAGGCACATGTCGTCGGCGCGGAGCAGGGTGCTTAGAATTAATCGTTGCGGCCAGTTGCAACACTCAGTGGGTCTGAAAATGGGGGATTTGACCCTTTTTTACGGCAATTTTCAAGGGTGAAATGATGATTACAGTCACTGATTTACTGGATAGAATGGGGTCATCAAACTATTTTTTGGAAACAAACCCAAGTTTTTAATCTGGGTTTTCAACACCACTTACCCAGTTGCAAGTTCAGTTGTCAGGGGTATCGGTATAAGCTAATTATATTATGCAAAGCGATTTAGAATTTACAAGTAGAAATGAGGCTTGGGAAAAGCTGGAATGAGTGGCCCTTCAAATCTGGGCAATCTGGATCTCTCAGCTGAAGAATAGAGATTTGTGTATATATATACAGTATATTATCCAATCATATCCAATCCCTGCAAAACACCAACAGAAAACATGGAGAAGTACGGACGTGACCTAGGTATATCATGGTATATCTAGGGGGAATTATACAGAGTTCACTGACCAGCCTCACCAAAAATCATGGTCTACACATGGGGGAAGCTCGCCACATCACCAAGCATTTCAGGCTGGTGAATGAACAGTCCTCGTTATCAGCAGTGGTTCTGTACCAATTTCTGTTGGTTCATATCATAAGGTTGATGCGATTCTACCCCAAGGAAACTTATGATAGTGAATTACACTAGAATATGATCTGCGTATCACCATAAACAGCAAAGATGTGGTTCTTCTGGTTCGCTAATGTAGAGTAAAACCCTATCTAATTAGCTACCCCTACGTCATCACAATTTTTATGGTATAAATTGTATACCCTCTGGTAAACTAACATAACTATGGAAAATCACCATTTTTAATTGGAAAACTCACTATAAATGGCAATTTTCAATAGCTATGTTAGTTTACCAGAGGGTAAATAATCCCCAGATGTTAGGTTTCTACGGTTGGATTTCCCACATTCGTCATGCCCTTGGTGCGGACCCGGGGCGGACCCCCAGGCAGATCTCCGCGCCTTGGAACTTGGCAGTTTTCACAGGAGAGGGGACTCCAGGTGGGTGGATAGTTCATTGACGTAGACAGTCCATTCATCCGTTAAAAAATGGAGGATTTTATCCCACAATGTTAATAATTTTTAGTACTTTCATTCATTTTGATGGGTACTTTCAGTCTTTGGTCATGGAGAAGATTGTCACTTGGCCCAAATTCTTTTCTTTTGTGATGTCTGAATTCGATTTTTCGTTTTTAAATCCCAAATTTCCACTTCAACTGCTGGTTAGGAGGAAAATTCAGATGGCTATTCCCAGACGTTTCGTAGCCAAGCAACTTTTGGATGTCTCATGCAATTTTTCGATACCTCCCTCAGCGGACATCCTATGACTTGATGAATAGAACTGGCTGATGAATTTTTGTCGGCTTCCCCGCCAAACCAGTGACCATCATTTGCTACGAAAATTATGACCCTCTCAATTAAACAGACCAGGGCTTTGTTACTCTGGGGTCGACGAGTCGCACATTGGGGGGGTTTCAACCAATGACTACTGACATTTAAGGTTCCGGCCCTTAGGTTACCCGGGATCATCATGATTTCCAAGATCTATTGCATAGGCAAATGTATATTTTATATGGTTTTTCCAATGTTTTTGGTGTTTCTGAAGATGTGAACTCATCGTTTGTTGATCATGGGGCGCGCGGACATTTTTGAAAAATGTCCGTCGATGATAAGAATCAATTTAACAAAATGTGTTGTTGTTTAAAGATGGAAGAAGCAAATTCCCTGGAAGGGTTGTCGATTTTGTCAAGTGTCCGTACATAGTCATTAAAATGTGGATGCAAAACCCCTGCGAACGCCAAGGAAAATGGAGATCCATTAAAATTCATTGCAAATACCAATGCAATCTGTGTTTTCCACAGCGGCCCAAAAGCTGATAGTCACCTTTTTTTGGGCTTTCCACTGCGTTCACAAGTTCCACAAAGGTTTCTGGAAACATTGCGATGGACTTGTTAATCCATTTGACGCTTTTTGCCTATGTGCGGCTAGAGCTCGAAGAACGCGTTCCAAGCCAGGCTCCTTGTTCAAGTAGTGCGCGCATAGCAGATTGCGGTGCTCGATCTTACCACGCGCAGTGGTTGACAAGAGGCCCATCCGTCTCAGCTGTCCTTTCGAGACATTTGCCAAACCTTCAGCCACATTGTCACCGGCTGCCAATATGAAACTGTCTTGTTTTTCTTTTGCCATCCCATCTTGCACCAGTTTGCGCAGCAGTGTCACATAGTCTTGGGTCATACCTTTTTTGGGGAGGGTGGCCAGCGGCGTCCATATGAAGCGGAGATGGGCAACACCTTTCAAACTTGGAGCCTTGGCAAGACCAGCTGCTTTTTGCAGCGCCGGGGAGCCATCTGCAGAAGCGATGTGCTTCCCTGGTTTCAACTTCTGAGTCACTCCTTTGGCTACTTCCAAGCAAGATTCTGCACCAGCCGAGGACCCTTTTTAAGCAACTTTCGGAGGCAGCGGAAGCACCGCGTAACTCTTTGTGTTCACTTGACCATTGACTTTTCTGAGCTTGAAGATAAGGTGTCTTCCTTTGTGAATGTTTTTTTTTCACAGGACTCACACGAGCAGCAGCAGGTTTGCGCAAGGTCTTTCGTGCAGTTTTTCCGACCAATGTCTCTCCAGACCTCTCCGCACGCTTGCGGTTGTGAGAAGCATCTTTCCTCAGAGATCATCCAAGAGGGAAGTTACAGAAGGATATGTGCTTTACATTTACCATTGATTGACATCTCATCAACCGACTTGAAAAGCCTGCAACAGATTGACATCACATTGAGTGGAAAACTGGAGCAAAGCACATACAAGGCTCAGATCTTTGTGGCTGGGCTTGCGTGAAATGGCCGTTGCAGCCGTGTCGAACTCCAGGACACCCGGTTCGTGTTGGATGTTGCAAGAACAAGTTCCATGACGTAGCATCAAGAGCGTGTTGGATGTTGCAAGATAACGAAGAACGTTAAGAACGTCGTGGAAAGGACGTTATCACACCACCCCCCCACACCCCCCCGAAACCCGAACCCCCCCAACCAACGTGCCGTCGAACAGATCAGCCGAGAGACATGAAGCACTTCCCAAATAGATAGCATCAAGAACAAGTTCCATCACGTAGCACCAAGAGCGTGTTGGATGTTGCAAGATAACGAAGAACGATGAGAACGTCGTGGAAAGGACTTTATCACACCCCCCCCACCCCCCCAAACCCAAACCCCCCCAACCAACGTGCCGTCGAACAGATCAGCCAAGAGACATGAAGCACTTCCCAAAGATGCGTGCACGTCGGCCGAAACGTCGGCCACAGATCACAGCCGCTGCAGCGAAGTAACCATGATATGGAAAGAGATACGTACACGGCGAGGACTACGGCGTCCATCTGAGACAAAACAAGGCCAACGTGCAATGATCAGCCTCAGTGACGCACTTGTTTGCTCGGGGAACCCCAGGGCTGGCGGGAGATTTGACTCAATTAAGCCCATGCTGGTTGTAGTTCACATCCCAACCTTCAGCATTGTGTTGGCGTTTGGATTGGGGGATGTTCATCAATCCATTTTCATCAGGGATTTACACACGCATTCTGTTTGTATTCCCATGGCATGGGATGACCATGAACCATATATCATATATCATATATATATATTCATATATTATCATATCAAATTGGTTGTATATCCATTATATCCATGATTTTCCCATTCTATCCCATTATATATATATATATATTATATATATATAAATCTCCTATGATTCTTGGTTCAATCCTCACATGCTACCCACTTGACCCCACATGTGGCACAGGGGCTCGCCGTCGCCAGGATTTCCGACCGGAGCTTCCAGCGGCTTTCTGCATGGAAGGTTTTCAGTGCCTCAGATTCACTAAGGTGCCGCCAGACATTTTTCATGTGCATTCCAGGAATATAAACCAACTAGATGGTTATAGTCATAGTTATATATATATATTATACCACCAATACATACATATATATATAACTAATTCCATTATATTAAAACCAGTTATATACAGTAGATTGTTTTTTGCTTACAGGGTATTCAAAACCAACATATGAAACGAGACATGTTTTTTTTGGTATATTCCAGTTAGATTGGTGGGTTATTATCCCACTTACGTTGTATAAATGGGATGCACCCCCAAGTAGTTGGATTGTGGTTAAACATGTCAAACTTGTGCGTCAAACACTTGGTTGCGAACTGGTTTTTCTGGTTTGTCTCTTCCGCAATTCCAGCAATGGACTGTTGGCCGATCTCTTGTCAAAAGTCCGTAGAAACGCAATATTTTCACCACAAACCAATGGTTTTTTGAGCAGCCCCAATTTGTTATAGCCTTCTTGTAATTTCACTAGAAAATCATCATTCTTAATAGGGAAATGTTCCAGATTGTTCATGGCAAACTGCTGGTTACTGCTAAACCCAGAGGGTAAACCAAGTATCGCGCCGAGGACAAAACGCTTCAATGTGACCTTTCGTGCCAGGTCTGGAGCCGGTCATCAGGACGGCGGAAACCAATGGTCCAAAGAATATCCAAAGATTACCTCAAAATCAAACCAATCATATTCAATCATTAGAACATCAGATCATTTCCCAGGCTTTGCATTTTTGTATATGTTTGTTGCGGAAGAATTTGAGGTATACTCCATGGACAAAGAGGCTTCTCTACTTGAAATCTGTAGAAGACTCTTCAAAAGAACGCATCACTCACAATCTTCCTGAACAACAAACATGTCACAAGTCAATACACATGGAGGTTTCCTAAGTCATGGGGGTATCCCCAGTTATCATCCAGTCATGGATGACCATGACTTTGTATAGAAACAACCTTGGTGACGACTGGGGATCCACAGTGAAACCCTTCTATGTGGGTCCGCAGCTGGTCCGCCGAGTGCGTCAAGCGGATTTCGCACCGGCCGGCGGAACGCCAGCGACGATCACTCAAAGTGATGGCCAGCGCCTCCTCAAAGCAAGAGAAGGCAGTTCTTCGGCCGAGGGGATGGCGAAAAACCTAAGGTGGGATATGGATGGATATGGTATCTTTATGGGATTTATCAATAAATCTGAAGATCATTGGAGTTTTAAAGTGCTACAGCCTCCTTTCATGGCAAGATGGGGACCAGCAGCGATGTCCCCTGCCAGGTCGAGGGCAAGAAGGCCAGGAGTAGCGGGGCTGTGGAGTGCCATGCTCTTGTCGTTTTGTCGTTGGTGCCATGGGCTGGTTGCAGGTTTGGAAACCGTTCCCTTGGAATTACTTGCCGAACAAGGCCAGCACCCGAAAATTGCATGGACGAGCCATCACTTGAGAAAGAATTGGTTGAAAGGCGGAAGAAACCATTTTGATTCTGTGAGATTCGAGGCTTATGGTTGTTTCCTGAATGATCTTGAGGCTTTGACACAAGAAATATGGCAAAATGTCGATGTTTCTGCGAATGATCGGCGGTGGCTCCATCGTTTGATGGTCTATTTTTTTTTACAGACAACTTCTCTGAAATTCAAGGCTGGCAACTTTGGAAACGCCACTTTGATGATCCACCTGGTATTTTTGAGGGAAGGATTAGTCATGTGCCCAAGTTATGTACAAAAGCTATTGTGCCCAAGTTTTCCAAAAACGGATCTCTTGAAGGGTTCCCGACCTTGCTCATCCACTGATTTTGAGAGCTTGGGATAGATAGGTAGATTGCATTTGATATGACTATACGTATCATATTGATTTCCTATGATCTATATATAGATTAGATTAGATTGGATCAGATCAGATTAAGTGGGAATAGACTATAGACATCTATAGACTAGATTGATAGTTAGATCCGTACTTCCATGAATCATTATGCGGGTTGCAAAGGGTCCTAAACCTCAATTCCCCTGGCTTCGCGGCTTTGGAAAAACTCCGCAGGTTGCTTTGATTTGGGGCGCGGCTGAAGTGGCCTCCATCTCCCCATTGTTCGCGGCCTGGAGCCCAGTCAGATAACTTGGAGAAATGGTCAGTCTTGGAGAAGATGTTCAGATGGGGTGCATCTAATGTCAATCCCTGCTGGACTCATCATTGCTGGATTTATCACGGATGTCCCAAGTTTAGTTTGATGTCTCTGCGCCAAATTTTAGATCTCTTCGCCTATCCTTGTGTCCTCGTGTCAGCATATGTCAATATTCTATATAAATATCAAAACTCAGTCAACGTTTACCCCAGCTTGTGGCCTGCATGCTCAGGTGCTGATTGCGTTTAATGTTGGTTGGTACCACATCTGCATGTATGTCTGGCCGCTTGATCGCAGAACCTTTTTGGGACGCCGACAGAAATAGACAGAAAACCACAGTCAATCAAGTTTTCTTCGGGGGTTGTTTGAATTGTTTTTTCCCCCTGGGGAAGGGACTACTCCTCAATCTCTTCTGATTGAGCGAAGGCAAAGAATTCTGCAGTCATACTGCAATTAAGATCCATTTCAAAATCTGCAAATGGATCTTGATCTTTCCTCAATGCCTGACTGTCAGCTGGTGGTTGCTGGTGGGTTTGTGAAAGAGCCTGGTCAAACATGTTATCCACATTTTGGGAAACTCTCAACTCTTTAGTGACTTTAGTGACTACCTATAAAGTGATATAAAGCGATATAAAGTGATATAAAATGATATAAAGTGATATAAAGTGATATAAAGTGATATAAAGCGATATAAAGTGATATAAAATGATATAAACTGATATAAAGTGATATAAAGTGATATAAAGGGATATAAAATGATATAAAGTGATATAAAGTGATATAAAGTGATATAAAATGATATAAACTGATATAAAGTGATATAAAGTGATATAAAGTGATATAAAGTGATATAAAGTGATATAAAGTGATATAAAGTGATATAAAGTGATATAAAGTGATATAAAGTGATATAAAGTGATATAAAGTGATATAAAGTGATATAAAGTGAATATTTAAATCCATTGTTTTTCCAGTGGACGCGAACGCAGCTCAGGCACCATCGACACTTTGTGCGCTGTCGTGAAGCGATCCCGGAGCTTGTTCGCTCGGTATCCAGGCACTTTCCGGATTGGTTCACCGGAAATCTCATACTGTCAATGCAACATATTAGATGATTCTTGATGAGATATTTTCTGGTTAGTGGTTTAATAGTGGTTTAATAGTGGGTTAATAGTGGTTTAATAGTGGGTTAATAGTGGTTTAATAGTGGTTTGATAGTGGTTTAATAGTGGTTTGATAGTGGTTTAATAGTGGGTTAATAGTGGTTTAATAGTGGGTTAATAGTGGTTTAATAGTGGGTTAATAGTGGTTTAATAGTGGTTTGATAGTGGTTTAATAGTGGTTTGATAGTGGTTTAATAGTGGGTTAACAGTGGTTTAATAGTGGGTTAATAGTGGTTAATGAGATATTTTCTGGTTAGTGGTGACTGGAACATGGCTAGATTATGACTGCTGGATTGTGACATTCCATTCAGTTGGGAATGGAATTGTCATCATCCCAACTGACGAAGTCCATGATTTTTCAGAGGGGTTGAAACCACCAACCAGTTTTTTATGATCATATGTTTATACTGTATAATTATATACAATTATTATACATTATAGAATTATATACATATAATCTGTATACGTATATTGTACTAATATATATATATATATATATGCACATAACTACATGGTTGACTACATACACACTCGCATATCATACGTATGTACGTGATTGTATATATATATATATAGATTCTGTAAAGGGGTGATTTTCCATTGCCAGGTTTGATTGCCAGAGTGTAAACATAGTGAAGATCCTCACATTTCATCAATTTTCTTTTGGGAGGGTGCCAGGGTATATTTACGGTTTACCCATGGTCAAAATAGTCAGACTTTGCCTCCGGCAGATCCTTGGTGTAGCCTGTTATTGCCTTACTTGCCCTGGTTTTCGCAACTTTGAAAGGGGCGCCACTGCAGAATTTCTGCCACGGAACCTGGCACCGAAGCCGTGCCACTGCGTCAGGCCTCTGGGCCGTTGGATGCTGCAAGATCCGCGGAATCACGCATACCTGCCGCCGCCTGAGGTCAACATAGGTCGTTTCCCATTGGACTTTCCCATTGGTAAACCCCACGTTTTTCACCGGTGTTTCTTGATGTCATTTGGGTATGGATAAATACCTATTAATACCATTTTTAGGGGGATGAACATCCATTTACCAGCTATTTTGATGTTCGGTTTTGACACACTGCCATTTGAGACATTTATAGCCAATCTGATTGTCTACTGAGCGTTTTGAGTTTCTGAGGCCATGGTTTGCTCTACTGTCCTGCGTCCCCATGTTGTTCTTTTGGGCCATGTGGCGCTACCACCACTACGGTCGAATGCTCAGCTGTAGCTGGTGGTTCTGCAGTATCCTGAAACAATTGGTTCTGCAGCCTCAAATTTGATGGTTGATCGCGGTTGAATGGCAATAGCTTCGGATGTACCCTCCAGACAAGGGCAAAATGATCCTAGCTGTCAGTGGTGATGCGACATTTTCCCTAAATCATCCTGAATCTAAGGCTTCGAGTTTTCGACTCTGGTGCCGGGCCAAGTTTTGCTGACCAGATTTCGGTCATGAAAAACGCATCTCTTGGGAAAGTCCGATCTATGTAGAGGGGCCATCTGCAGCCCATTTAGCCCATTTCTGAGGTGATCTACCACGTCTTGAGGGGAGGCCCCCGCTTCCGCTTCTTTGGACATGCTCATGCCTTGGTTCATAAGGAAGGACACGCGGCTCGGCGATGCTTCGATGGTTGCTGCTTGAACATCGATTGGGATCATTTTTTATGGGGAAAGCCACGGCTCCAAAAATGGATCTAGAAGGATCTAGGGGGTTTGGATTGCCCATTCAACTCTAGTGTAGTTAATAGTGGTTTAATAGTGGTTTAATAGTGGTTTAATAGTGGTTTGATAGTGGTTTAATAGTGGGTTAATAGTGGTTAATGAGATATATCTGGTTGGTGGTGACTGGAACCATGGATTTTTATGACTTTCCATTCAGTTGGGAATGGTAACCCCAACTGACGAAGTCACATTTTTCAGAGGGGTAGGGCTCAACCACCAACCAGTTTTTTATGATATAAAGGATCTAGAAGGATAGATTGGAGATTGGAGTTACACCATCGAATTGACAGATACTCTTCATCTGTCTCCCTAAGTAAACAATCCCCCAGACAACCGGGACGACCTGTCTATGATATTTCGAAGGATGGGCTTACCAACAATTTTTCACGAGTGCCATTGGTCCCAAGGGGTGCTACTGTACCTTACTTCCGGCCAAGTTTTTTTTGGATCTGAGGCGCACACCGGCCACTTTGTGAAACACTTTTGGATCCTGAATTATTTGCATCTCGGCATCTGAACAAATGGTCCTCGCTTTGCTGATGGTGCCTGATTGCATAGGCTACCCTCCGAAATCCCATAATTGTGAAGTCAACTCTTTTTTCCTCTATAAAAGTGCCATGAAATGGGGGTCACCAATATCTTGGACAACCCCATGACAGATGTAAATAGTTAGTTATAATTTGTTGGTCAATGTTGGTATTATACCTGTATCATCCTGTATCTATGAATATATATATATATTATTATTATCATTATTATTATTATTATTATATATATATATAATGTCTCATATTTTCTCACGATGTCCCCATTTTGTTGTGGTGCAGCCGATTTTTGCTGGGAACATGTGGGACCCCGGCACTGCTTTCAAAAAGCCACCAGGTGTGAGTGGTGGATCGGACCCTTCTATGGTGTGGTGCCGTGCCTTGCGCAAGTTAGGACTCACTTCATGACCTGGAGGGTTTTGCAGGAAAAAAACCTAAAACGATAGAACACGGTATGAACTATGAACAGGTCTACTTGAAACCACTAGTTAAGAAGTGGATTTGACTTTTTTTTGGGGGGGCGTTGGTGCCGGGACCCAGATAAAACCCGGTTTATTGATATAATGGTTTATCAGTAAATATGCACACATACTGTATGTACATATATAATATGACAATAATATACATACGATATAACTATATCGTATAATATGATATGATATATCTATATAATATAATATAACATATATACAACATAATATAGGGGTGTATCTATACGTACCCCATCCAAGCATCTGATGTTTGCTGTTTTGACCATGCCACATGTTACCATCTCCCCTGGGTCCAAGTAACTTGGAGGATCTTAAAAAATGACCTGACCTGCACAACGTGGATCCTTTCTGGGCTGCCTTTCCCGATTTGGATCTATATAAATATGGCTATCCACCAGTAGCTATACTATTCTTAGTCATTAGTCCATAATAAGTGAGATGAACATCCACAAAGATCGCCATTTTGATGTGACCAGGCTAGGCACCAGGATAGGTACCACCCATCCCCATATTTCTCATATATTTTCCTTCAAGGAATAGCTACAGCATTGCGCACATGAAGATTCATCATCGATGGCACAACGATGTGGACGATGTGCACACCAATCTCGACTTAGACCGGACGAAGCTTTCCTCGTAGCTTGGACTCTTCAAAGGTTTCCGGGTCTCTCTGAACGCTTAGGAACGGTGTCCAACAAGAAACAGCACCATGCAATGGGATAACATATTGCAGCCGTAAACCAGATCATGATATTGATGGATTGAAAGTGCATTTGCAACACTTTGGGTTTTTGTACATTTCATACACTGTACATTTTCTTCTTGTTTTGAATGATGATCTTTTTATAATACGGATAATTAGGTTTGTAATCTTAATTATCATGATCATCGTTTTCTAGTATCCCATACTATCGCCAAAGAAAACCGGGCCGTAAATGGCCTTTTTTTTATGGCCATGTCTCAGTCGCGGCCGCATCGAGGTTTTTCATCTACGTCCCACGCTTCAGTTTATACTGGACTGGGCTGAGTCCGGTGGCGCTACTGGCGAAGCGAAAAGATTTTCGGCAGCTGGAGTGGGTACTGAGTATTAAAAAATCAACCAGTTCATTTGCAGGAGCACCATCCAAAATATACCCTTAATATATACAATATATACATATATACATATATATATATACCATGTATGTATATATATATACATACAATTATATACATGTATATATCATTCTATATCCAGCTTTTGTGGCATTTTGTGGCATTGTCCAAGAAATCTGCGATCGTATCTCCTGATTGTGGGGACACTCCTGTCATTGTGCAGCTTTCGTTACAGCCACGGCTGTTGGATGATGCCTCTATGGCAGACAAAGTCATGGCTTGATGACATCTGATGGGCATGTTTAGCCAGGTATGTTCATAGTGTTCATCAAAGAAGGCATCAGCTTTCCACGGTTGCGGTGAGGATTTTAAGTTGTTATGTTATGCTTCGTTACTGGTGCAACCTTTTTGAAGTAGTCAGCTGCTTTTTGTTGCTTCAGGAATGGAGACTTGTTCGGCAGTTGCTCTATGGCATGATGACATACTATGGAGTGACGCCCCTCGATACTTCAGTATTCTGCGGGGAAAAATTGGGATGGGCTGCAGGTGAACCCCAAATGGGCACGGATCTTGATTGTGCTGGCAACATTCTTGATAGCCCCAGATGTGTGCAACTACGTACTGGGCTCGAATCATTCCACCGGTGGATCTGGATTTGATTTTTCCAAACTCGCAACATCTTGGCTGATGGCAGGCTGATACTCTTTATGTGGAACCCGGTGTTTTGCATTGTCTACTGGATCTTCACTCACCTGGAAGGCGGGTAAGCCGAACCACGCCCAAGACCGTGGTGATGTGCTGCGCGCTGTTCTCCAGGTATGATCCTCCTGTGTGCCATTTCTTACCTGTGGCATGCATTCGTCGAGGAATCCGCCGCGGCCTCAAAATCTGACGACCTGACAGCCTGAGTGGCGTTGGTTGACGGTGAAGGGGATGACAGGGTCTTCACAGGTGTTGCTTTCCTGCGGTTTGGTTAAACCAAGCATGTCAGTGGGACGCCCAGGACCCAGGCAATCAATACGTTAATTCGGTCACCATTCTGGATGGCCATGACAATACCTTTAACGAGGACCGGGGGACACCATGGTGGCCCTGAACAGTTTTGGATTTGTTGACCAAGCTGCAGTCGTTGATTGCTTCAGTGTATGGGCTGAGATGATCGCGAAACATGGACGATGCGTACGCTTCAAGACTGGTACGGGAACCACCAATTTGGCCAGGCTTTCAATGTCAGTTCTAAACCATTCAAACCATCCAAAATTGTGGGCAAATATGGGCAAATAATATTAGCTGTGTAACCATTTGCATACAGCTTGGCGTGATGTGGGAAGATATAAGGGTGAAGACAATCACTGCAGGACTATCATGTAGTCCATCATCACTCGCCGTCTACCCATTGGACGGATGCTCACAAACACTTTGAAGCCAACAAGCACAAGCATTTTGGCCGATGGAGTTGTGCGGCTTCGGGTCCAAGAACATATTTTCTTTAACCTCTGGGTTTCATTGATATCTTTCCCGTTTTTTGAAATGAACTTCTGTGGTTCTCACTTGACATCTTTCCGAATCATTTTGCGATATTGAAGGAAGGCAGCACTTGGTGAATGGCTGAAGGTATTTTGAGGTTATCTTGTTGTACTTCCGCATGACAAAACGTCATACCATATCATATACATTAAAGTTACATTATATATAGTAAATATATAGACATATATATTTATATATTACCATATCATATACCTTGGTTACATTATATATAGACATTAAAGTTACACTGTTCTTAAACGTACTTAAAAGAACAAGCCTCTGCAGCATTTGGATGTTTCGGAGTTTTGTTGGCCTCCATGGCCTCCAAAGCCACAGTTTGTTGCAAGGTGTGGGTTAAAAAACCATCTAAGTTGCGATTTTTTCCTACGACTTCATGACAAGTTGGATATGGATCCCATCAATTTCTATGTACCCTCTGGTAATTTGTTACATAGCTATTGAGCATGACCATTTATAGTGGATTTTCCCATTGAAAACGGTGATTTTCCATAGTTATGTTAGTTTACCAGAGGGTATCAAGTGTTGCACGTTGCGAAAATCCCCAAATTTGTTGATACCGACCCACATGTCAAAAAAAATGACCCTCCGGCCTTCATCTTGTTCGTTCTCATGGGAAATCATCCAGACATAGAGCTGGGGGAAAATCGATGAAGAACTGTAAAGAACAGAAATTCAACGAATGAATGATATCACAAATCATGAAAAATCATCAAGCATCAACAAAAACCATCACCAAAATCCATCAAACATCATCAACTGGTTGGTGGTTTGGAACATGAATTTTTTTTTCCCTTATATTGGGAATAATAACCCCAACTGACTTTGTCACATTTTTCAGAGGGGTAGGTCAACCATCAAACATCATCAAACATCATCAAACATCATCAAGCATGATCGTCCCGTGAGGTATGCTGAAGTGAACGCAACGATCTTCCGGGACACTGAAGAAGGGATGCTGTTGCAAATGCTCTTCGCAGCTTGGCCGAAAACTGCAGATTTCGAGCCGACGTTCCATCGAAGATGGGGCAAAGCACGGTGCTACAATTCACCATGGGGCTACAACTGTAGCAACAAACTTGGGAAGATACCATCAATATGTGGGGATGGTGCAAAATCTCTGATTTGCATGTCGTGAATGGTGGAATGCCATGGGATGGTGATTTGCATGGCCTGCTTTGGCTGTGGTACCGAGGAAAATGACTGGGATGGTATGGCAACACGTTTTGTGTCCTCCTCAGCACCGACATCAACCGACTCCTTCAGAAGATCGGAATGATCGGACGGTGAACAACAAAATCAATGCTCTCAGAAGGTGTATGTCGTGTTATCTGGTAATATATGGGATAATCCTTCCCATTGACTAATAAATATTTTTCAAGATGGTTAAAACCACCAACCAGTTATTGTAGAAACTTTTTACGCCTGCCAGCGGACTTCCCCCGCAGAGTTTGAATACCTCCTGTTTGGATCCATTCACCTTGCGCCACAGGTGCAGTACTGTAGACTGGTGAAGGTGAGTGAATATTCCCTTTATTGGTTGGTTCATAATCCCCAAGAAGCCAGTTAGGTTGCTGACCCCTCCAAACAAAAAACATCAACAGAGCTACTTTGTTCATGGCTCAGGTGGATTTGAATGGCAAGCTGAGTCATGAGGAGAAGAAAGCTCTCCTCGTGAAAAGGCAAGGAACACCTAACGAACAGCCCTACGCTGTTGGAGTTGTTTGAAGCGCCCATGAATGGGATATAAGAATATTCATTATGAACCACACACACATATGTGTGTGTGTATAATATATATATATATATATATCTATATTATATTAATGTTTTTGCATATGCACATAGTGTAGTAAATCCCAACCCATAAACCATCCCCACTGACTTGCCACTCCGGTGGTATGAATTCACCATCCTCAATTGGAGGCTTACGACGTAAAACTCTTGGGTTTACCACATCATTCGTGGCAACGGTAGTGCCGTTTCGCCAGGCTCAAACATGTCTGTGGACCAGATGGCCGAGATGGACTGGGTGTGTGTGATGGGGCACCAGGGGCACCAAATTGATATACCCTCTGGTTATGACTAACAGTTCGCCATGGTATAGATGGCCCATTTATAGATGGTTTACCGTTCTTAATAGCATGGGTGGATCTTTCCATGGCGAACTGTTAGTCATAACCAGATGGTATCTAAGATCATCAAATGTTGATGAGGAAAGTTGTGATCAACCATCACATTAAAAGGGTTTTCAGGTAAAAAAAAACCCTTCTATTCATACAGGAAAGCCGGACATGTTCCTGTAAGGCCTTGGTCGTAGACTTTCCTGTTCCTATGGGAGCTAAGCACTGACTACTCCTGGTCATCAGCTCCATGTTGTGCTGGAAAATCCTTCACTTATACAGTTCGATGATCGTTTGATTTAGATCATTTTACGCAATTTCGATATATTTAGATAAATTTCTCATTTCGAGTCTGATTTCTTCTCATTTTGCGCTAATGTTTTTTTTTTTTACCGAAGCAACACGGGCCATTCGGGCGATACATATCCTGCCCATCCGACAGAAAGTCTGTCACCAACACCGCTGGGTGTTGGTTTCACAGTTTCACATGGTGCCCTGGCCCTTGAGAAGGTTTATATTATAATATAGTATCTATATATAAAATATATCTATAAATATGAAGTATCTATATATATATATTTATAGCCACATTATGTATACACATGATTATATATATATACGTATACATATGTACAATGATTGTAGAATATTGTACAATATATCTTTTTATGTACAATATATGCAATATATGGATAAAGTATAAATGGACGTGAGGTTGCAACTCCAGTGAAAGAAGTGGTATACAATGGCACTTCGCCGTGCGCTACAGCGATGCAGGAAAGCGCCAAGAATGGGGCTCTTCTGCTACGATTCGGGACTATAATGACTGAGCTCTTGCGGCTTCGTCCAAAAATGCTGTAACCCGATTCATTGGTTTTCTCTACAAACAAAACCATCAAATGCACATGATTTGGGGGTATCTCTCCCGCTTTTTTGGACATCGTGATTCGTCACTTTTGCGACAAGCGCGTCACTTGGGTGCTCACATTTTCCACTTGCACAGTGACAGTGGCATGCTCAGCGGCTTGTACTCTGTCAGACAAAGGCAAATTTGTGCGGTCAACGGACTGCTGCCCAGATGTCCAGATGTCCAGATGTCCATCAAAAACGGCCTACCAATGGTCGGAAGTGGAGACTGCTTTTCTTCTTCCACATCGTGTGGTTTGGCCACAATTCTCAGCGCACGTGAGCCCAGCAACAAGTTCAATGAATGGAAAGTTCTGAGTTGAAAGCATGTCGGAAATGCATGGGAATGCCAGAGTACGTACAGTACTATCTTATACTAAAAGTAAATACTAAAAGTAAATACTAAAAGTAAATACTAAAAGTAAATACTAAAAGTAAATACTAAAAGCAAATACTAGTAGTAGTAGTAGTAGGAGTAGGAGTAGGAGTAGGAGTAGGAGTAGGAGTAGGAGTAGGAGTAGGAGTAGGAGTAGGAGTAGTAGTAGTAGCAGTGGCAGTGGCAGTGGCAGTGGCAGTGGCAGTGGCAGTGGCAGTGGTAGTGGTAGTGGTAGTGGTGGTAGTGGTGGTAGTGGTGGTAGTGGTGGTAGTGGTGGTAGTGGTAGTGTAGTGGTAGTAGTGGTAGTAGTGGTAGTAGTGGTAGTAGTGGTAGTAGTGGTAGTAGTGGTAGTAGTGGTAGTAGTGGTAGTAGTGGTAGTAGTCGTAGTAGTAGTAGTAGTGGTGGTGGTAGTAGTAGTAGTAGTAGTACGTGTTGTAGTAGTAGTAGTAGTAGAAGTAGTAGAAGTAGTAGTAGTAGAAGTAGTAGAAGAAGAAGAAGTAGTACTAGTAGTAGTAGTAGTAGTAGTAATAGTAGTAGTAGTAGTAGTAGTAGTAGTAAGTAGTAGTAGTCGTAGTAGTAGTCGTAGTAGTGGTAGTAGTGGTAGTAGTAGTAGTAGTAGTCGTAGTAGTAGTGGTAGTAGTGGTAGTAGTGGTAGTAGTAGTAGTAGTAGGAGTAGTAGGAGGAGGAGGATGTATATATATAGTAGATCCAATCATGTTTTATATTGTTTAATCCTTGTTCGCATGTAGTGCACGGCCTTACCACTTATCACGATTATTGTATTTTCTTTTGGTTCTCCCATGTTTTATTCACGTTTATTGATTCCAAAATCATCCTGTGAAAGCTTAGCATTTGCAACGTGTTGTTTGAGAAACATACCATTCTTATCCATTCTTTTGCAAGGGCAGCCGGCGTGGGCATCGCAGCAAAGCTTGCATGCATTCGCCGGTGGAGTGCGATGTTGGGCGGCGTCTTTCCGCAATCCGTCAGCGGTGAGGTCGTTCACACATTGTTTATGGCTGGCTTTTCATGTCTCCAAAAGTGGGGTATACCGTATACCCAAATCCACTTAGTTCAGCATGATCTTATACCCTTGTACTGGCATAAATCTGCGGTATGCCCCGTGATTTCACGACACTCCCATGAGAACATCATGAGAACCCATCCGCGCCCCCAGCAGATGCTGCTTCTCGATGGCTCCTTTGATGCCAGTATAGATGATGCTTTTTGGCTCCACAAATCAAAGTCAAATCTGTCGCAAAAAATGGTGCTGAACGGCTGAATTCCGAGCTCGGAAAAAACACTATTGCAACTCAAAAGGCTCCCCGGGAGACCTTTTTCGGGTATGGGATGAAGCAAAGTTGACTGCTCGGAGGCATGGTGAAGAGCTTCGAGTAAGTGGACTTCCCACATATTGGGATGAGTATGGAGAGCTCTTCATTTATTGGCAGGCGGGGCAACTTGTTGTTTTGTCACAAAAAAACATTAAGCCAGGTCGGAAATTGACGGAAATAGCTCGAGATGTCGCAGTTCTGCCATGGCTCTTGCTCCGCATCACAATGGCAATAATGATGACAACGATCAATCATACTGATCACAATAGTGAACAGCGAGCAGAATAACAACGATGATAGTAATTGATGATCATCATACTGATAAGACCTACCGTTATTGTCATTGTGATAATTAATGACAATGATATGAACTGCATGTCAATTAATTCAAAGAATGATGATAAGATGCACAGCAAAACTACTGACAGCGAGAATAATAATACTGCCCGACCAAAGGATGCCAAAGATTATGATAGACATGATAAATCAAACAATTATCACCACTTATCGACAATTATCAACAAACATCACCTGATTTTCACTATCATAACTACAATCACCCGTTATTAGCGATTACTATTAGCTATCATCTATCATTGTTATCAGTCATTAGTTATTAGTTACTATCACTATCATTAGTTTTGTTATCATCTATCACTATCATCTATCACTATCTATCTATCTATCTAACTATCTATCTATCTATCTATCTATCTATCTATCTATCTATCCATCTATCTATCTATCTATCTATCTATCTATCTATCTATATCTATATATATATATATCATCAATTATTGGTTACTATTAGATTCTATTAGTTATATTTGACACTATTGGTTATAGATAATGTTATCATGATAGATAGATGGGTTAGTGGTATTCTGATCATCATCACCACTATCTATTGCTATCATCATCACCACTACTAACATGATATCTTTTGCTATTGCTATCATGATTTATGTTATTACTGTAGTATTGCTATCATCAATTATTGGTTACTATTAGTTATTACTATCTGATCAATAACTATTAGTTATTACTATTTGTCTGATCAATAGTACTGTGATGATCATTAATTATTACTACTGATATTCTGATCATGTAGTATATATATTATTGGTATAAGAAGGTGATATTATATTGCTATCTATCAATATCTATTGATGTTGCTACTGTAGTATTGCTATTCTGATCATCACCCAGCCATCCTGCAGCTCCACGGCAGGTGCATGGAAGCAGATGGACCGTGTGTCCTCGAACTGATGACAGTCAGAAGGACCAACCGGTGAATGGGCTACGGATTTTCCTATAAAAGATGGTAATTTTAGCATGACATGATGGGATTGAATGGGAATATCATGGGATAGTCAAACACGAAAACCACTGTGGTTGATCGATGTTTATCGTATATAATATAATAGATTAGATTATATATATATGGTATACTATGGTATATCTATAGTTATTATTTCCTGATTTTAGTAGAAGGTTTACCCTTTGGTGTCATCAAACATGGCTTGCGTGAAAAAACACCATTTAGCTCGATGATTTTCTCATCTATAAACCTCCATTTATACGGGTTTTTCCAGCTAGCTACTAGCACCGTTTAAGCACCGCAGGGTATGTGATTTGTGATTTGGTGATTCAATATACCACACCCCCATTTTAAAGCGTGAGACAGACGTCCGATTACAAAGTCATGATATTGATCCACCAAACCATCCCCTAAATCGATTTTACATACTCCTGTAACCAAATCAGAACATAAGCAGCAATAATAGGATTATCCACATAAGAAAAACATAGAATATATGAAGAATCAGAATTGGCAAAACCAGGATATTTGAATATATTATTATCTTTGATATGTTCAAAAAGTGAATTGGAAAGCCAACAACGAATCTGGTTGTTTCACGCCCAGGCGGCGATCCTGACATCATTTTTTAGCGATGGCTGATTGATTAGCCAAGTTATACTGTGACTGCACCTGGTTGGAGACTAAAAAACATGACCCAACGAGATCAATGAGTAACCAGCGGGAAGACTGGCAGCTGGTAGGACCTGTTGAACCAGGTCAAAAAGGGAGGTTCGGGCGCCGATTCACTGGCTCTGTGGAAATCTATGGAGATTGTAGAGATTTTCACGGTCCTTTTTTTTGAAGCTCCAAATTTTCCTTCGATTTTCCTTAGATATCATAGTAAACCTCCAGATTTTCATACCCTCTGGTTATTTAACAGTTTGCCACAATCTGTTCAATTAGTCGTGGCTACGCCGCCCTCTCGTCTGCCATGGAAAATCACCAAGCTATTAATGGGAAAATCCACATTTTTAATGGGCCATCTATACCATGGCTATGTTAAATAACCAGATGGTAGGGTTTCCAGATATTCCAGAGATGTGGATACTTCTGGTGGGATTTCTTAACTTTCTTGGGCTCCCAGATGAAGTGGGACTGGCCTACGAGGAGGCCGACTGGGACTGTATTCCGACTTGAATGTGTATCCCCATGAAAGCAAGTGGCTAATAATAAGACAAGTATATATATATAATATACATACCATGATACAGAAAGATAGACAGAGACAGAGACAGAGACAGAGACAGAGACAGAGACGGAGACGGAGACGGAGACGGAGACGGAGACGGAGACGGAGACGGAGACGGAGACGGAGACGGAGACGGAGACGGAGACACAGACAGACATACATACTATAGATGTATGTATGCATGCACATACATAGATACATAGATAGATAGATAGATACATAGATACATACGGTGATATATATATATATACAGACAGACATCATATATATATGTCATATCTCTATATATATACATACACATAGAGTGGGGTTTATCGCACGTAAAAGTCAGTGAGCCATCTATGGCCATCATCCACATATCAACTTGGATAGACGTCCAAGGAGGAGTCTGGCAAACAAAGTTGGCGGGTTACTGGACAAAAAACGTTGCCAGGATAGAGGTTATGGAACTTCTCAAGTCGCAAGCACCAAAATCTTCTATGGATTTCTGATGGGGGACCACTTTTTTCGCGACTTTACAGATCTGATGATTGTCCAAATGAATATAAAGATGAGTGCACCTGTATTTTGTGGATGGACAATTATGGGTAATGGCAACCCAAACATGGGGTACCGGGTACAGTACCAACAGACCTGCAGTTTGCTGGACAGTTTTCCATCCCCCTTTCAGGAGAAAAGGGCCACTAAAAGGCCTGAAAAGAGCTATACCCCTTTGCAATTTTCTTGTGCTAAACGTAGGGAATTTTCGGGAATGATCCACTGGCTAGCTATCAATAATAATATCCCAGCAACCCCCAGCAACCCATCCATTCCCTGCGTTTAGCACCAGTAAGCCATTGATACATGGAGAATCTCGACTGATGATTTCCATAGCATGGGACCACAGATGGTGACCACCGCGACAGGTGGATCCGGGAATTTGGTCGGAGTACCTCGAAACTGGCTTTGTCACGACCAAAGGCGTTCGTTTGAGGCGCGTTTCACACGGGGCGGGGCGGGGGACGCCAGGTTACATTGAATGGGCCTTTTTCAGCGATCCGAATCCTGAGATCTGTTCCGCTTGTGGGAGATTTTGAACATGACCTGAAATGCTGCAACCTATATCGAAAGGTGATGTTGATATTGGAAAGCGTGAAATGGGGCCTTGATTTTCTGAGGCAGCAATGCGAGGTCCATTGCTACATTTGCAGAAACACTTTTGCAGCCAGTTTTCGATGTATATCTATGCATGGATTCTCATTTTCTCCCAATTTTGGTTGGACATATCACACTATATCACAATATGTTGGCTCAAAAAGAAATGACACTGAAGACGTGTCCACTTTTTCTTGGTTGAGTTCCGCATTCTTGCATCCTTGTTGAAAAATATCCATATTACAGGCTTTCCCCATTCTACAGTGTAGAATGGTTGTCCCATGTACCCCCTGTTTATTTCAACGGGGATATTCTTGCTGTTTTTGGTTGGACACTGCCTACCCTGCATAGTTCAGGGGAAATCTACAGAAACAGCCCTGGATTCCTTCCAGTTCAGAATGATTCCATTTGCACTATCTCCTTTCGGGTAAAAAAATGGGTACTTGAATTTGGATATACATATATATAATTATATATATAATTATAATTATATACAGAATTACATATAATCCTCAGGATTTGCTGGTTGAGTCCCATGAGGATTTCACTAACCAACGGTCAGTTATTTCCTGGCTAACCCCTTTGGATTTTGGTGCTCAAATACATATTTCTGGCAAAAACATCAGTAAAAACATCTTAGGAGAAGCCACTCAAGATCCGATGAAATGCCATGCAATCCATCGAAATCCATTGCTGGTTAATAATGGTTAACATTAATGGTTATTATTGATGGTCAATGGTGGTTAATGATGGTTAATGATGGTTAATGATGGTTAATCCAACGAAATCCCTTTTTAAACCCCACGAAATCACCCTTTTGATGACTGTTTTTCACCATCCCTTCTTTGCCCTTTAGGGCCTTGGAGCATGGCCCGGTCTCGTCTTCACCATCTATGGAGGGGGCACCGCAACGCCTCCTGACCGGAAAGTTTGGCTTTCTATCTGGTAATTTTATGAGTGTTTGTTAACACTCGTCAAATGTGGCAATCGAAAATCCCCGAAGTAAATGGAGGTTGCAATCGGACAAAAAACATCTATAAATCGTTGATTTTCCATAGAAAATCCACTATTCAGTTCGATGATTTTCGCCGGCGGGCTAAACCTCCATTTGGTTCGGTGATTTTCCCCATTTATAGATTATTCTTACATTAAAACATCCATTGAGTTTGGGATTTGCCATTGCCACTTTTGATTGCCAAAGGGTGAGGGGATTGAAGGCGGATTTAAGGAGGACTTAATGGGGATTCAATGAGATTTAATGGCACCCACAAATGGCTTTATCCAAAAACGGTTATTCTCTTCCCGATTCCATTTTTGGGGTTCCATAGTTAGAGGCTGTATTGAGAATCATAGGGGAATTCGGAATATGATTGAATTAATGGGATATGTCTATGCATCTATAAATTACCTTAGTGTGATATCTGTTAATTAAGATATAAACCGAAGGGTTCTATAAATTACCAACTTAGTGTGATATCTGTTAAGATATAACCCAAAGGGTTGCATTGAAGTGTGGGTCCTTTGGCAACCTGCGTTGAAGCTACGAAGATTGCTGACCGCAACATCGTGCATGGGGTAGCATCCAATGTGGTAATCCCCAGCCTGAACCAGATCAATGCACACCAAGTATATGATTCATACATGTATATAATATTATATAATTGTATATATATATATGTATAATATATATATATATATTGTATATACATATATGTACACAGTACATGTACAAAGATATGTCATTGTGGTAAACCCAATGCCATTTTTACTCCCAGTCATAGGACTTTGTAGCGTCTGCGCGCTGAGGGGGGAAGCGAATCTCTCGCTGGCGGAAGGAAGCCCAACAACGCGCCGCGGCAAATGGACGTGGGGAGCCTCAGAGTTGTTGAGACATGGGGGATATGGCCGACATTTTCTGGGATCTGTATATAAAATTATATATCTACACATATACACATATCTTACCAGCATTTAAGATAGTCAAATAATCCCCTTGATTTTCTGGAATTTTTATTCTTTAGGCTATGATACAGTAATCAAAGACTTCAGTTATGGGTATTTTAGTACACAATAATCTGGGTTGATACCTCTAAGATTTAGAATACCGGGTATTAGTTAATTGGTAATTCACATACTTTCAGCTAGCAACTGGGGACCAGTTAAATATATTATGTAGGCTATGATACAGTCATCAAAGACTTCAGCTCATGGGTATTTTAGTACACAATAATCTGGGTTGATACCTCTAAGATTTAGAATACCGGGTATTAGTTAATTGGTAATTCACATACTTTCAGCTAGCAACTGGGGACCAGTTAAATATATTATGTCCTATTTCAGGGATCGGATAAATCGGGTTTATTTCCCCCAAATCAATTCATTGGTGCCCTGGGGTGACAAGGGCTCGCAAGCCCACACGCACAATGCTGCCTGGCTGCCTGCAGTTGCCCCAGCTTGGCTGGGGGCCTCAGAGTGGATCAGGGGACAAGATGACCTGATGGAATAAAAGATGAGAAAATACCAATGGATCAAGTTTCATCACATTGTGATGATTTTGCCAACACCCTATTTTTGAAACAACCATGGAATTGGCAACTATGACACCAAATTGGTAATAACATGTAATAACATTTATGTAATTAATTAATGTTGATTAATTTACTAATAATACTAAAGTTGTCATAGTTGCCATTTCCATAGGTTGTTTCATTGGACCCCAAAGCGATTTTTGTCACGTAGGGCAACTTATCACCAGGCTCCAACGCATGCTAGTGTACTTGGCAAATCTGCCACGAGCCATTGAATTGCCTAGTTGTTGGCATTTGGCTGCCATCCCATGCACAAATTGAGCTGCTGCACCAGCCTTGCACTAACTGGCAAAGCCCACGCATTTCCCAAAGCCAACCCCAGTTCCCTTTTGGAAAGGTCACCAGGGTCAATACGGGAAGGGTTCCATCCCATGATACGACACTTCTCCTGAGGGGATAGATGCAAGCAAAAACAAAATCAAATTGGAGGTGTGTTGGCAAAAACAGAATCAAATTGGAGGTGACTGACAAACACATTTTTTTCGGGTCCTCTAAATTCATGAACCTCTTGTGGCTTGTTACCCAGAACGCAGCATCGGCTCCACCACGGGCACGGGTTAAGCATGGGCTCCTGGGAAAGCAGAGCTAAATGGTTTTAACATTATTTATTATAAGTTTCTGGCAATTTTGACCATTGACTTATCAGTAGGCATCCAAGTTGCATTTCATAAGCTGGGGCACCAGAGAATTTCTTGCTCGCCGCACAGTCAATCACCCTGAAGGCTGAACGTTTGGGACTATGGGATACAAGTTTTGACCCAAAGTAAAATGACATCCAAATAACAATTTGATTATTATTAATATAGATTTAAAGCCAAGGGGCCAACAGTCATCAGGAGATCCCCCCGTCTTGGCCAACTTCTTTAAGCCAGCCCGGAGACGTTTTCTTCCAGACGGGGAGGTAGGAAAGTCATAGTCCCTGTTCTTCCTAGAATGCCGGCAACCCCAATTGATCAAGTTGATTCTATAAGTCGGCAATCATAGTTCCAAGTATTTTGAACATATTCAATTAATGCTAAGCCTAGCAGCTTGCCAAGAAAACTGCTCAGCTTGATCTTCTTAAGTCCAGTTAATGGCTTTGGCCAACTGAACCGTCCTTGGATTTACCCATGTGGCTGGGAAGATAAAATATGGTAACCATTGGGACAATGAGACTGTTCTGGGTGGCCAAGGTGCTCACTGCCATGTTCTCATTCACACCAACGATCCAAAGGCGCTGCCTGCGCTGTGGTACACCACCGTAGGTATATGCATCCAACACCTGCATGGCAGAAGAATGTGGGGTGGAAAAAGTAAATAACCTGAGGAAATTGCTAATTCCAATTTTTGGCATGCACTGAATCCCAAACCAGTTAGGCCGGCCTTCCAATACACTTTGTAGTGTCCCTTGGATCGAAGCCTAGGTAGGACCCAACAAGAAAAGAGTAGAAAACAATTTCTGGCTGACTGGATGGCCAAATAGTGTTTTCTATTGTCGAACAAGTTTGTCCAAGAGACCTTCGGAGCAGTTTGTTGAGGAAATGCTTGTTCTTCTTGTTGGACAGGGCTGCAACGTTCTCAAGTATAAATGTGTCAGGAAGCCAACACTTGATTCGCTTGACAACCTCAGCTACTGGGTTGCCCTGATGATGTCATGCTATATTCAAATGGGACCGACTTGGCACTAAGTCAGTGATGGTTGTATCTTCAACTGCTGGTTTTTGAGCTAGAAACTCGTTCAAACACCCGGGCACGCGGGTCCTTTGACCCCTTCTTCTCTCCTATGCAGCTATACGGTTGGCAGGGTGTGCCGGCAGCATAGATGTCAATCAGATGGCGGATACCTCAGTGCGGTGTCCATGGAGTATGATCTATATTATATGCAATGGGGTTAAACTATGGACAATAAATAAATGGACAATAATATAATAAATGGATTATTGAATGTAAAATATTGAGGTTGCCAGGAAATAATTTGGAATAATCATCTTACTAAATGGTTTAACGGCATTGGTCTGGGGGATGAATGAATTCTAAGATACCCTGGTTCTTCATTGCATCATCTGAAAGTAGTTCTGGACGATACCTTTTCCGCAGTCGTGCACGTAGCTTGGGGTTGCATTCGCTCAAGTAGTAGACATGAGATTTGATCTTCGCCAACCTGAGTTAAGATGTCATATGTTGGGCCCCTAAGTTTAAGACTTAACTAACATGCTGCAATTTCATTGTCACCAAAGCTAAATGAATCAAGCAACTTGCAACTTTCATGAAGAGGACCCAGGCCGGCACAATCTTCGGCCAAAACTAGGTTCCTTTTTCTAACCATTTTTACGGTTAAACCTAGAGTTGGGCCAAAATCCTGTGTTCTGGATGCAATGTGATTATGATAGAAAATAAAATATGTGTGCAGTCACTGAGTCAGCGTATGATTGGTTCAGCCATTTGCCCAGAATACAACATGTAATTGGCACTGCATGCAGAGCCCGCATCAATAATTTCGTCCACTGCTTGTCAAGCAGAGTCCTGTTGCGTGTTCCCTTTGCCAAAATTGTCAGCCTTTCCACTTGTCATCTCACGTGAACGCGTTCAACTTGCTCAGAACATCTCGAGCTTTCTTGGAACCAGCCTCACCACAAAATAGGCGCTTAATTTATTGTTGTATGTTTGAAAATGTTAAATCCAAATTTAGAATTAGGTAGGAGCAGTGACAAACATAAAATAACCCTGCCTTTGGTCGGCCCTTCGCCTTCGCGGACGACTTTCCCTTTGCTTTCGCCTTCGCTTTTCCTTTTGCTTTCGGTTTTGCCTTCGCCTTGGTCTCTGCACCACTCTTGCGCTTAGTTCCCTTTTTCTGCGGTGTCTCATCGTCCTCATCCTCGTCCTCGCATTCCTTTTCATCCTGGTCATCGTCATCATCCTCGTCCTGCTCATCATCTTCTGGTTCCTCTTCGTCCTCATCCTCCTGCCCATCATCGTGGTCTTCGTCGTCGTCTTCGTCCTCTTCTTCATCCGGGTCATTATCATCTCCTTCATCTTCCTCATCCTCCTCTTGTCCTTCATTGTCATCGTCGTCATCATTCTTTTTCTTTTTCTGTCGCGCTTTCTCTTTTGGAGCCTGCACATTCAACAAACAAATGTTTGCTTATTTTATTTTACAAAAATGCATTCTGAAAAAAGGTTTGACATTTGTTTACACTGGCCACTGAATCGCCTTTTTGCCAGACACCAAAACTGCCAGAGAAGGCTCATACAACGGACTTCCCGAAGTCTGCATGGATGTAAAGACCAAGCTTTCAAGACGCTTCATGAGGAAGTTGGCCTAGGCTTTCATCTGCATCGCCGCAGGTTTAAAAAAAAAACACACTAGCTAGGCTACTTTCAAGTAGTTTCCTGTGACTTTTTTCAACCCAGGGACATGGTCCTCCGTGAACACCACGCCGATGTATGGCGTTCGCTTGCAAATTGCAGTGAAAGCAGCCTTGCCATCACCTAAGTGAAAAACTAATGATGACAATAACCTGAAGGATGAAATTCATTGATGCGGGCAACCCTATCTAAGATCAAATAATAGTGGGAATTGGAAATTTTGATGGTCGTCATTATTAAGATTATTATATTATATTTTATTTTAATTTAATTATTTAATAATATTAATAATACCATCAAAATTTCAATTCCCACTTAAATAATAAGATATAATTAGTCAGTGGGTCAGTGGTACTCAACCCATTGACTGCATGATCATCCCGTTTTTCCCTCCAAGATACAGCAAGATAAGTCCAACATGTAGCCGATGTTGAACTCCTCGAAGATTTCGGCCACCTAAATTTGGGGATGGCGGTATGTGCGGGTGGCCTGTTGTATTATTGTACTCACTACTTTACCAGGGTCCCCTTAGATAGCCAGGGTACTACCTCGGAGGGCATTGCGTGATATGCAACGGGCTCTTCGTCAGAATCACGTCTTCTGCCTTGGCGGAACAAACCAACCCGTTGGACCGCCGAGATGGCCCTATTGTGTGTGGCATCGCGGTGCTGGTGAAAACAACAACAACAAAATCGTCTACCAAGTTGAGATCTACGGGATGGAGAAACCCTTGGACACGAGGTGTGCGGATGTGAACAAGCCACAGGATTCTGTGAGATTCGATGATCTGCCTGCCTGAATTTGGTTGGTAGAATTTAACTTAAAAATTGTGTGACTTGGTGGTTTCATACCCGTCATACCCCGTCAAAGTTTTGATAATAAAACTGGCTAAATTTATTATGGGTTTTATTTTGGATCTTGGATTTCTGGACC